AGGAAATTCCTGGGGATTTCAGTGTTGACAATACTTCCGTCCAGTGCTGGGCAATAATACGTAAAAACATGACATTTTGAGTTTTGAAAAAGACAAATTAGAAGAGCGATCGTTATTACTGTATTAAAATGAACATTCTAACGAAGCCAAAATCATTGAGTGATCCTGTATGACAAATCCGCAGAAAATAACAAACGAAGTTTGGAGGGATATAGGGAACGCCTCCATCTGTCCATCCGTACGTACATATGTTATGTACGTACATATGTCCGTCTGTCTGGGCGATAACTAAAATACCATTACCTGCATGATTTCATTTATATTTTGTACACATGTGCCCTATAGGAGTTCTGCTCAAAAGCCAATTTTCAAATGGCAGCCATTTTAGTGCCGATTTCACAGTAATTTAGGTACTGTTTATAAAACTGTAAAAGCAATATGTTTTAAATGTAAAAAAGTTAAATTGGACATTAATTAAGCAAGAAAAAATGCATGGCAGCCACCTTGAAAAAACTTTACATGCCATTTTACGATTTTGTTCAGCGACAATTTGGGTAGTGGTGGCCATTTTGAATTGAACTTTCTTATGTATGTTATTTTACGATATTTGCAATATATTTCGTTTGTAAAAGTGCCAGCCAGTGCTGTTGGCGTTGCTTTGTCGTTGCTGTTGTCTAGTTTTAGTAGGTCACTGCATTTTACAAGTATAGGTTACACCCAAAGGGTCCCTCAGGGGAATGGCTAACTAACGACCCCCAGTGCGGGAATCGAACCCAAGACCTTCAGGTTCAAAGTTTGATGCTTTACTACCGAGCCAAATGGCTTAAGCCTCCACTTGTGCTGTCTGGGTCGTTACATATATGTATACTCTTTTGGTGCAAAAATGAAAGATATATAGACCATGTAAGGAATGAGTTGTGGTCTTGGAAATAACATGGAACCCATTAAATAAATAAGATGTGGAACTACATGTACCTTAATTTACAGCAGATCTTATTTCACAAAATTGATTCATTTTGTGAAAATATATTGCAAATTTTGAGATTGACAGTAGTTTTGAGAGTCCATCTGATTGTAATCACACAATCCAAATACACTAAATACACTCATAGTGTACTAAAGTATTGGACTTTGCATTGTTTAAATTAGAATGTCATCTGCTCTCTTGCTGTATTATTATCCCATCGAACGAAGTTCGGAGGGATATAGGGAACGCCTCCGTCCGTCCGTCCGTCCGTACGTACGTCCGTCCGTACGTACGTCCGTCCGTACGTACGTCCGTCCGTCCGTCTGTCCGTCCGTCCGGGCAATAACTCAAATACCGTTGGCCCGATTTTGTTCATATTTTGTACACATATACCTTTTTGGGGTAGAAGTTCTGCTCGAAAGCCGATTTTCAAAATGGCCGCTCATTTCAAAATGGCGGCCATTTTAGTGCCGATTTTACAGTAATTTAGGTGCAATATGTAAAACTGTTATATCAATATGTTTTAAATGTAAAAAATTATAAAGGACATTAATAATGCTACAAATGTAGATATAAAAGAAGCACATGGCAGCCATCTTGAAAAATGGCGGCCTTTACTCGTCATTTTACGATCTTTGCTATAACTCAAAAAATAGTGGAGTGATTTTGTTCATATTTGGTATGTGAATACTATAAGCATTGTACACTGTCTAAAGACACTTTTGGTAGAAGGCGGCCATTTTGAAAAATGGCCGCCATTTTAACGTATTTTACTATAACTCGAAAAGTAGTGGAGCGATTTTGTTCATATTTGGTATGTGAATACTACTAGCATGGCACACTGTCCTATGACACTTTTGGTAGAAGGCGGCCATTTTGAAAAATTTTATGAAAAATGGCCGCCATTTTAACGTATTTTACTATAACTCGAAAAGTAGTGGATCAATTTTGTTCATATTTGATATGTGAATACTTTAAGCATGGCACATTGTCTAATAAAACTTTGGGGAGTAGTCGGCCATTTTGAAAAATGGCCACCATTTTTATGTGTGTTATTTTACAAGTATGTGTGCGATTTTTCAAAAATTTTAGAGGTGGCTACTGAAAAGCATATTATTTCTTCTGATGACAACTTGGCTAGTGAGCAACCATTTTGAAAATGGTGGCCTTTCTGGTGTGTTGTTTTATGATATTTGCTATTCGTTTGTAAAAATGCCAGCCATTTCTGTTCGATGGGATTCGCTACGCTTTGGCGTTGCCGTTGTTCTGGTTTATTATATCGTCAAGATGTACATGTGTGGAATTACATGCAGAATACAAAATGTAGAATGACTTGCACTATTAAAGTGCCTGGCCATGTTTCGAGAATACTATAATCTGATGTTTTAAGAGAGACTACCCAATAAATAAAATATCTGATTGGCCTCTCAAGGGTATATACAACATGCACAATTTACCTTTTTTAGGGAGACAAAAAAATTTGTAGGCGGAAATCTTGAAAAATGGCTGCCATTTCTACGTATTTTACTACGAAAAGTAGTGGAGCGATTTTGTTCATATTTAATATGTGAATACTCTTAAACATGGTACACTGTCTTATGACATTTGGGCTAGCAGGTGACTATATTTTGAAAAATGGCCGCCATTTACACATGTACCCTTTGAATGTGTGCAATTTTTGCTAAAATTTATATGGGCTAAGCATATTACACTTTCTGATGACAATTTAGCTAGTGAGCAACCATTTTTGAAAATCGTGGCCATTTATAAGTGTTATTTTACAATTTTTGCTATATACTTCGTTTGCAAAAATGCCAGCCATGGCTGTTCAATGGGATCTGCTACACTTTGGCATTGCTGTTGTCTTAGTTTAGTGTCATTTTGTATTAGGGGCTTCTCCTTAAAGGAGGAGGGAAGTTAGCACAACAGATTTTGGACAGTCATATATGCTTGATTTTGGCCATTTCCTGGGGATTTAAACAGTTGCATATGTTAGGCGAATTCATTACCTCCAAGAAAATCACTTCTAGAGATGATAAAATAATTTCGACTTTGAGACAAGGTAGATGCAAACAACCCACCCCCATGTTTTTTCTGAAATGTTTTCCTGATTTTCAACCCCTTCCATCCTTGCTTTTTTAATTTTTCTTGCATCAATACGTTGCGTTTTGACACTGAGTTAATCCCTTAAAGTGTCTCACATATTCTATCAAAATTTGCCATGCAAACATGTTAGTCTACTTTACTGGCCCCCCTTGCTGTAACAAGGAACCCAAAACACATTAAAACGTAAACATAAACCAATTAGTCACTTCACTATGAAAGTGAGGGGTGTAAGCTGTGTGCATGGACTAACACAATATTAGTGGTCATTTACTGTGTCAACTTAGTAACCCTTGCATATTGTGCTCACTCAAGTATTGAATAATTTTTTTATGATCTAAATGTTTGTGGTTTATAAAACAATGTGAAATATTTTAGTTAGAAATACATTAATTAATATATTCATTCAAACAGCACTAGAATGCGGGAAGAAAGAGCAATGGTGACAAAATGCAGACAGAATTTTCAGTAAGGGTTTCAGACATTTCTGAACACAATCATACATGTACTTCATGTGTACTGTTATTTTTAGTGCTGTATTTATAGATATAATTTCACGTATTAAAATCATATTTTCCAGCAATGACTTCAAATTCGGAACCACACCCATATCACATTTTCTTCAATGACTCCAAACATGTGTAAACATTGACCATGTGCATATAAATTCAGATTTCATGAGCTCTTTCCTATTCGAGTACCTCGACACCCCTGCATGGATTTGAGTTGGATTCGCCTTTTATACGTGAGCCGACACACTCGCAAACGCTGATTGGATAAAGATTGCGAGAATCTTTAAAAGGAATAAATGATTCCTTTTAGATAAAGTGGAAAACAATATTTCCCATGTTATTTTCCCATAGGAAAAATCATTGCTTTCAGCTAAGTTTGTTCACCCATAATGGGTATCTTTAAAACCCCTTAAGGAATCACTTATTCCTTTAAAGTGGTTAACTATGTGTCAAAATGCAACATATTGATGCAAGAAAAATTAAAAAAACAGGGATGGAAGGGGTCGAAAATTAGGAAAACATTTCAGAAAAAACATCTGGGTGGGTTGTGTGCATCTACCCTGTCTCAAAGTCGAAATTATTTTATCATCTCTAGAAGTGATTTTCCTGGAGGTAATGCATTGGCCTAACATATGCAATTGTTTAAATCCTTAGAAAATTGCCAAAATCAAACATATGACTGTCCAAAATCTGTTGCGCTAATTTCCCTCCTCCTTTCCCTACATGGTCCTACAAGCCTAAAATGGATCTATCACATGACACTCAAAATGGCAGACAGCAGTAAGCTGGATTCCTATGGTCCTATATAAGCCTTATATGGATCTATCACATGGATACCATATGACCCTATAGTACCAACTCTGAACTCTGGGGGATCCCCCAGCACTAATGTATTTTATGCCATCCATGGTGATTTTATTCATAAAAATCTAAAGCTTTTATAATTCAAAGTTGCTCTTCAGGAGCCCCAACATGCAATTTATTTGTAAGTCACTATGACATACACAGTAAGTTGATAAGGTAATCCAACATGACCAAGGGCTACATTTATTTAAGAAATATAGACCAAAGAGCAGGGCTACTAGTTTCGAATACACCCCGTAGGTCTTGGCACAAACGTTTTCTGAACCCAGAACTACCGAAGGGAGTGAGGGGTTCGAAAGCTTTCAAACATGTGGTAACCAGTCAAACATGTGTACATGTACTTAAAGAAGTTTTGCCTTGGTTTAACTTTGCTTTGTCACTCTGCCCATTAATATTTAACTAATAAGTACTCCAGTATCACCTGATTTGATAAATACTCGTTATCAATTTAAACTAGCTGTATATAAAGGTGTGCAAGAAGAGGGGAATTGCACAAATAAATGTTATTTGATTTTTAACTTGCTAGACATAATAATTTATATGCAATATTTCAGAAAGATGGCCACAAGATGGGGTATCTGCACAACTGGGAAAATAAGTAGTGATTTTGGGAGGGCTGTTCAATTGTTGCCCAGAGCTGATCATGAAATTGTTGGTGTAGCAGCACGGAAGATTGAAGATGCAGAAAAGTTTATTGAAACTTTAAGCTTGAAGAGTGCAAAAGCATATGGCTCATACAAGGCAATGGCTGAGGACAGTAATGTTGGTAAGGAGTGTAAGCCAAATCACAGGCTCTTCAGTAGGAAATATGAATGCATCGTAGTCTAATTGGGGTCATTATACAGATAGAACAAGACCCTGCATTCTGGTTCCCCACTGAAGATCCTGTGTTCCATGTGTGAGATCATTTAGTAATTTTGTTAGGGGTAAACTTTGGGATGCTTTGAATGGTGATTTTAGTCCTGTAAAATAAGTTTTTTGGTTTTGTGGATGGTGATTGGAGTTCAACGTTTGGTGTTCGGCAGTTGGCATCTGTAACAAATGACAGGTGATGACATTTTGCATGATAATGCCTTGTCGAATTATTATTTAGTGAGGCGCAAATGAACAATTTCAAATGCAGTAAGTAATACCAAGGAATTTGATATTTGAGCTCTGAAAGATAATAAATAAAATAAATTAAAGAAGGTTCACAGTTTAGTGTTAAGTTCTGAAGGGGTTTGAAGATCAGTCCTTGGATCGGGTCATGCTGTAAATGAACTTGATGAATATACATTTTGATTTTTAGGGTTTTAGTGACCAAAGTACAGTTTGCTAGTAGATACAGTACTCGGTAAATTCACCAATAACTAGAAAGATTTAATATGATAAGAACTTATTAAAAATCTGTCTAGTTTATCCATTAGTTTGTGAATTGCTAATTTATGTAAGATGATACTTCCTTTATGCCATCCATAATTGATTTATCTCATTAAAATCAAAAAGATCAAGGGGTCCCAAAACAGACCCAGCTCACTGACAATACCACATTTATTACCACCACCCCCCCCCCCCCGCCATCTTGATTACTAGTAATGGTCTTCTGTACCTCAGTTGAAATAGAATCTGATTGAAGCCTCGATTCCATTTGCTCTACAGTGGCCCTAAGCTTCACAAAATTGAGATAGAAAATCTACATTGTAATGCTTATCCCCATATTTTACAATGTATTATTTCAATTATGGGAAGCTACGGCCGCTGTATGGTTACCATTGATCAAACATGACTGAGGCATTTTTAGAGAGCATATTTGCATAGACTTTTGATTTGCAGAGGTTGTCTATATTGGGTCCATACACACCTACCATTGTGAGCTGACCAAGCTGTTTCTGAACCATGGAAAACATGTCCTGTGTGAAAAGCCATCTGCCATTAACTCCAAACAGCTTGATGAGATGCTTACTCTGGCAAAAGAGAAGAAACTGTTTTTCATGGAGGTATGTTGACCATTTGGTACATCATCTGCCCTTGCTGGGAAAATGGAAATCATGCATTAATTTTGCGTGTACAATAAAATGTCACGCAAATCACGCATTATGTTTGATACTTAAAAAATCTGCCTTTTATTAATACCGTTACAGCAAAAAACGAATGGCAAAAAAATAAAACGCATCAGACTTTTTACGCGAATTTCGTAAATGTCACGCATTTGGTTCGAAATGTCTTCATATGAAAATTGCTTTGAAAATTCTCGTACCTACCCCCCCCCCCTCATTGGTGAACTGGAAAAAACCTTCATACTCTTGGTCATTTCTCAGGGATCCAAGTGAACAAAGGTCACTGGGAAAGATGATTTAGGGATGAAATTAATGTGTGTATAAAAGTATACAGATTCAATGTAGCTGGGAATTACATCTTCACACACTCTGTGTCTTTTCTCCAGGAGTCAAGTACTTGATGATGGTTGGGAATGGGAAAATATAGGATTTTTGGGGTAAAATTAATGTATCAAGTGGCATGAACAGATTGGCTTGTGCTCAAAAGATTCTATTCAAAAGTATTATAGCTTTTATGTCACCACCAAAAAGTGGTGACATAAAAAAAGATCAAAAAGGTATTTTTTCAACTTGCTTCAAGTTTACCTTTTTCATAATCATCCACAAGTTCTCAAAAGTTAAATTCTGGCTATATATTTGACCTTCAATGACATTCTCAAGGTCAAAAAAGATTTGACCTTCAACCTTCTCAAGGTCAACAAGGTCTTTTTTCATCTTGCTTCAAATTGACCATTTTTTCAAAATCATCTACAAGTTCTCAGAAGTTCAAATCTGACTTTAGATTTGAGGTATCACTTTCAATGACCTTCTCGGGGTCAAAAAAGGTCAAAAAGGTAATTTTTCAACTTACTTCAAGTTGACCTTTTTCAAAATCATCCACAAGTTCTCTAAAGTTCAATTCTGGCTATATATTTTAACTTCAATGATATTCTCAAGGTCAAAAAAGATTTGACCTTCAATCACCTTGTCAAGGTCAACAAGGTCTTTTTCATCTTGCTTCAAATTGACCAATTTTTTTCAAAATCATCTACAAGTTGTCAGAAGTTCAAATCTGACTTTAGATTTGAGGTTTCACTTTCAATGACCTTCTCAAAGGTCTTTTTTCAACTTGATTCAAATTGACCGATTTTTTTTCAAGATCATCGACAAGTTCTTAGAAATTCAAATCTGACTTAAAATTAATATTTTGAGCAACTAGGTGGTGAAATTTTGTCATGTTAATGCCTTGTTTGGTTTTTAGAATTGACCTTTTTTTGACCTAGACTTAGATGACATCAAGACAAAAACATATTTCCTGCTTCACTTAAAACTCATCATTGAATCTTTACTTTCAGTGTTTAATCTTTCTTTTACAGAATTGAACAATTCTGACTGAAATATTAAGTTTTTTTCTCAAAATTGGATTTTATTTTTATTTCACTGCTTAAAATATCAAGTTTTTCCAAAATTCTTATGAATTTTGCTTCAGGGCTTTAAATTTTCCTAAAATCATGTTATTTTACTTTCAGGGTTTATGGAGCAGATTTTTCCCTGCATATGTTGAGATGAGGAAACAGATAAGGGCTGGGGCTATAGGAGATGTGAGATACACAAGTACACAGTTTGGATTTCCGCTGGATGGTGTTCCTCGGATGGCAAAGAAATCAATGGGTGGTGGCTCATTGTTAGACCTTGGAATCTATCCACTTCACTGCACCAGTTTTGTGTTTGAGGGTGAAAAGCCCGAGAGGATAGTTGCCTCTGCAGTCATGACTGATGATGGTATGTGCATTTGATTAAAGTAGTACAGTACAACCTGTATCAGTGAACACCTCTATCTCTCTAGTGGACACCCTTCCACAGTACATACATTTGTGACAACAGTATCTGACTTTACTGTTGTCAGGCTATTCCGGTGTGCTATTGACTACTGTGTAAGTTACTCTCTCTGTTGTGAACACCTACCAACACTAAACATTTCTCTTAGCAATAAATGTTCAATATACACAGTCATCTACTATAACTGCATGTTAAAGATTACCTCGTGTCACATAGTTCTAATAAGAGCCAGTATTATATAATTTATTGAAAAACATGTACGTGTTTATCAGATACCATATATTTAATATTATAAATCAATTTCGAATTACATTTTTTTAACTTACTGTTATCTTATAAACTGTAGATGTGGACCAGACTACACTTACTACAATACACTACAGCGGGGGCAGAACTGCCCAGACAGCCTGTAATATGAATGTAACCCTGCCTAACAGAGCCATTATCTGTGGAACCAAAGGTATCATTGAGGTAAGCAAACATGCATTATTCATAGAATGGTAGAGGCACACCTCACACCCTTTTTTCAAGCATTTACCATTTACTCAAAAGTCATCAGACTTTAGGTCAATATTAAGTTTGAATTTTCCCATAATACATTTTACAAACAAAATGATTTGGTTTTGCAATATTTTGATTTATAACATTTATTTCCATTTTAAAAATATATGCGAAAATTCAGAAAAATACCTCCCTTTCTCAATTTTAGGGTTGTAAAAAACAGAAAAGCCTCATCAGTTTGAGAAAAGCTAATTCTAAATAATATATCAGATTTTCCTAGCTTATATCTTGCTGATTGAATAAATTGTATTGATCTTTTGCTTTGTTTTGTTTTGAACTTGATTCTGTATTATCATCCATTCATATTGTTACAGCTGAAAGAACTGTTCTGGTGCCCAACTCAAGTGACAATCAATGGAGAGACTAAACATTTTGAGCTAGAGTCGGAGGGCTTCAACTTCCACAACAGTGCAGGTTTGAAGTATGAAGCACAAGCTGTTAGGGAGAGCCTACTTAAAGGTAATGCAATAATACTGACAACTTGTAACTCAATGAAAATTGTTGTCAATATGCAAAGTTTAATGAAGCTCAGTCTTAAGTTGCAATGAGATAGCCTTAGCTCTTAAAGTTGCAATTATATTATAAATAAAAGCTACAAATATTGTGCATTTTTGCCACTGAGGGAGCAATTCAGTGGAACCAAAACAAAAGATTTTTCGCAGTAAATTTTGAAAAACGTGACTTTTTTACGGAAGATTTCAGAAAAAACGGGAGTTTTTGCGGTAGGTTCTGAAAAAACAGTATTCTTAAAGGGGTATTCCTTCCAACTTCATTCCATACCATAGTTTTTGATATGGAGTTAATTCTTCTAGGAACATGTGCAGAATAACTTCCCCCAATGCCTTCATTTCATTAGGGATCAGCCATTAAAGGCACACTGTACTTCAGAGATGATAAATTGGTTCAAAAATATTTCTTCTGGCTTTAGAGTAGATTTCATTTTGAAGATTGTAACATTCCCTTGCTTGGAACTCAATTGCTGCATGAGTGTTAGGTATTCTGGAATTAAACTAGTCTCAGTCTCTGTCCAGCCTCAATATCCAGCTACCAAATTGTTTCTTTGCAGGTGAACTAGAGAATAGTGTTGCCTCACATGCTGAATCTAGGCTTCTTATGTCATCATTGGATCAGATCAGAAAGCAAACAGGCGTGGTCTACGCAGTAGATTTGGAATAGATTGACAGGCACAGCCTACTATGCTTATTTGGAGTTGATTGACAGCCACAATTGATAGGCTTAATAAAAGGCCTTGAACAGTTCAAATGCAATGTGCAATGTACAATCTTACAATTATTGAGTCTAGAGCATATTCTCCATGATTCATCAGTGAAATTCCGATAAAGTAACACTTTACAAACTAGATGGCCGGTCTCCCTTTCTTTTCTACCAAGTTTTATACATATATTAGAATATATCCATGAATATTTCAGCCAATCAGAACATAGTATACAATACAAGTTGTTGTTTTTTTATTACATAAAATCTTTTGTTATGTGTGAAAAGAATTTAAACACAATACTCATTGACTTGTAAGTGATTTAATGCACTTGTGTCTTGTATGGCATTGAATTTGGGTTCCCAACCCCATTGCTCATGTTAGGACCATGTGCTTAAAATCATCCACAATTCAATGGCCTCTGGGCTCAGATCCTTTACTACAATCGTTTTCTTGTATGTACATAGTTGAGTACCAATTCTAATATATTCATTAAGGGAAGCTTCATCAACATATGTACTAGGTGTATAATGTTCTAGGCTCTGACACTTTGGGTAGTAGTTAAGCAAACAAGGATGAAAAGAATGAATACCATTTGAACAAGAATTGAATATACCATTGGAAAGATGGATATGTGAGGAATAACAATCTTATAGTGTAATGGAATTGTGCTTGCTGCAAAGTTGATTTTAAAGAATTGTCTAAAATAATTGAATTGGAAGAAATATTTTGAAAAAGTTGTTCTCAAATAAGTTTAATTTATTTAACTTTGGAGCAGTAAATATACATTTGAAATGACCTTTGACCTTAAAAAACATCATAGAAATACAGGGTGTCAAATAAACCCGTCCCCCCTTGTACAGCTAAAACCTTAATAGATGGTACCTAGTGTGATATACCATTTGAAAGATCATTCAAAGTTATGTTAACTCACCAACTGTCAAGTATTTTGGATGAAATTCACCTATATTTTCATGATGTCCTTTATAGTTACTGTACCCTCCTTAAGCAGCTTCCATTGCGTCAAAATGAAAAAAGGATATGACCTCAGAAATAAGTTAATCTTTTTCGCATTCAGCTTGAAACAAAATGGTTTTCACCATTTTTCCATGCACCTCTATTTTCTACACATCTAGCCCTATCCAGAAATTGGTTGAATTCGAATTCATTGCCTTATACATATGTAGTCATCTTTAGGTCCTTTGACCTTTCTTATACCCGATTCTTAAAATCCTGCCAAATACGCCAAATTGCCATGTTTCTAGGCCTATGGTCACCTCAATTGATATAATGTAAAAAATTGTGAGATTGATTGACTTGTGTCAGATATATGCCTATCAACGTAACTTTGGAAGACCTTTCCAATGATATATCACACTTGGTAAGTTGGTACCATATAACTTGGTCTTTGCTGTAGAGGGGGGGGCGGGACTTTGATTTCAGTGTCTTGCAGTATTTGTACCTGGCATGTAGTCTTATGAAGTAAACTGCATGTATTTCAAAAACCAGTAATTGTTATTATAATCCCGAATTGTCAAAAAGTAGATTTATAAATGATGATATGTAACTTAAATAATCAATTGGCTTGGTCATAAACCATTTTATCTGATTTTCAAAGCTAGAAAAAACCATTGTTTGCAAGATTGAAAAGCGATTAAAGCATTATCAAAGTACCAGATCCAGAAATCAGTGAAGGTGAGATAGTCACATGAAAATGAGAATTGGATTTCATTTCAGTTAAAAAGATGGCAGTAGCATCATATTATCGTATGAACGCATTTGAGTTATTCATGTCACAATGTTGAGTGGTGGATTTAAGCCCTGGACTCAATGCATTGTGGAGTGACCATTTCTTGTAGGTGTTTCTTTCCAAAATTTGCACGAGATGCGTAGCATCGAGTTTTAATTTTTAGATACAACGCCTGAAATGAATGGTCATTCCACGATACATTAGGTGTTGGGCTTTAATTCTTTTCACACTGCAAAATATTGTTTACCTCGTCACTTAATAAAATATACGAAATCACTTAAAGAATATATTTTTATGAAATTTTTGCTAGGGTCAAGTTGGCAAAGCATAAATTTCAATCTGCAGAGTCAAGTTGTGTTGTCACCTTCATAACCACATAAAGAATGACCTTTGATGCTGTGATTGGTTATATAATGCACTGCAGTTATATGAAATACTATGTTCGGATTGGCTGGAATCGGACACACCTTGCGTAGCTGTGGGTGAATATTATAGAATATAGAAGTGTTTCGTGTATTGTTCAATATGTTTTACTCTCCACGTTTCCCTATCTAAAACACACAATCCGTTTCTTCTGAATGTGCTTTACATTGATCAGCTAGTCCTATACCTTTCAAGTTCAAGAGGCGCTGTTTATTAGGCGGCAGCTTTTGATAAATTTAAACTGAAGTGGATTAATATTGTATTATCCCATGCAACTACTACTCCTCGGTGAATAACAACCACAAATATTTCTGATAATGTAAAAAACTCCAAATCCCTCTCACAAAAATGATATTCACATCCCATGAATTTCTGCAAGATTCCCATTTTGTTGATCAGTTAGTCGATAGAGCGTGCTTCAATGATGTTCTTATGTGTAAGTTATACTTGTGTAAAATTATATTTTTCCAAACAAGGTTGAAGATAGAAAGATTTTGAGACGCGCGTAAGAAGTATGAAACCATTAGGACTATTAAACACAGGCGAATTGTAATTTCATCATCCGCTCTGACAAAGACAGTCAAAATCATAGAAATATATTGTCCCCTCAGAATAAAACCCATATTTAATCGCTCCCAGTAAATAACCTCTTAAAATATTGAATATAACCGAACGCCTCCTTTTAATTTGGTTTTACCTGGGCTGGGCTTCTATTTGATCATGCATCAATAAGGATTTACCTACGTGTAGTGTTTGCATAAAATAATTAAAGTTAAATAAAAGAATGGGAGAAATGGAGATGGATTGTACGAAATCAAAGGGGACAATTATTGATTTATTTTACAATGAAGACTAATAAATCTTCTGAACTCTTTTCATTAACGTGAATAGTTAAGGTTATATTTAGTTTTTTCTATATTGTATCGTCGTGTTGTACCATTTGTCTCATTGCTGGAGTTTGTATTTTCTAATATTTTTTTGAACGATCAAAATATTTGTAAGGAAAACAAAACAAATGCAGTTCTAGGAAAGTATGAGACCCAAAACAACAGAGGTAACCATTTTTTCAAGAGCGGTATCAGAGGATAAAGTGTAAAATGTTGGGAAACAATTATTCTACAATTTCATGTTTCCTTACTTTCATGATTTTATTAAATGCATATAAGTGCAAAAAAAATAAAATAAAAAACATTAAAAAGTCATTAGATTCGAAGTTGGGAATTTATCTTTTCGAAATCATTGCCAATTTACCTAAAAATCAAATCATTTACATTCTTTTATAAAATTAAATCAAAAACGCTGAACTTTTAGAAAAAATGCATGACATTTGGTCAATAAATATTGTACATATTGTGTGTATGGTTTTAGACATCCTCCTCAGCAGGTATCCAGAATTTAAAAAAGTAATTCTGTTCGTCTTTTGTCATTGTTACACCAGTACCCTTCCCTCGTAAAAAGTCTTTTCACATTTAAATCCATATGCAAATTATATTTTCAAAATGTCAATATTGAACTCAGTTTTGTATAAAAGAAGCATTAAATATTATACGCTATTTACACAGTAACAACAAAGAACATTAGAAAATGACGGATAAGCGATTGTAAATACAAACCAGAATATCTATTATTACGATTGGCATTGAATCAGGTGAATCTTAGAGATTCTGTTGACATTGTTTCAATGAACTATTTTCTTACTCATGTTGACTCTAAAATAATGTTTGAACAATTCTTGTTTGAAAGGTTTCTTTTTTGCATTTTGCAAACATTTTGGCTACGCATTGGGGTTTATGGCTGTACCATAAGATACCAAGCACCAACATCATTATTGGGTATTTTTATTATGTTCACCACATATTGCTTTCTCACTTTCGATCTTAAATAATTATCATTATTTTTTTTAATTTATCAGTTAAGATTTAACTAGATTGGACATCGTTGAACATAACAATAGGACATAGATATGGTGTAACATAAAGAAATTAACTTTATCTCACAAGTCTAATTACATCTAAAGCCAGTTGGAAAAAGTATCCCATTATATTATCCCTATTGTTTTATTACTTAATGATTTATAATTATATTTATATATGAAATCCAGCTCCCTCTCCCGCTTGCTATGTAACATTGTTAAGGTCAGCTAAATGGAACACCCCTCCCTGATCACGGATCAAACGACCATCGCAACTAATCCACGGTATTCTTTACGTAGGATTACAAAACCTCCATCTTGAAAAAAGCAACAAGGTAAGAAATACTTTTACTATATGCACTAACTAGACAATCCTTATGAATGACACCATTGTGTAACGGTAGGACATGTAGAATCTACTTTGATATTATATTTATTTATTTATTTATTTATTACAGTGTCACCCGTAATTATACGGCCAGCCTCCAAAGGCTTATGAGACACAATTACAATCATATTATAAGCAGATAAGTCAGAATTAACACTTACTTTAATCTATCTTAATTAATTTATTCACAAATGCACTTTTATATTTTACAATTTTTATATGCTTTGATTTAACATTTTATGTTTATTTGTTAATATGTTTAAATCCTAGCGTATATTACTTATATTTTTGTTCATCTTAATATTTTTTACATCTTTAGCGCTCGCCTCGTTTATGAGAACAAATTTGTTAATTAGGCACCTTTGTACGAGGAAAAATTATTCTTCCTATTAAGCATTTTATCAAAGACACAAGAACCCATGTTTCTGTTTTATGATATATATTCATGAACTATTCAATGTATATCAATCATTCCCCAAGTACATATTTTAGTTCATTTCATTTCGGTTAAAATATAATACAGGGTGGGCCAATAAAAACGTCCATATTTTTATTTTTTGTAATATGGTATTGGTATGGTATGGCATGGCATGGTATTGGTATGGTATGGTATGGTATGGTATGGTATGGTATGGTATGGTATGGTATGGTATGGTATGTTGGAACTATCCATATCATTTTAAAGATAATTCAATTTCCAACAAAGTGATGTATGATTCATAAAATATGAACGGCTATTGGTGACTCCATGGCCATTTCTGTATAATGGGGTAGTAACAGTTGAAAACAACATTTCGCTATATGTTTTGAGCTTATACATAATATTACATTGCTTAATCAACACTTTTTGGCTTTTATATATGACAAAAAGGTTTTGGAGTTGAGTTTTATTGTTTGTAAATCATTGTATACTCTAAAATAATCATGGAACCTATTTTTATGCATTGTAGTTTGTTATAAAGTAAGATTGTTAGATAAATTGATATTTGCTTCAAACATGTTTTGCAAAGAAACTCAATTGAAAGGGACCAATTATTGAAAACATTCCGTAAAAAAGGTCCTTTATGTAATATTGACTGATTGACAACAATTTAATGCAAAAATAATTCATATATATTTTATATAACTGTATAATTTGTTTTTGTTCCTTTTCACCATTTCTTGAGAATGAAATAAAATATCTTTCCGAAGCTTGTAAAATAGCATAATTATACAACATTTTCTTAGACTTCCCAATATTATAGTTGTACAAAGGAAATGTTGGTTGATTTAACAAAACGTATTCAAAAAATTAAAACAAAAACATCCGAAATAGATGAAAACTAAGATAAACCTTTAATTTCATGAACAAGATACTTTTTTTAAATCAACCAAACTTTCCTTTGTATAATTACAATATTGAGAGACAGTTGTGTTTATGTCATTTTGTTCCAATGAGGTTCGGATAGATGTTTCATTTCATTCCAAACATATGATACCAAGAACAAAAGAAGTGCCCGATGTGTTTTCTAAAACAATATAGAGAAAAGTATATATATCTATTTCAAATTATATTGTTACCATTCAAACGATGACCATTAAATTGACAATGTGTAAAATTTTCAGAATTTTTTATGACTAGTTTAAGAGAAACGTGTGTTCAAAAAGTTTGCCATATCGATACCTATCATTTTGCAACAACCCATGATATGGAATACATTTCCATAACTTCCTCTTCTGGTACGTATTATTGCATTGTCTGCCATTCAGAATGTCAGTTAAGTTGTATATCATTTCATGTTAATTTTAGCCTATAATAGGCATTATCTCCAAAATGTCTTGAAATGAGTAAATATTCAACTATTTGATGCAGATTTCTGTGTTATTCAGACTATACTATTACCAATATACCTTTCAAAATGGTAAAAGAACTCATCAATATTGTATTAGTTAATTAATCTGCTTTCATTTGATACATAAATCAACAATTTTGACCTTCTATAATTAGACTTATATCCCCAAAGCTGACACAGGGGTTATATCTATCTGGCCAGTTTTGAGCATTCCGTCTTCAGCAATTGGTAAATCATGATTTTGACCCCTGTGGTAATCGAAACGTCATTTTAAAACAAATACTTATTTATGTGAAATAAATTATATATCAGTCTGTTGGAAATTAATTGTCTTTCCATTGATACATGATTTAAAGTTTTGTCTGTAGTGTTAAAAATGTTGTAGCAAAAACAAAAATATGGACATTTTTTGCCCACCCTGTATAATTCATGGTGCATTGCAATGATGTATTTAAAAAGATGTGTGGTATTTTAGAGGATTTTGACATATCAAGCTGTTATTTCGTTACTCAAATGTATTTGTAACACAAATATCTTCATGGCCAATAGATATTTTTCTTAACTCGTGGCTTGCTCTTTTTGACTTGGTATTAAAGATAATGACATAGATCTATATTACATTACATCGTAAATTCTTAAACATCGTCCACATCAATGTACTACCTATTCCCTTTAGCATTGCCCAAGTCGGTTTATCTTTTATTTATCTTGAGTTTCAATTAACATTAGAATCTGAAAATGAATAAAATGAAAAGAACAACGACTTTGGCAAGGCCTTTATAATTGTTTTGAAACACAGAATCAAATTTTATCGGTCGATCTGACATGGGTAGACTATATACAAAAGGAGGGTTATAAAGAATGTAAAGTAAATTGTATACAGCTAAACAGTAAGCTGTATGACTTTGATTGCAGTGAATTAAAATGTATTTTGGTTAATCGATTGATTTTCCCCTTCTCTACTTCTCTAATCTATGTCTATTTCGAATTCTAGGTCCTACCACTTGATGCCATTACAATAGATACAAGATGAGGCCCGATGTGACCTCACAATGAGGTTTCTCCTACGACTGATCTTACTGGGAGTGGTGTATGTGATTCTGTGTGTCTCCCCTACCCATGGCCAGGATTTCTGGCCCGCACATGAGTTTTACAATGACCGCTTCAGTACTTTCATGACAGTTGAATATACAGAGGGTATGTTCATCACGTTAGGTCATGTGTGCCATTTTATATATCTATGTATGCCATTTCCACAGAGGTGCGCTTTTCACTGTCATTTACATGCTTGGAAACTCCCACTTTATTTAATGTTTGAATTACAATTATATAAAGAAAATTTGTATAAAGGTCAAAACAATTGTCTAAATATATTTAGAGCGTGTTGAGTTCATGTCAATTTTTGCACAAAACATTTTTGGATAACGAATGACAAAATTGATGAACGTTTGAAATACGCCCTAATGTGTAAACTTTGCATAGCATACTGATCTAGAAAGGACATTTCTATCTCTATTGTCTTTACGATAGATGTCTTCATATTCAAGAATATGTGAGAACGTTTTAAAAGGAAACAACACATCGCATACCTAAAACCTCAAAAATAAAAATATCCATCTTATACCACAGGTTTGAATTCTCTCTTACCTTGCTATTTAACTCTTACTAACAGACCATCGCAGTTTGTAATTGCAATTTTCGATAAGTATTAACAAATAAAATTCAGCAAAATTGCAAGTGAGTTTGCAGTGATATTAGATGGAAGAATTGCTTAAGATCAATGCAAAAAGAGAAGGTCAAATTGTACAACCGATGTACAGGCGACAATGGGGGGAGGACTTCAGATGTTATAAATAACAAACTTAAAGATAACCCAAAGTCTCCGGACCTCTCTAGCCAGCGCATTGCTATATTCTGTCTAAATAGACAACGTATAGCTTAAACCTTATCATATGGTGTTCGTCAGCTAGCTTCTCTTGCAATGTAACCCTACATTATATGTAACATTGTAACTTTACCCTTCGAATGGAAAAAATGTCAGAATATAATCAGAAGCGAAACCTGATATTTCAATTAATTTTTCATCTGATAGCATAGAAAACTAGATTGGTGAAATTGAACAAATTAAATTCAAGACTCCAGATTCCAGATTTTAAATAAAAAGTAATTTTGACATCTGATATTGATGAGAAAATGAGAAAGAAAATGTATAATGCTCTATTCTTGCCAAATTTAATTTTTACTGACTTTTCCGAAAATTCAGGCAAAAACAATAGACTCTATTAAGAGTCTAATAAAACAGGATGTTAGCTTTTCTGAAAGGGACCCTCTTAATGTAGGCAATTTACCAGTCAGTTATTCGTTCCGATCTGCATCTGAATATTAATGCATGTAGGCAGTAGAGTTTCCTAAAAAGCTCTCAGTGGAGTCTGTCTATTGATTATTCGAAAGGCATCTGACCCGGAAATTGGAAAAATACTTTTCCAAGAATCACCCAACTCATTAAAGTATTACACGTTGGATAAAGGCAATTCGTAACATTGGTTTTCAAGGTCTCCCATCATCCAAGGTTAGGCTGACACAGTATCCATGGCAGTACGGGTTGCCATAGAAACCTGCATCTACCAATCTCCAATACCCATAATGCTAGTATTCTGCAATGCTTCACTTTGTATTTGGCCAATTGAAACTGTTGGATTAAACTGGAAAGGGTTTCATATGATATTTATAATAGCATTAATTATTAGTTATGCAATATGTATTCCATTGTTTTTGAGAGAAAAAATTACAAAATAAGTTTTATAGAAAACCACTACAAAAGGATCACCACCGTTTTGGGATACGCAAAACGCCACTGCTACAAAAAAGTTTATTCATACATTTCGAGAATAATGCCTAATGCCTCGAGATTTTTGTTTTAAATTTGTAGAAAATTGTCTAAAGTAGAATCCAAATATTTTGCTCAATATAATATAAGAATAGCTAATTAAATGAGAACAATAAACCTGTCTAATCCGAACGCCATTGGGTCCGTTTAAAAGCGTTCGTACAGAAGGTATTCACATTTCGATGGTTTTTGATTTCGAAGGAATGTGAACGCATTCTCTATTGAATATTTATAAAAAAAATCTAACTAATTAAAGTGTACATGAATAACAAGTAATATTGATTCTAAAAATCGCAGAAACCATTTTTTGTGGAAATGTAACATGTGTCAGTTTGTCCCGATAATTTGTACAACAGGGAAACATGATAGTCCTGTAAAGTTGTGATTCTATGTATTAAAATAAGTGTGATAATATCGTTATTAACAACAAAGACTGTTTGCAATTGTAGATGAGACTCGAAATGGAATGTTCACTCAAGAGGATACTGTTGATTCGCCCTACCGTTACCCCAGGCCAGGTGACCCATGTCTAGGTTGTGAATGTGACATCGACGCTGGAACAGTAGAGAACTGTTTAGGACCAGTCGTGTAAGTATGTGGTGTTATAATAAAATTAATTGGTTCAGTATGTCAAGGTTGTGTGTCACCCTATGCGGACAGAGCCTGTGGAAAATATTGTGTGTGGCGCAAATGAGCGGAGGGTGCGGAGCTAACGGTCATTTTTGAATTTAAAATTGGGATATTTCTGAAACTAAGCCGTTTTGGGACTCCAAATATACCAAGATATGTGTATTTGACACCAAATATCAATAAAATTGTGAAAATAGTAGTGCAATTCATTTTATAGCGACGCAGTATGCCTTAAACATTTCCCAGACCTAAATATTTTGAGACTATCCTTTTAATACTGCGTCCCCAGCATTCATAAAAAATGGTGTTCAAGATACACTACCCATGCAAATTATTTTTGCATCTTTGAAGCCAGGCAGTATCTGTGTGATTTTATAAAAATTCGGAAATGTTCTTCAGATATGAGCCCCCTCTAAATATTGGGTGCGGAGGTACGTTTATGGAGCCCCTCCGCACCCAATATTTAGAGGGGGCTCATATCTGAAAAACATTTCCGAATTTTTATAAAATCACACAGATACTGCCTGGCTTCCAAGATGCAAAAATAATTTGTATAGATAGTGTACCTTGAACACCATTTTTTATGAATGCTGGGGACTCAGTATTAAAAGGATAATTTCAAAATATATAGGTCTGGGAAAGGTTTAAGGCACACTGCGTCGCTATAGAATGAATTGCGCTACTATTTTCACAATTGTATTGATATTTGGTGTCAAATACACATATCTTGGTATATTTGAAGTCCCAAAACGGCTTAGTTTCAGAAATATCCCAAATTTAAATTCAAAAATGACCGTTAGCTCCGCACCCTCCGCTCATTTGCTCCGCACCCAATATTTCCCACAGGCTCTGTCTGCATAGGGTGTGTGTGTGACGAGACTAATGATACAGGAGAAAAGTGTAATGTGACAATTGTATGATAAACCGACAATTGTCAGTCGGACAGACACACGGACAGATCGTGGGTTGTTACAATACCCCACACCGTATGAGCTAAAAAGAACTGTTCATTGGTCCTCTATGGGAGGGTGTGTTTATTTGTTAGGGAGATGCTGGTGTAGTCTTCCTGAGCTAGCAGTTCTATTGTATGTATTATGATCTCCTGATGACCAATAACGTATATTATTATTACCATTCAATTTAAAGCACATGTAATATTCTTTACTAAGAATTATTATCTGTGCAGAAGCATATCAATGGATGTAGCCCGGAGAACATGTGCCATGGGACAGGATATGCCCATTCATTATTTATATGTTAATAACTTTTCGTTTTGGTATTCCAGGTCACTGGTAGGACAGACATTTACAAACATCACCAACAATACATTTCCAGATCCCACTCTTATCACAGACATGTAGGTGTTTTAATCATTCCTTATTCACTTATTAACTTTGGTCGCTCGGTTTCTTTTTTAATTTCTATTTATTTATTTATATTTATTTATATATTCAAGTATACAACAGTAACAATTGAACATGAGTTTCTGTTGTTATTTGAAATGCATTGTCCTCGTGACAAATATATGATGATGATGAACCCATTGCATTGCCGATTGTTTTAATTTGTGTTCACATGGTCTTCCAGTACACTTAATGATGATGAACTTAATTTGTGTTCACGTGGTCTTCCAGTACACTTTATGATGATGAACCCATTGCATTGCCGATTGTTTTAATTTGTGTTCACGTGGTCTTCCAGTACACTTTATGATGATGAACCCATTGCATTGCCGATTGTTTTAATTTGTGTTCACGTGGTCTTCCAGTACACTTTATGATGATGAACCCATTGCATTGCCGATTGTTTTAATTTGTGTTCACATGGTCTTCCAGTACAATATATGATGAACCCATTGCATTGCCGATTGTTTTAATTTGTGTTCACATGGTCTTCCAGTACAATATATGATGAACCCATTGCATTGCCGATTGTTTTAATTTGTGTTCACGTGATCTTCCAGTACACTTTATGATGATGAATCCATTGTATTGCCGATTGTTTTAATTTGTGTTCACATGGTCTTCCAGTACAATATATGATGAACCCATTGCATTGCCGATTGTTTTAATTTGTGTTCACATGGTCTTCCAGTACAATATATGATGATCAACCCATTGCATTGCCGATTGTTTTAATTTGTGTTCACATGGTCTTCCAGTACAATATATGATGAACCCATTGCATTGCCGATTGTTTTAATTTGTGTTCACATGGTCTTCCAGTACAATATATGATGATCAACCCATTGCATTGCCGATTGTTTTAATTTGTGTTCACGTGGTCTTCCAGTACACTTTATGATGATGAACCCATTGCATTGCCGATTGTTTTAATTTGTGTTCACGTGATCTTCCAGTACACTTTATGATGATGAATCCATTGTATTGCCGATTGTTTTAATTTGTGTTCACATGGTCTTCCAGTACAATATATGATGAACCCATTGCATTGCCGATTGTTTTAATTTGTGTTCACATGGTCTTCCAGTACAATATATGATGATGAACCCATTGCATTGCCGATTGTTTTAATTTGTGTTCACAATTGTCTTCCAGTACAATATATGATGATCAACCCATTGTATTGCCGATTGTTTTAATTTGTGTTCACATGGTCTTCCAGTACAATATATGATGAACCCATTGCATTGCCGATTGTTTTAATTTGTGTTCACATTGTCTTCCAGTACAATATATGATGATCAACCCATTGCATTGCCGATTGTTTTAATTTGTGTTCACATGATCTTCCAGTACAATATATGATGATCAACCCATTGCATTGCCGATTGTTTTAATTTGTGTTCACGTGGTCTTCCAGTACAATATATGATGATCAACCCATTGCATTGCCGATTGTTTTAATTTGTGTTCACATGGTCTTCCAGTACACTTTATGATGATGAACCCATTGCATTGCCGATTGTTTTAATTTGTGTTCACATGGTCTTCCAGTACAATATATGATGATCAACCCATTGCATTGCCGATTGTTTTAATTTGTGTTCACATGGTCTTCCAGTACACTTTATGATGATGAATCCATTGCATTGGCGATTGTTTTAATTTGTGTTCACATGGTCTTCCAGTACACTTTATGATGATGAATCCATTGCATTGGCGATTGTTTTAATTTGTGTTCACATGGTCTTCCAGTACAATATATGATGATGAGCCCATCATTGCCGATTGCTTTAGTTTGTGTTCACATGGTCTTCCAGTACAATATATGATGATGAACCCATTGCATTGCCGATTGTTTTAATTTGTGTTCACATGGTCTTCCAGTACAATATATGATGATGAGCCCATCATTGCCGATTGCTTTAGTTTGTGTTCACATGGCCTTCCAGTACAATATATGATGATGAACCCATTGCATTGCCGATTGTTTCAATTTGTGTTCACATGGTCTTCCAGTACAATATATGATGAACCCATTGCATTGTCGATTGTTTTAATTTGTGTTCACATGGTCTTCCAGTACACTTTATGATGATGAACCCATTGCATTGCCGATTGTTTCAATTTGTGTTCACATGGTCTTCCAGTACAATATATGATGAACCCATTGCATTGTCGATTGTTTTAATTTGTGTTCACATGGTCTTCCAGTACACTTTATGATGATGAATCCATTGCAATGCCGATTGTTTTAATTTGTGTTCACATGATCTTCCAGTACAATATATGATGATGAATCCATTGCATTGCCGATTGTTTTAATTTGTGTTCACGTGGTCTTCCAGTACACTTTATGATGATGAACCCATTGCATTGCCGATTGTTTTAATTTGTGTTCATGTGATCTTCCAGTACACTTTATGATGATGAATCCATTGCATTGCCGATTGTTTTAATTTGTGTTCACATGGTCTTCCAGTACAATATATGATGAACCCATTGCATTGCCGATTGTTTTAATTTGTGTTCACATGGTCTTCCAGTACAATATATGATGAACCCATTGCATTGCCGATTAATTTAATTTGTGTTCACATGGTCTTCCAGTACACTTTATGATGATGAACCCATTGCAATGCCGATTGTTTTAATTTGTATTCACATGGTCTTCCAGTACACTTTATGATGATGAACCCATTGCATTGCCGATTGTTTTAATTTGTGTTCACATGGTCTTCCAGTACACTTTATGATGATGAACCAATTGCAATGCCGATTGTTTTAATTTGTGTTCACATGGTCTTCCAGTACAATATATGATGAACCCATTGCATTGCCGATTAATTTAATTTGTGTTCACATGGTCTTCCAGTACACTTTATGATGATGAACCAATTGCAATGCCGATTGTTTTAATTTGTGTTCACATGGTCTTCCAGTACAATATATGATGAACCCATTGCATTGCCGATTAATTTAATTTGTGTTCACATGGTCTTCCAGTACACTTTATGATGATGAACCCATTGCATTGCCGATTGTTTTAATTTGTGTTCACGTGGTCTTCCAGTACACTTTATGATGATGAACCCATTGCATTGCCGATTGTTTTAATTTGTGTTCACGTGGTCTTCCAGTACACTTTATGATGATGAACCAATTGCAATGCCGATTGTTTTAATTTGTGTTCACATGGTCTTCCAGTACAATATATGATGAACCCATTGCATTGCCGATTGTTTTAATTTGTGTTCACATGGTCTTCCAGTACACTTTATGATGATGAACCCATTGCATTGCCGATTGTTTTAATTTGTGTTCACGTGGTCTTCCAGTACACTTTATGATGATGAACCCATTGCATTGCCGATTGTTTTAATTTGTGTTCACATGGTCTTCCAGTACAATATATGATGAACCCATTGCATTGCCGATTAATTTAATTTGTGTTCACATGGTCTTCCAGTACACTTTATGATGATGAACCCATTGCATTGCCGATTGTTTTAATTTGTGTTCACGTGGTCTTCCAGTACACTTTATGATGATGAACCCATTGCAATGCCGATTGTTTTAATTTGTGTTCACATGGTCTTCCAGTACAATATATGATGATGAATCCATTGCATTGCCGATTGTTTTAATTTGTGTTCACGTGGTCTTCCAGTACACTTTATGATGATGAACCCATTGCATTGCCGATTGTTTTAATTTGTGTTCACGTGGTCTTCCAGTACACTTTATGATGATGAACCCACTGCATTGCCGATTGTTTTAATTTGTGTTCACGTGATCTTCCAGTACACTTTATGATGATGAACCCATTGCATTGCCGATTGTTTTAATTTGTGTTCACGTGATCTTCCAGTACACTTTATGATGATGAACCCATTGCATTGCCGATTGTTTTAATTTGTGTTCACATGGTCTTCCAGTACAATATATGATGAACCCATTGCATTGCCGATTGTTTTAATTTGTTCACGTGGTCTTCCAGTACACTTTATGATGATGAACCTATTGCATTACCGATTGTTTTAATTTGTGTTCACGTGGTCTTCCAGTACACTTTATGATGATGAACCCATTGCATTGCCGATTGTTTTAATTTGTGTTCACATGATCTTCCAGTACACTTTATGATGATGAACCCATTGCATTGCCGATTGTTTTAATTTGTGTTCACATGATCTTCCAGTACACTTTATGATGATGAACCCATTGCATTGCCGATTGTTTTAATTTGTGTTCACGTGGTCTTCCAGTACACTTTATGATGATGAACCCATTGCATTGCCGATTGTTTTAATTTGTGTTCACGTGGTCTTCCAGTACACTTTATGATGATGAACCCATTGCATTGCCGATTGTTTTAATTTGTGTTCACATGATCTTCCAGTACAATATATGATGATGAATCCATTGCATTGCCGATTATTTTAATTTGTGTTCACATGGTCTTCCAGTACAATATATGATGATGAACCCATTGCAATGCCGATTGTTTTAATTTGTATTCACATGGTCTTCCAGTACAATATATGATGATCAACCCATTGCATTGCCGATTGTTTTAATTTGTGTTCACATGATCTTCCAGTACAATATATGATGATGAACCCATTGCAATGCCGATTGTTTTAATTTGTATTCACATGGTCTTCCAGTACAATATATGATGATCAACCCATTGCATTGCCGATTGTTTTAATTTGTGTTCACATGATCTTCCAGTACAATATATGATGATGAGCCCATCATTGCCGATTGCTTTAGTTTGTGTTCACATGGTCTTCCAGTGCAATATATGATGATGAACCCATTGCATTGCCGATTGTTTTAATTTGTGTTCACATGGTCTTCCAGTACACTTTATGATGATGAACCCATTGCATTGCCGATTGCTTTAATTTGTGTTCACATGGTCTTCCAGTACACTTTATGATGATGAACCCATTGCATTGCCGATTGTTTTAATTTGTGTTCACATGGTCTTCCAGTACAATATATGATGAACCCATTGCATTGCCGATTGTTTTAATTTGTGTTCACATGGTATTCCAGTACAATCGTAGACTGTCCAAATTTTGCCAAGACCAGTGAGAATGTATTTCAAGGTATGGTGCAGCTTGAGACCATGTAAGTATCCCTCTGCTATGGTACTACTAGCGTATTGGTATTATTAATAGCAATTTACATTTCCAGTTTAAAAGTTTACAGCATTTGATAAATATTAAACTAGACGTCAGCCTTTTATTGTATGAGGATCTTAAAAACTTATTTTACTTGGATTTTGGATTATAGTTCATACATTTATTACACAATGTTATTGTTTTCCTACGTTCTCAGGTTGATACAAGACACCCTGCTTGAGATTATTCCAGACCTATCTGATACTATACTCACAAAACTGTAAGTTACAAGCAAATTCTACATCATCCACATTAAGGTATCAAACGGGAAGGCTAAAGATTACAAAATACAACAAGAATAAGCCCAACCAAATGTTTCTATAATTCCAAGCTATGATCAAACCATGGGCTTTCAATTAGAAAAAGTCCATGATCAAACATAGAAAGGAACCCATGTATGTTTGCATAACATTAGATACTTTTTACCCAACTTCTCCCACAATATGCCACACGTGATTGTGTTGTTTTAATATGCAACATTTGAATACTTTTAGAATGATAATTAGAATGATGATTATCGTAAGTTTACGTTTGTATTCTAATTTCTAATTTGATCAATTACTGCATGCTGTAAATAATCATTTTTGGCATTTTAGGAATCTTAATCACAACAAAATCCATTTTGATACAAGGAATTATACTCGCTTTATGATGCCTTCGACATTGACTCACATGTAAGTAACAACCTAAGTAGACATCAATGAGACAAAATTCAAACCTGCATACATTTACAGTTTGTTCATATAAAAATATACTTTATAGTATCCGAGAGAATAAATGATTTACTGTGTTTAAAAATTAAGCAAGCCACAAGTGCCCAAGTCGGTCTCTTTTGTATGTTTGTATGAATGTATAATTTATTTACCTCTTAATAAAATGAAAGTTACATTTACATTATTTTACAAACTAATTAAAAAAGTAAAAGCATCACACAAAGATTAATAAAGAGTAGGTAATGTACAGTGATTAGACATTTTTAACAGCAGTTGTCTCTGCTTATGCATTATGTACACTTTCTGTGATACAGATAATAGTTTCTCATTGTCACATACTATACTGTGTATTACCTTAAGAATAAAATTGTCATCTTGAACATTCAAATTGCTCATTACAATGTTAATCATGGGTTCTCGGACTCCAGAAAGAGCCAGACACTTTAATAAGAAATGACTAATCTTGATTTCTATCATCAAGTAAAAAATATCGACTTGGGCAAGGCTAAGCTCAGTCATACCTTCTTCATTTCAGTTCACTCACCAACAATGAGATCATTTGGCTGCCCTCTGATTTCCTCGCTGGCACCAGTGTCAAATTTGCGTGAGTATTTTTTCCCAGGGCTATGGATGGTATGTCTCTTTGAACTTTATTTTCGGTATGGTGTTATTGCATTCCATTTAAAATGCAATATAGTGTTTCATTTTTTATTTATAGAATATTGGACTAAAATTCTTCAGGTGAATAAATCAATTTTTAGGATGTATGTATGTAGGATGAACACTTTGAAAACCTCTTTCAGTTTTCGTTCCCAGTTTAATATTGAACTTAACTACTATTTTCGGTTCTCTTTACAGGAGTTTTGCCAACAACAAACTCAAGCAGTTTCCTCAGGAAGCAGTGCGTGGTCTCACTGACCTGGTATATCTGTGAGTAGGCCTATTCATTTCTGTCCTTAAGTATTCATTTCTGTCTGTCATTTCTGTCTGTGACTTCTACTTCCATGCATGAATGATGTATATGTATGTATCTCATACTTGAGTGGGTTTGGGGTAGATATCACCCGGGAATATATATCGTATCTGAGGAGCGGGCAGGATATATTATATATGTCCCGCTCCAGTCCAAATGCGGGCAGATATAATATATCCATCCCGCTCCCGGGAATTTTTTTTTATTTTCTTTTTATGAACAGTTCATGTTTTACAATTACAAAAGTTTAAATGTTACAATTTCATTGTATTGAACTAAAGAAATATTACAAAAATGTTAAATATAAATTGTGCTTTTACAGTATAGGCCAATATTGTCATTTGAAAAAGGTGGAAAGGTTATATCTACCCCAAACCCACTGAAGTATGAGATACACCAGTTATGTACGCTCGGTTTTGGATATAGGGTTTATCCCTCGGGAAATATTTATATCTCCCCTTGGTCCCTTCGGTCCCTCGGGGAGATATAAATATATCACTCAGGATATACCCTATATCCAAAACCTCCCAGTACATAACCCTTATTTATTCCATGCCAATTTTGTTAAATTGTAGCATTGACATTCTACTTTTTATCGTTCTTATTAGTCCATTTCAAATTGCACACTATCAATTGCAAAATACCACACAGCGATTTGAATTAAAATTATTGACACATTACATCAACTCATTTATTTTCGATTCCTCACTTCATGCATTTTTATCTTTGCAGTGGCGTCGAAGGAAACGAGATAACTTCGATATCCAAAAGGAATATGATAGCATTGGATACAAGTCCAATGTTCCAACATTTGTAAGTTCATATCATTTGCCTTTTGCATGTTAAGCCAATGGTTATAAAGGGCTTCTTCTGTAAAACACTCTCGGATCACCTTCTTACAAAGTGCATGTTAAATATTCTGATTGGTAAATCGATAAAAATTAACAATAAACACATTTCTTAACACATGGAAATATTTTCTTAAACAGGTAGTAGAGAAATGTATCTTGAATGTACAGGGTGGGCCAATAAAAATTGGAAGATTTTTCAATTTATTCAATTTTCTCTATTAATGTTAAAGATAAAAAAATGTATGTATAATTATTTTTGGCTTGTCATGATCATGATCTGTGTACTGCGTGCGTAATGAAAAAAGTCCTCATTTTCTCTGCTTGAGACATCATTGCTGAAAATACAGTCAAGGGAGACAAGTCTTGCTTCTCCTAGATATATATGTTTTGATCGATGGAAATTGTAATGAGACCATTTGAAGTGTACATATTGTATGGTATGAAATATATTGTATACTCAGCAGTTATTTCTCAAGCAGAGAAAATTTGGAAATTATTCATGACACGCGCAGAATAAAGATCATGACCATAACAAGCCAAAAATAATCATACATACATATTTTTATCTTTAACATTTTCACAAATAATCATTTTACCATTATCTGAATTTTTTGTCTGAACTGCAATAATAGAGAAAATTGAATAAACAGAAAAATGTTCCAATTTCTATTGGCCCACCCTGTAATAGAATATTCGGCGTTTTAAAGCATTTCCCTTGTGTTTTTTATAGGAACTTGAGCAACAACTTAATACGGACTATAGCGGCAGGGGCATTTAACGTCCTCCCTAATCTACAGTTGCTGTGAGTAGAATTATGAAATGCCCCATCTTTGACATTGCCTCATTTTAATTAAAACGGTGTAGATATCCGATCGACATTATCATGTCAGGATTCCCAATTACCGTTCAGTTTCATGAAAAACAATTGAAAAGTCAAATGTCATTTTTGTCCCATTTCTTGCTTTTTGATTGCCTTTTGTATAACTTCTTCAGAAAACGAACTGAACATTTCATATTTTAATTCATATTTTTATTATTTTATTACAGCGAGCTTCACCAGAACAGCTTGGAAACACTCGCCTGGAAAGTCTTCTATGATCTCCCAGAGCTACTTTATCTGTAAGTAATCTTAAAAATGAATGTAATCTCTTTTTGGGGATGATCATGGGTTTGTTAAATACGCTTATTTCCAAAACCAATGGGGATACAAATAAACTAAATAGACATTATTTTTCTACTGCAGAGATCTGAACAACAATAATTTGGAAACACTGCCAGCAAACTCACTGGTGAATTTGCCAAAGTTACGGGAGCTCCGGCTTCACTCTCAGAAGACTCCGATGACATCTATAGCATTCAATGCGTTCAATGGAATCAACAGTAACCTGTTCATGCTGTAAGTATAAAGTAGGCTTGACACACACGAGTCACTATTTCCTGTTAACATTTTTATTTTCAGTAATATCGAGTAAATTCGAACGTTCTATTTTTGATATACTGGTATTGTTACTTAAAATCATGTTTTAAACAAATGACAATTACCTAGATGTGAGTAGATGGTTAACAGTTCCATCACCAGGTGGCTGATTCGGGTTAATTAACATGGCAGGTATATAAGGAAATTCCCTTTGACTTGAATATTATCAGTTTAAGTGAATCAATTTTTATATATTCCTTATGTGTCTGATAGTTATACAAACGAAAATATGTCCAGTAAAAGAAAAAATATTATCTGCCTAACACAAGAAAAGATATTTCACTTTTGTGGTTTTGTAGCATGTAAATTTTGAATATTTAATGAAGTAAATCAATATCATTTCTACTCGCATCTCATACTGTTTGTTGTTGAACTGCGCGTGTGTTATGAAGAAACTGTTACGCCATTTACGTCTTATTATGCAACTATCATCACAAATTACTAACAATTGTAAATTAAATAAATTTATGAGTTAAATGCGTCAAAATACATGTTAAACATTAAAATAAATATATTTTCTATGCTGTAGGTGGGTCAGTGATAATAGTCTCCCCAACTATCCCCACCAGGCTTTGGGAGAGGACATTTATCCAACGCTCGCTCAGGTGTAAGTTGTTATTAAAACCGTAATTATAATTTTTAATTGAATTAGCCATTTAACCAGAACTTGGAAGTCCATATACATTATACAGTAAACTATAAATGTATTGTGAAAGTTCGCTATAAATAACCTGCTTGGAATATTACATTATTCAAGTAATAAGTGATGGCACTGTTATACACAAAACAGGTAATGGCACTGTTATACAAGTCATAAGTAATGGCACTGTTACACATTAAATAAGTAATGGCACTGTTATACAAGTAATAAGTAATGCCAATGTTACACATGTAATAAGTAATGGCGCTGTTATATGTAACAAGTAATGGCACCAGTTATACACGTAATAAGCAATGGCACTATTATACACATAATAAGTAATGGCACTGGTACACACTATAAGTAATGACACTGTTATACAAGTAATAAGTAATAGCAATGGTATACTTGATAAGTAATGGCACTGTTTTACAATAAGTAATGGCACTGTTATAGACGTTATAAGTAATGGCACTGTTGTACAAGTAATAAGTAATGGCAATGTTATACACGTGATAAGTAATGGCACTAATACAAATGATAACACCCCAGTCATATTTCCTACGGCGACCTTGCGGTCTATCATTTCTGCGGCCAGTAACATTTCTACGCTCGCCGTGGAATTTCTGCGCTCTCATACTTTTGCAGTCACATTTCCCACGGCAGCCGCACGGTGAATTTTAAATTTCTGTTGATAAATAATACTTTTTTCATTTTATTTACATCTGGACAATTTATAAATGTTATTCATAGTGCTAGGATGTAATATCAAATGAAAAGTGATCGTGAAACATTGACAAATAATGATTCAATCTTGTTGAGACAGTCGATTTCTACGGGGACCTCAGAAATGAACAAATATTTTACACCCCAGTCACATTTGTCGCACGGCGGCCGCAAGTCGACCGCAGAACAATTAAATCGATGAATTTCTGCGGCGAGCGTAGAAAAACTACGCTCGCCTTGCGGCCTCCGTACGGCGTATGCAGATTTTTACAGGCCGCAGGGAAGGCGTAGAAATTATAACTCGGAGTTATAATATTTGTTCATTTCTGAGGTCCCCGTAGAAATCAACTTGCTCAACTAGATTGAATCATTATTTGTCAATGTTTCACGATCACTTTTCATTTGATATTACATCCTAGCACTTTGAATAACATTTATAAATTGTCCTGATGTAAATAAAATGAAAAAAAAATATTATTTATCAATATAAATTTAAAATTCACCGTGCGGTTGCCGTGGGAAATGTGACTGCAAAAGTATGAGAGCGCAGAAATTCTGCGGCGAGCGTAGAAAAGCTACTGGCCGCAGAAATGATAGACCGCAAGGTCGCCGTAGGAAATGTGACAGGGGTGTTACACCTCAGTCACATTTCCTACGGCGACTTTGCGGTCTATCATTTCTGCGGCCAGTAACATTTCTACGCTCGCCGTGGAATTTCTGCGCTCTCATACTTTTGCAGTCACATTTCCCACGGCAGCCGCACGGTGAATTTTAAATTTCTGTTGATAAATAATACTTTTTTCATAATAGAGAGATTTCGCACATAAGTGAAAGTACAACTTATACGTATACGTATAGTTTAAAGGGTCGTGTCGAACTATTATATTTACTAAAATCAATTTTAAATTGTACTTAATGGAACATAACTATTCCCGTTATAGAAAAGCTCCATCAACTAGAGACTGTGAATACACTGTCATCTGCACGTGTAGATTATGCACATTATAATTAAATGCTTGCTTCCGTGTCCTTTTAGTTGTAGTGTATTATAAACACGATCCTTTAAAGTGAGTCATTACATAAACAAGTTGATTATTTCAATGTTTTCATGATCAGTATAAGTTCAATGAACTTACAAAACGGTATATTTACGTAGATGATAACGTATACAGTTGGATCTCCGTATAAAGATTTGCCTACATGTGTGTGGAACAATTGACCGCAAGCATTTTTTGAAATTAATTGGCTGAGTGGGAACAGTATCCAATCAAATACTTTAACCATCAATTTGAAACACCAATCAAACCAGTAGGTTCTAGCAATTCCTGGAAACGACCCATTCAGTAGCTCAACATATGACATACAGGGTGTTTCATAACGAGCATCTCCAAAAGTCAATTTGAGAAGAGATGGTTGTATATAGGGATAAAGGAATTTTTCAGATAAGCCTTAATTAAGCTGTTTCCTCCTGTTCATCCTGCAATCGATTTGATGAGTTTAAATGATAAAACATATATTCCTGCACACGTTTTCACTTGTTGAGCACTCGTCAACATTACCGTTTACTTATTATTGAGGGGTTTAACAGGGGTCCACAAAAAATTAAAAAATATTAGATTTTGATATTTTTGAAGTTTACAACCGATTATCTACTTATGCATCGGTTTTTAGAAAGGTTATTAACATAACATATTGATTTTATCTGTTTAATTGAAAATAAGATCGTCTGTCTGATTATATTTTGCATTCAAAATGATTAAAAATAATTGTTCCATTAAGTACACTTTCTTTTAACATCACCTTGTTTTTTGTTGATCCGCCAATTGTTTTGATATCTTTAAATGATAAAACATATATTTTTACATATGTTTTCACATGTTGAGCACTTGTCAACATTACCATTTACTTATAATTGAGGGGTTTGACAGGGGTCCACAAAAAATAAAAAATATTAGATTTTGATATTCTTGAAGTTTACAACGGATTATCTACTTATGAATTAGTTTTTTGGAAACTTATTAGCATGACCTATTGATTTTTCTGTTTAATTGAAAATAAGATCGTTTGTCTGATTATATTTTGCATTCAAAATGATTAAAAATGATGGTTCCATTTAGTTCACTTTCTTTTAACATCATCTTGTTTTTTGTTGATCCGCCAATTGTTTTGATATGTTTAAATGATAAAACATATATTACTACATACATTTTCACCTGTTGAGGACCTGTCAACATTACCGTTTACTTATTGAGGGGTTTAACAGGGGTCAACAAAAATATTAGATTTTGATATTTTTGAAGTTAACAACAGATTATCTACTCATTAATCGGCTTTTGGAAAGTTTATTTTCCCAACGAACTAAGTTCAGTAGGGATATAGTGAAGCCCTGCGTCTGTCAGTCCGTCAGTAAGTCAGTCAGTCCATCCGTCCATCTGTCCGGAAGATAACTTGAATACTAGATAGTAGACAGATATTCTTCATATTTGGTGGAAAGATGTATATTGATGAATAGTTTTACGCAAATTTTTTTTTCAAGATAGCCGCCAGTTTGAAAATGGCGGGAATTTTTCTCAAAAATCTTATGTTTTTCATTTTAAACCAAAATAAGAAACATTATTATTTGAAATTTTGGTAGTATATTAACAATATCTATCTTTTTCACTTATATCCCAGATTTTTCTCCCTTATCCCCAGGGGCCATAAATCGGGGGGTTGGGAAAACACAAATTTGTATTAATTTTGAGATGTTTTTGAAGTATAGCTTTATTATACTCAAATGAAAGGCAATTTAGTGTAGATTGCAAATATTGTAGCGTTTTTCTGATTCGGGCCTTAAAAAATTCAAAATGGCTGTCTAATGCGGGATTTCGCAATTATTTTCTGATCTCTTAAAAGTATGGCTATATCATACTCAATTGTAGATCACAATTATCACGCCCGTAATTGTACAAAAATGATGGAATTAGGCGATTTCTGCAAGAAAATTCAACAAAATTGGAAGATTTATTTTTTCAAGAGAAAATTTACAACTGAATTGCCAAATGAATAAGTGCAGTGCATGGCAAAATATGTTAGGTCATCTAGTATTTTTTTGAACTGATAGCCTCCTAAGATATGAGATCTATTAAAAAAGGCGCATCATTACCAACGTGCAAAAGTCAATGTGTTTGCTATAAATCGGGCAACAATGGTCTACACGACCTGTAGTAAATAGGTATAAGGGACGTCATTATTACAATACTAATGACATTGATCACTTTTTAAAGTTAGTTTCCATGCGTTACTCAGAAAATAATCGAAATAAATTAATTTGGGATGGAGGGGGGGATCGGATGGAGGGGGAGATTTATATATTTTTACGATGGAACAAATTCACAAGAACTCGTGTATTTGAAAAAACTAAACTCAGTACCCCAGTAACATGTCTTATATACACGTATCCCCCCTCCATCCCAAATTAATTTATTCCGATTATTTTTTGTATAACGCATGGAAACCAACTTTAAAAAGTGAGCAATGTCATTAGTATTGTGATAATAACGTCCCTGATACCTATTTATTACAGGTCGTGTAGACCATTGTTGCCCGATTTAAAGCAAGAACATTGCTTTTGCACTTTGGTGATGACGCGCCTTTTTTAATAGATCTCATATCCTACAAGGGTATCAGTTCAAAAAAAAATACTAGATGACCTAACATATTTTGCCATGCACTGCGCCTATTCATTTGGCAATTCAGTTGAAAATGTTCTCTTGAAAAAGTAAATCTTCCAATTTTGTTGAGTTTTCTTGCAGAAATGGCCTAATCCCCCTCCATCATTTTTGTACAATCACCAGGCGTGATAATTGTGATCTACTCTGAAATTCGTTCAATTTGAGTATAATATAGCCATACTTTTAAGAGATCAGACAATTTCTTGCAGAAATCGCCTAATCGGGAAAATTGCCGGGCATTAAAGCATTATTGGCCCGCCACTATGACGTCACATATTGCTCAGATCGAGTAAGTAACATAAATGCCTTCTAAACTAGCACTAATACCCCTATAATATTCCCGGCAAGGTGGTAATAATAGTAATTGATCTGAGAACTATCCACAAAAATATTCATCTTTTTGAATTAGACTTGAATTAAATCTTCAATAAATGAAAATCTAAACCATTTTAAGATATTCAGAAACTGCAAATGATTCAATTATAGCTATTTAAACCAATTTAAATATAGGATTTAAAGCTAGGATATGATAATAAGCTTAAAACATTTGATTAGTTATACCAATCATTATGATTTTAGAGCCCAAATGTTATCTCATTTTACAGTTTTAATTGTATAAATCTTCTTGCTGTCAACATATTTATAATAGTCTACACTTATTAAGTGCCTGTTTATAATGATACCAACCAACATTATTGTAATATTGAAATCATATAAGTAATAAAGATCCCCAAGCGGAGGTCAATGCCCCCCCCCCCCCCCATTTGTAACGTGGCGTTATACGAATTAGGTTGTAGACATCAGGATGAAACCAGTTTTCATGATTTAAACACCTTAAAATGATGTAATTTAATCGTAACAATGTACTAGCTTTCCATCTAGGAACTATCCGGAAAAATATTTAATTTTCGTAAAATAGACCCCTGCTGAAATCGTTCATAAATGAAGTTCTGTAACCTTGTATGGTGCACAAAAATTCATAAATGGTCAATGATATAATCCTAACTAACAAATGCAAACTTAAAACATAAGGCTGTAACAATAAGCTTTAAAAAAATTATATAGTGTTTGATGAGTTATACCCCCCACTTTGATCTTGGATTACAATTTGATCTACCTTTTCAGTTGAAATTTTACATTATGCTCTAGATGTATAATAATTCATACTTTTTGTACTTATTTATTATCTATTCACGAGAAATCTTTTAAAACGATTATTTCTTTAAAAAATGGACCCCTGCTTAAATCTCTAATAAATGATAAACGGTAATGTTGTGTGGCTCTCAACAAGCAATATCATATTCAGTGATATTAAATGTATCAATATAATCTATAAAAATGATTGCAACTTGAACAGGAGGTAATATTAAAATTTTTGTCAATTCCTTTAACACTAATAACATATGTACTATATATGAGCCTATTTTATTCTAGACAAACACATTTGGATCAACTAAACATGCTACAATTCAAGAAAGTACAAATGGCATCCCTTTGACCTGTATTTATTACAGTCCGAGAAGATCTTTCCTGACGAAAAGCCTACATTATGAAACACCTTGTACGTTTGCTTATAAGTATAAGTATACGTTATAAGTTGTACTTTCACTAGGTGCGAAATCTCTCTTTTATTCACATCGGGACAACTTATAAATGTTATTCATAGTGCTAGGATGTAATATCAAATGAAAAGTGATCGTGAAACATTGACAAATAATGATTCAATATTGTTGAGCCAGTTGATTTCTACGGGGACCTCGGAAATGAACCAATATTATAACTCCGAGTTATAATTTCTACGGCGACCCTGCGGCCTGTAAAAAACTGGATACGCCGTACGGAGGCCGCAAGGTGAGCGTAGTTTTCCTACGCTCGCCGCAGAAATCGTGAATACACGCACGGCCTCCGTACGACAAATGTGACTGGGGTGTTAGTAATGACACTGTTATACAAGTAATAAGTAATGGCACTGTTATACACGTTATAAGTACTGGCACTGTTATACAAGCAATAAGTAATGGCACTGTTACACACGTATGGCACTTTTATACAAGTAATATGTAATGGCACTGTTACACATTTAATAAGTAATGGCTCTGACACACAACAGGATGATAGGCCTACTAACTGGAGGTAGTAGCATCCAAGATGGTGAACAAAATTCGTTTGATATCAATGAACTGGGTTAAGGACAGGGTGCATGTTGGGAAATTTTCTGCATTCCTCAATTGAATCACATGTTATTTTTCAAACAAGAATAACTCCTTCCCCATATTGTCTACATGTTCCAAGTTTACACAAAGAGTACACTTATGTGCCTAGAAAAGCCTTGTGAGAAGGTTTGTTTTGTAAAATGTATGAAAAATGAGAAAATTAGGTGAAAAAAATTTCTAAAAATTTTCTGATTTTTTTCACTGAATTTTCTTGTTTTTTATACACTTGATCAAAACATTCTTCTCACAAGTCTTTTCTAGGCACATAAGTGCACTCTTTGTGCAAAACTGGAAGATATAGGCAATGTGGGGAAGGAGTGATTCTTGTTTGAAAAATAACATGTGACTCAATTGAGGGATGCAGAAAATTTCCCATCATGCACCCTGACCTTAAATCATCATGCCAATTGAAGCCAATTCAAGTATCCATTTCTTAATGATTAAATAGGCCTTCCCCTTTGTTCAGTTGCCAATATTCTTTGAGTCGGCGTTCGATTGTACATATTAACTTTATGTTCTGTTTAACGAAGGATTTCTGCATTATTTAAGACATGCCGAAGACAACCAAATCGTTAACCATACGGACTATGGTCAGGAGGCCTTTAGCATCAATCTACGAGCAACGTGGAAGGCGAGGTTGAAGACATTTGTGCCCTTTGAGACAACCCCAAATGTACAGACTCTGTTAGTACAAAGTTATTATTTTTTATCTTATTTATTCATATATATCTTAACTACATTTAGTGCACAAAAGTGCTTTGCATGAAACCAGTATAGGAACTACACTGTAGATATAGTATAAGATATAAGCTTAGTTACTATTCGTGAGCTTCACCCCACCAATGCTCATTTCACCCATGTGAAGATTCATCAGGGTGGCTCAGTTCTGGAATTTCATGGAAAATCCAGCAAGGGATATTTTATATTAATTAAGCATAAATTAACTTTCTAGAAAACATTTGAATTTGAAAAAACTGTGGAAACACTGAAAATTTATATGACCTTTTTCCAGAGAATTTTCATTTTTCCAAAAATGCTTCAAATGATGAATGAGACATTGAATGCTGAAATCGTTAATATCCGTGATAAATAAAGTGTTAAAGAGATTGCTTTGAATGCAGGTTCGGAGGGCATTAAATGTTATATTGTACATCATTGTGATAAAATGCCACTAAGTCTAACATTTTCATGAAGATATAATATGTACCCTTTGCATTCGTTTGACTTCACTTCTTAAAAGAGAGCTTCGTCTTGTAGTTTAACTAGACTCTGCACGCAGGGTAAGATATATGCCGTTTGAACTCTGAAATTTTGCTTCATATTGTATGGCCATCCTGTACACCCCCCCCCCCCTTTGAAAGTTTGATATATAAGAATCAACCTGATTGATCTGTCTCGCATTGTATTAATATGTTCTAGGTGGTTGAGTAGCAACAGGATAGAAGAGATTGAAGAAGATGATTTCTGTGAGATGACTATATTGACAAGACTGCATCTAGCTGGTAATCTCCTAACAGAAGACACAATCCATGTCACAGCCTGGGCTTGTAACTTGAGGCTTGAATTTCTGTAAGTTATGGATCTACAGGGTGTCCAAAACAGCTGTTACAATTGTTTTTAAATTCTTATGGTATTAATTGATCGATTTTTTGGGGCAACTTTGTTTATTGTTTGCAGCTTATGTTGTAATTTTCTTTATATCCAGGGACTTATCTTTCAATCGCATCCAATACATCCCTGAAGCAATACGTCATAGTACTGGATTGCCTGCTATTGAGGAGTTACGGTTACAGTCTAACAAATTGACGTTTCTACAACGTTACGCCTTTTCTGATCTATCAACGTTAAAAACTCTGTGAGTACAAACGTTTGATTTTGAAAGATTTTTTTGTTATATATAGTTAATAATTCCAACTCCTGGTGAAAACGTATTTACAAGGAAAGTTATGTCAAAGCCCATAAAGAATTCAAAAGTATTTAATTTTATAATAAAGAGTAAATTAGTATTGAAAAGGATTAGTAAAATCATAGTTATTACAACTCTTTCTCTTAAATATTTAGAGATATAAAACACATGCTCGCTGTAACAATAGTAAGGAGTTTAAGCTAGTAATGTTTTTCACAACCTAAACGCCAATGGAAAATATTTAAGCAATGCATTTGTATGGGCGATTGGTCACACGTATAGGTTGGCGTTTCAATTTTATATGGTAGCTTAAACTCCCTATTGATTCATTTACTCAAGCTTGTAGATCACCGTATGAAAATGTGAATGTCTTTCAGTTGGTTACATAATAATGGAATAATATCTATTGAAGATGGAAGTTTTCCCGAGGACAACCTGAATGAATTGTAAGTGACACTATCACAACTTGGCCAAAGGATAGGTATCGATATGGTGAATTTTTTTAACATGTATACGTTTCTCTTAAACCAGTCATCAAAAAAATTCGAAAATTTTTACACATCGTCAATTTAATGGTCACCTTTTGAATGGTAACGATATAATTTGAAATATATATCTTTTTATTTCTATATTGTTTTGGAAAACACATCAGACACTTCTTTTGTTCTTGGTATCATATGTTCGGAATCAATTATTTTTGTTAAATCAACCAAAATTTCCATTGTATAAATATGATCATATTGAGAGGTCTATGAAAATGTTGTATGTGCTATTTTGTTCCAATAAGGTTCGGAAAGACATTTTATTTCATTCTCAAGAATTGATAGAAAGGAACAATTGCACTAAGAACAAAAAATGTTAGCAAAAACAATTATATAAAATATACATAAATAATTTTCGCATTAAGGTGTTGTCAATCAGTCAACATTACATAAAAGGACCGTGTTTTTTACAGAATGTTTTCAATAATTGGTTTTAAGAGAAAAACATTGTTGAATAATTGGTTTTAAGAGAAAAACATTGTTGAATTCAGTTCACCATATCGATACCCATCCTTTAGAAGTTTACAACATCTTTGTTATCTTTGAAAGGTTTTATATTACCCCCTTTCACACCAAACTTGTTCTCAACCGTTCTTTCCAGGACTACAACGGGCTAAATCTGGCTCTAGTCGGGAAATATATCTAAAATTATTAGGTTCATCGTTCATAAACATCTTTAAAACGTCCAGTCTAGTTGCTTTGGTCATCTTGTTTGAAATGCATTGTCACAATTAATCTAACTGTCAGTGAACTGTATGGTCGCCATAGAATTTTCTTAGGAACGCAGTGGAAACTAGTTTGGTGTGATAGCTATATTTTGCTAACTCGTTCATAAGTAGTCTGTAAGACGTCCTTAATCAGTTTAAACAGTTTGCAATTAGTCGCCCTCGTTCTCAATACATCCTCAGACAATTCATCTTGTTCTAAAAACGTCCCTACTAGGATTGAAGTACGACTGTTCTGTTCGTGGTGCTTCCAGCTCATCTAATTGCAGAACGTGATGACCATCAGAAAATTTTGAGTATGCTTTAACTTCTGTAGGACCTTCCCTTTCGAGTACGTTCACGTTTGTAAATAGACCCAAAACAGTTCTAAGTACGTCTGTCCGTTCGTACACAGTTGAAACCCGTTTTGGAGAACGTAGTGAGAACTAGTTTGGTGTTATAGTAACTTCCCTTTCACACCAAACTAGTTCTCAATCGTTCTTTCCAGTCTACGAAAAAGTTGTAAAACGGACTAAAATAATCAGCTACTTCGTTCATAAACAGTCTTCAATACGTCCATCTCATTCGCAGTTCGTTCAGATCGCACCATGTCGGTTTGTACACGTATTGCAATTAATATCTGATTGCACAACATTGTATAACGCGTCACTAGTAGGGTTGAAGGGGTTTTCGGAAAAGACCGACCCCACCGACCACCGACCGGTCGGTGTTTTCCACTGGTAGCCTCAAAACAGGGTTTGAAGAAAATGTGTAAAAGACCGACCATATCATGTAAAAGACCGAACATATTTGTAGCCTTAGAATATTAATAATTTGATTTTGAATGTCAATCGTTGGACTAGGCAACGTTTTTTACCGATTTTGTACCTTGCAACGAATGGCAAGCAAACAAATTGGTCATGACCGTCTCCTCTCGATTAATTGCCCTGCCTTAAGTCCTAACCTATCATTAACCAACCTATCGTTTCTACGGGAATCTATCCTAATTTTTTACTGAAATTTAACAATTTCGAAACAAAAATGATTTGTTATCGTCATAGCCTACTGAATACTAAACACGATATAATGTTACATGCGTTCTCTTATCGGGATTAAAAGTGACTTACCATTTCAGTACATCATTAGAAAGCTTTTTTGTCATATCAAATGTAGTTTTTACCAGTTGACGTTTAACAACTGAGAAATCAAACATAACGTTACGACGTCAACATCGACGATGTTTGTGTGTTTTTGTTATTGCGTTTCATATGAATGAAGAATGAACTTAATGCAATGTTACGTGCGTTTTTTTCCAAAGTGACTAACCAGGATGAAATTGGTCTTCTAACAACTGAAACATCACTTAAAAATACGACGATGTAACGTTTTCATCGTGATTTGAAATGATAATTATACGTTTTTAAATCACGACCTAGTAAAGGTACTATAGTCATTGGATTCCCAGTTTTAGTTTTACTTCTAATTTTGCATTTTTTCATCTTTATGTAAAAGACCGTCAGCCGACCACCGACCACATGTACCCAACTGTGGAGAGTGACTGGTCGGTGGTCGGTGGTCGGCGGTCGGTGTTTTCCCCATGTTCCCGTCTGAGAATGTTCATGAAGTTCGTTTTGAAGAACGCAGTGAAAACTTGTTTGGTGTGATAGCTATATTTTTTATAACTCGTTCATAAGCATTCTTTAATACGTTCTTAAGCAGTTTAAACTCGTTTGCAATTAGTTCTAACTCGCTCTGAATACGTCCTCAAATAGTTCAACTCGTTGTAAGAACGTCCCTTGTAGGACTGAAGTACGAGGGTTCCGTTCATAGTACGTCCAGTTCTAATTGTAGAACGTTACGACCATGAGAACCTTTTGAGCATGTTTTAAATTCTAAATAGAGGACCTACCCGTTCGAGTACGTTCGATGAAGTTTGTAAATATAGACCCCAAACGCTTCTAAGTATGTCCAGTCCGTTCGTACACAGTTGAGGCCCGTTTTCGAGAACGTAGTGAGAACTAAATTGAATTGATTGATCAACCCCTGGGCATCAACATCAAGCATCGACCCCAAGTCAAACCAAACAACGTTTCACTATATTCTTGAATCGTGTTGCCAAACGGGCAAACGTTGCACGAACGGGTTGGACGTAATAGGAATTTTTGTGATATTTTAATGAACTTTTGGAAACGCTCTGACGGGAAGGTACACTACAAATGTAGCCTTCGAAAAAGTGCCGTACTGTGATCCTATTAGGGACGTGTTAATACGTATTGTGATACAGAGTGAGTTAAGAACTTTCACATGTTCAACATTCTCTGATTGATGTCATAAAAGGACCTATATCACAATCGGACAGTTTCTACTCGGCAATGCTTTATTTTTACGAATTCCTTTTCATGGTATTAGATCAGTATGTCGGGCCAAAAATGCGAATCGAAGTGTACTATCGCTAATTTTAAAATAGATCGTTTTTCTCAAGATAAACATGCAGTTATACATGTCATAAACATGCAGTTATACATGTCATAAACATATAAAATATCTAAAGTCATCAAAAAACAATAAATTACTGAAATACTGCAAAATATTAAACTAAAAATTTGGGGGGGGGTTCGCATATTTGCCTGAAAGGGTGGGTTCCAGCACAGACCTCTGCCAGATAAGCTCCTCTGTAAGCTACTCAGATGCGAGTTGGTCGTCGTTACCATTTTCGCCACTAGGTGGCTAATTCGGGGAAATAACATGAACATGGCAGGGTGTATTACAAAGTTCCCTTAAACTTAAATATTCATCAGTTTTAGTGGTTCAGTTTTCATATTACAATTATGTATTTGATAGTTATACAAATTAATATATGTCCTGCAAAAGAAAATATTATCTGCCCAACATAAGAAAAGATATTTCACTTTTTGTGATTTTACAACATGGGGTGTATGGGAATCTCCCCAGGGGCGGATCTGGGAACCAACAAGGGGGGGGCCCAAATTTCAGGTTAAAGAAAGAAACATCTTTAGGGGCCCAAAAAAAATTTTGGGCCCCTAAAACGCAAAAGTGGGCCCAAATTTTGAAATTTTGAGGCCCATTTTCTTCAAAATTTGGCCTGAATTTAAAAAATAAGGCCTTAAAAGGCCCAGTAATGACCAAAAAGACCGACTTTTTGGGGGCCTTAAGGCCTTTTTTGGCTTAATCCGCCAGTGCTCCCCGACCTAGAAGTCACATTTTCAAAGAAAATTAAATTTTCAAAGTTGATTAACTATTTTCAAAACCACATTTCTACATGTGATTTTACAGGTAGATTCCAAATATGACATCAGTTTGATTGATGTTTGAATGTTTAATGACGTGGTGATTTCTGAAATAACAGTATCACATATTATTTTTGCAGAAGCCTGTACAATAATGAATTCCGCTTTCTTCACTCAAACCCATTCTCAAATCTCGGGAACTTGGCAGAACTTTTGCTCTCAGGAAATGACATCACAGTTATACCAGATGATGCTTTCCATGGATCTCCAATTCAACATTTGTAAGTTAAGTGCACAAAACGAAAATGCTCTTAATCATTAGTTCATTGTAATAATTGAAAGTGAATACACAAAAATACAATATAAACTAAGATACAATATCAACTCTCATTGAAAGCCCATGGATTTAATAATCTTTAAAATTGGACCCTTCAAAGACTGTATCATGCCCCGTGTAAGTGGGTAGTTGGGTATGAGGTAAGAGGTTTTTTTATACAAAGCCCACTAAAATATGTAAAAATCTTTCCAGACAAATACACCTACATAAAATATGTGAAGTATAAGGGGGTTCACTTTTAACAATTTTGGTCCAAAAATGGCCAAAATCACTCAAGTTCTCAGAATGGTAAAAAAAATCATGATTTTTAAAGAATTTTTGGCCAGCTGGGGTGGGGGGTTCACTCGAACCCACCAACCCACCCCCTGGCTATGCGCCCTTGGTAATGCTCTAACATAATTCATGTACTGTACATTATATGAACACACTCGTTACAGGGAATTGCAGTACAACAAAATAGGCCGAATAATGAAGCCCCATTTCAGAGATTGTCCGATGGGAACCAGGCTATATTTACAAAATAATGATCTTGCTTACATCGAAGATGGCTCTTTTGACTATTTTACCAGTGTGTTAGAAATGTGAGTATTGTTTCAAAATTCACATTATTAAATTAACCATAAAAAAGTGGACTTACCTGATCTAGCTCATGAAGTCTGGATTACTCTGTTGAGAGGAAACATTTATTTACACATTTATATTCATGTGAATTTTCAGTTCAATGTTGAAAGTAAAAACCGATTTTATGGATGTCAATGTGTTTGATGTAAAGGTTCAGTTAGGTTATCGCAAACAATTTCAGACGATTTTATCTTCGATTATGAGTATTTTCTGACCATGAATACAGGTTTATCTTTAGATCCATTCATTATCTCATCAATGATGATTAAGTCATTTGGACTCAGATTGATATAGCCAGCAATCAACTCATCATCATACTTTTTCAAAGATTTTTCAAAGATTTTTATTTCTTGAAAGGAAAACTGAATTCCTCTAAGATTAGTGTTCTCCATATTATTTCCCCATTGAAAAAACTCATGTTATCCATTGATTTAAGCTCATTTTGGCCATCCCTTTGACATTACTTAGACTGATTAATTATAACTTAATTATCATCATATATACTTTTCTTAGATATAATGAAAGGGTCTAAAGGGAATACCCATGTTCATGATAAAAAAAATTCATAATCCAAGCTAGGATTGCCTGAAATTGTTTGAGATATAACCTATGCAGGCTTTCAGTATCATTTTAAAGGCAGAATCAGATCTAGCAAGATCTAAAGAAAGATTCTTACAATAATGCAATCATTTTTCTTTAAGAATGGTTACCATTCTTATTATTTGGGAGAATTCAATATTTTTCCTCCATTTTTTGCACTTTGAATCCTAAATAACTTCACCAATTGATAACATATCACTGATCTTGTTGGAAGATATTGTATTTGATATTGTAAGAAATAGATTGGTCTAATGTTCATGATGTTAACAATTTTGTTACTCTCCATGGATCTGATTCTGCCTTTAATCAAACAAATTAATTTACTATGGCGTACATAATTACGCAACTTTATTTCATAAACATATCAATCTTTTCAGGGATCTGAGCAACAATAAGCTGACTAGTTTGCCAGTGGGGGGTGACTTTCATGATCTCAACCTGGACTATCTGAACATTGAAAACAACAGAATCACACGTATTAAAAATGGAACTTTCAAAAACCTGGCCACCAATGAAGACATGTAAGTTACAACACAAGTTAGGGGCGTTAGACCATATTTGAAAATGTGTGCAGTTTTCCAGAAAATATAGGTGGCATCGCAAGTGATTGGGTGCCCTAAGGCCACCCATATCGGGGTCCAGGGTAAAATTTCTTTCGTCTGAACTGATTGAGCAATTTGAACATTTTTAAGGACTAATATTAGTTATTTTCTGATGAAAAACAGCATCTTTTATGAAAAATGGTCTGGGCAGTTTCAGAGTGGGGTGCTTGTACAGGGTGAGCCAAAAAAGGTAATTAAACAAACGAAATGTTTGTTAATTACTCAGTCATTCATCATGGGTTTAAAATCATATTTGGCACAATTAGACCTTGTTCAATGTTCTTTCATTCTACTAAGTATCATTGAGCTTAAAATGCTGAAATGTGCCTCACTGACTGGACATAATTCCACCAGGTTTTTATCTGTGGGCCTATTTTCTACACCAAAAACCCTTGAAACATTGAAACAAGAAATAAGAAGGAAAATAAGAGCAATAACACAAGATGTTTATGCTCCAATTGTTAACAACTACGCCCGATAGGTTCAAGTTGGCCTCCAGACATGACGCCCATATTTTATGGCATGTTTTGTAAAATGGCCATAAAATTGTGACCACTAGAGGTAGACCACTAAAACTTGGTATAATGACAATACATTTGAACAAGGCCCAATTCTGCCAAATATGATACTTAACCCATGCAGGATAACTGGGTTATTATCCCATCGAACGAAGTTCGGAGGGATATAGGGAACGCCTCCGTCCGTCCGTCCGTACGTCCGTACGTCCGTCCGTCCGGGCAATAACTCAAATACCGTTGGCCCGATTTTGTTCATATTTTGTACACATATACCTTATGGGGGTAGAAGTTCTGCTCGAAAGCCGATTTTCAAAATGGCCGCTCATTTCAAAATGGCGGCCATTTTAGTGCCGATTTTACAGTAATTTAGGTGCAATATGTAAAACTGTTATATCAATATGTTTTAAATGTAAAAAAATTATAAAGGACATTAATAATGCTACAAATGTAGATATTAAAGAAGCACATGGCAGCCATCTCGAAAAATGGCGGCCTTTACTCGTCATTTTACGATTTTTGCTATAACTCAAAAAATAGTGGAGCGATTTTGTTCATATTTGGTATGTGAATACTATAAGCATTGTACACTGTCTAAAGACACTTTTGGTAGAAGGCGGCCATTTTGAAAAAAAAATTGAAAAATTGCCGCCATTTTAATGTATTTTACTATAACTCGAAAAGTAGTGGTGCGATTTTGTTCATATTTGGTATGTGAATACTATATAAGCATGGCACACTGTCCTATGACACTTTTGGTAGAAGGCGGCCATTTTGAAAAGAAATATGTGGTTGTTCTGGTTAAGATTTGTTTGGGTTACCTTTTTGGCCCACCCTGTAAAATTACTTTATATTATGTTTCTTTATTTAGTTACCAACAAAGAACAGGTCTTGCATAAAGAACCAATACTTAATAAACAGCCAAATATCAATCACATGACCCCTATCCCATAATAGTAAATGCCAATGAGTCAATAAAACTATGTACAAAATAAACGTGTGGACTTGAAACGATTGTTATCTTTTTCTGTTTCAGAAATCTACAGACAAATCGTATCTCTGTGATTGAGCCAAATGCATTTAACTCAGTGAACAGCAAAAAGATTACCCTCCAAGACAACATCATACATCATGTCTATACAGAATCATTCATTGACGTGAATGCAGACAACATCTTAATTGACAACTCTTTGCTTGAAGAGATTCCTTACTGTACATTCAAGAATGTTGTTGCCAAGAAGTTGGACCTTTCATCTGGAAAAATCACAACAATACATGATCAAGCTTTCTGTACTGTTGACGTGAACAATCTGTAAGTACATTGTCAGTTGACATTAGCAGGTTACAAAAAACAATTACTGACACCCACCACTTCCTATCAAATTTTTGGGTGCATCCAGGATCTTAAATTAAGCAAGAAAAAAGTAGGTGATCTAAACTAAATGACCTATACATGTATTATACTAGATTTGGACATCATTCCACAATTTAGTATTTAGTTTAATATTTCTTTTAACTTGTCACTTGCTTTGTATCTCTCATACGTGGCTGATAGTCCCGGGGGGTTCACTGTATATAAACCTTGACAGGGATCCTCGGCGCACATGGGGTACCTTTTTTGTTGACATTTGGTATGGCAATGGACCCACATTTTAGGATGTGGTATGAGAATGCCCCCTTATTATGACTTTTGAGGGATGGAAATGGTCAGATTTTTCAATTTTCTGGTATGAGAATGGTCATGGAAAATATGTTATCTCACAATTATGGTATGGAATTGGTCTAGTAGTCACACATATACTAATATGAGGTTGTTGGTTCATTTTCCTCAAAGATCGCCTTCTTCTTGGGACCTTCTTCAGTTTAAGAAGATATAGCTTTTTCCCAGGAAATATTCTACTTTGGACCAGTCATGGCATTAGTATGGCATTGGTCCTATATTTTGACATTTGGTATGGCATTGGTTTCATATTTGGGCATTTGGTATGGCTTTTGGGCACTATATCGGTTGGTATGGGAACACATCCAAATTTGACATTTTGGTATGGGAATATATTGATATCTGAGGGTTCAGCCTAGGACCCCCGCCAAATTTTGTACACAGTAAACCCCCGGGCTGATAGTATTATAATACTTATTATCTAAAAGAAAATTGCAGTTAATTAGGTGAGCAATAATGCAACATTCATCAAATAAAGAAATATCATTATATTAGATAAGTAAATTGTAAATGTATTTTTGTTTACTACCAACAATGAGCACTGGTTAGTGCGATATTTTATATTTCAGCTTGTTGAACAACAATCTCCTCTCCAAAATTGAAGGTCGATTGTTCTCTGATGCATGCATAATAGGAACCCTTTCTTTGAAATCTAACTTATTGAAGTCAATCCCACCAGAGACGTTCCTGGGCCTAAGTGTCACCACAGTTTTATTAGAGGATAACCTTATCTATGTTTACCCAGCACAAGCCTTGTCTGAGATCAACAACATACAGCAGCTGTGAGTATCATACTTTGTACATTTGTAAATAGTGTGTCTATAGCCCAAAACCACATGGTCCCATTGTTCTATTATGTCACTTTGTCCAATATCTTTACCTTGCAGGAGTCTAGCCAGAAACCAGCTTGAGGAGATTCCATTGTTCTCATTTGTAACAATGATCAACCTTAGGAGCCTGAACATAGCTGAGAATAAACTTATCGAGATCAAGGATGATGCTTTTGCACCATTGAGTCTGCTAACTGATCTGTAAGTCAAAACTTGAACTTCCCTTTTCAAAATAGTTAAAGTTCTTCAACATTGACAGATGGGGATCTATGTATTGCCATTGATCATTATCATGCATTAACAGGAGGCAACACACTTAAATAAATGGAACTAGTTTTTTCATCTAGCTTAGCCTTTTTTACTTAACAACTGAACTTAACAAACTCATGTGCTCAATTTGTTTGTTCATTCACAATACATTTTAGGATATTGAATAATAACCAGATACAGAGAATACACGATGGAGCCTGGAATGGCCTCACTAACCTAAAGAACCTGGAGATACAAAACAACCAGGTGGCATACCTCCCACCATTCCCTGAAGCTACACAATTCGAATCCTTGGATGCCTCAAATAACCAGATTTTCGCAATGGCTGACCTGCTGTTTAATCTAACCAAATCTGACTCTATCAGCTCAGTGTAAGTCAATATGATTGCCTTTGGTTTCAAATGAAGGAGATTGAACTAGATAAAAAGGAGTTGTCATGTTGGTTGAATACTTCTCTTTCAGCGTTAATGGTTACCCACCATACCTGTGCCAATGGTCTAAATCAAAATGAATTAAATGGAAAAGAACGTAAATGTTTTGAAATTAGAACAATATTACCAGTGTGTCAAAGGATCAGAGGAAAAACAAAACATTTTGAAATACCTATTGGAAAATGATATCACTTAAATAGTACAATTGGTTATAAGTGTACATGTATCACATCCCAACAAAACAAACAATGATTAATTTTATTTAAAACTGTTTCAAAGCATTCCTCTAAACCCAGCATTCTTATAATTGAATTGATCTAAATTATTTCTGTAAACAAATGGTAATTTTTTTATATTTTTAGGAACCTGTTAAATAATCCACTCGGCTGTAGTTGTAACAACTATCTCTCCCTATTGAATGTGGCTGAAGCTATAGTGGGTGGAGAATGTTACTTTCCTCTCCCACGAATTGTTCCTGCACTAAACTACACATTTGCAAAAGGATCTAAAGATGAGAGCCATTATTTCTTGAATGCAAATGTTACAACAGATGATTTTCAATGTCGTAAGTATATTTTTATATGTTAGGCATATTCACACAACACTAAACTTATTTCAGTTAAAACTGATTTGAGGCAACTTCACGTGGCCAAACATGAAACATAAACTAGTATTACTCTTTTATGTCATTCCTCTCCTCGAAGATGTGATGCACTGATTGCTATTTTTAAAGCCGAAATCTTATTTAACATAATAACCAGGCCCGTAAGACACTTTTCTCCAAGGGGGGTGCGGTTTTTAGCTTACTAAAGAGAATATAAAACTGTCAATTTTTTTGCCGCGTAAATCAAATCGCGTAAGACAGAGGGGGGGGGTCAGTTACTCCCTATATTGGTTTGGAATTAACAAATGCAACTTCCAAACGTTCCAATTGTTTTGTGGGGGGTGTGAGGAGTGGTCCACTCCCCCTAGAAAATTTTACAGTTTTGAAATGCTATTTGGTGCTTTCTGGGCACTTTCAAAGTGTAAGTTCCTAAGTAGTACGCCACCACCACAAGAATAAGAGTTAAGTGAATAAAAACCGAGCATTAAGGGTGTTCTGGGGGTTCTCCCCCATGAAAATTTAAAATTTGCTTGTATTTGGAGCGAATTTGCAACCATCTGGTACGCCTGTGCGTTATGAGTCAATAAGAAAAATGTGAATTTTTTCAAATTCTTTTACAATTTAAAGATGATATTTGGTGCTTCTGGGCACTTTTAAGTCAATAAAAACATTGAAAACAATCACGATTGGGTGCAGGGGTGCAGGGGTGCCAGAGGGGGAGCAAGTGTTTGTCCCCCATATCAAAATTTACAATATCAAGGTGCTATTCATTGAAGTTTGGGCACTTTAAAAGTGTCTGTGCCTAAAAGCGCATATTTCCCAAGAAAATTTTACAATTTTAAGATGCTATTTGGTGCTTTCTGGGCACTTTCAAAATGTATGAGTCAATAAAAAATTTGAAAAATCTCAATTTATTATTTTTTTGGGGGGGGGTGTTAAGGGGGGGGGGCTGCCAGAGGGGGATGTGGAGTGGGGATGCCAGAGGGCGAGTAAGTGTTAGTCTTCCAGAATCATTAACTTTATCAAGGAGCTATTTGATGATGTCTGGGCAATTTAAAAGTGTCTGAGACAATACATAAAACAAATCCAGAACTTATCCATTGTTTTGTTTGGTGTGTGAGGGGTGGCCCACTCCCCCTAGGAAATTTTACAATTTTACGATGCTATTTGGTGCTTTATGGGCATTTTCAAATTTTATGAGTCAATTAAAGAATTTGAGAAAATCACAATTTTTTTTTTGGGGGGGGGGCGCCAGAGGGGGGGGGGGTTATGCAAATGCAAGAGGGGGAGCAAGTCCCCCAGAAACACTAACTATCAAGGAGCTATTTGATGATGTCTGGGCACTTTAAAAGTGTCTGAGACAAAACACTAAAATAAATTTAGATCTTTTCCATTGTTTTGTGGGGGGTGTGAGGGGTGGCCAATACCCCTAGAAAATTTTACAATTTTAAGATGCTATTTGGTGCTTTCTGGGTACTTTAAAAGTGTATGAGTCAATGAAAAAAAATTACCAAAAAAATTTTCAAAAATTTTCAAATTTTTTTTAAAAATTTATTTTGGGGGGTAACAAAGGGGGGTGCGGTCGCACCCATCGCACCCCCCCATCTGACGGCCCTGATAACCATGCATTATATTAAATAGAGAACAAAATCCAGACTACGGGTTTGGTTGGATGGGAAAAACTGGCAGAGTTGACAATTGACATGTTTTACATATTTGACTTGTATTTCATACTCTAGCTGGATATAATGTCGACATGTTTCACATATTAGCATATTTGTCTTGTATTTCATACTCTAGCTGAATATAATGTCGACATGTTTCACATATTAACATGACTTGTATTTCATACTCTAGCTGGATATAATGCCGACATGTTTCACATATTAACATATTTGACTTGTATTTCATACTCTAGCTGGATATAATGTCGACATGTTTCACATATTAACATGACTTGTATTTCATACTCTAGCTGGATATAATGCCGACATGTTTCACAGATTAGCATATTTGTCTTGTATTTCATACTCTAGCTGGATATAATGTCGACATGTTTCACATATTAACATATTTGACTTGTATTTCATACTCTAGCTGGATATAATGTCGACATGTTTCACATATTAACATATTTGTCTTGTATTTCATACTCTAGCTGGATATAATGTCACGACTACAGCATTGGCAGAGTATGAACTAACAGTGAGTTGGGAACAACCGGCAGACCTTATCTTACCATGTTATGTTAATTGCCCGAATGGAACAAATAGTTCAATCAGCCCTGCCATGTTGTAAGTACAAAATTGAAAAGAGTTGAGTTTTGTAATGAAACTCAAAATTTGATTTAAAAGTAATGTGATGTTATGATCAGGAATAAAAAATTTCCTTGATTCTTACACAAAACATTGTTATTACAGGGACTACAGAGTGGTATGCAGTAGTTATGTTGGTCCTGTATTGACATTTAATCTGACCTCCCCAACATCAGTTCTCATATTCAGCCATACATTTGGCCAAGCAGATGGAGTGGTAGCAGGGGTGGACTATAGCTGTACTGTACAGACTGATGATGCTGGCTATACAAGTGCCAAGAGTGCTCCATCTTATATTACCACCATAGAGGTGCTATGTAAGTGTAGCAACAAATAGGTTCAATAATGACATGACACCATTTTAGTTATTGAAAATCTGTTGACATATTGCTAGAGTTATTTTGAATTTACCCATTGTTATTGTGCTTAATCTGGTAATCAGCAAGATTTTTCTATTTCAGCAAATTTAGGTGGAGGAAATCACCCAAGAGATTATATATTGGAAATGTTTTTAACGGATTTTAGCAGGGGTCACCCTGACTTCACTGGTCTCTCAGAGGCTGTGATTGACATGCCTGAATATGTAGATAGTCCGTACGGGGCCTGGCTCAGTATATCAAACACACCAACTGCAGATACATTCTCTGATTGGTTTAGAGATGTGTCTCCCTCAAACCATGTCTACAAAGAGAATTTGACCTTGGCTTATGTTCTTGGAACTGATCCATACAAAAATAGGTAACAACTAATTACCAAAAACCTCTCTTCCCTGCATATACTAATAGTCTTTTTAGTTTTTATGGTTCCTTTATATTTTTATATTTATGGTTCCTTTATATGAAAATGAACCACATATTTTTGTGACATTTTGTACTATTTGAAGAACAACGAAAATAACAACATTATTTGGATGAAAAAGGATTAATCCTGAGTAGAACTTTTGATATACATGTAATGCAAGATAATATGGATCAAATCTGTTGTATAATTGTTTTACTGGTTAGCAATAGCAGTTAATTACTTTATTGGACCAAAATATTACAACAATATATTTGTAGTCAGTCTCATGGGAAATTTCATTCATTCCAATTGCATTGCATGTTTTTGTCACATTGCATTTCATTCATTCCAATAGACTAGGTGCGAGTAGAAATAATCTTGATTTACGTCATTAAAAATTGAAAATTCAGTCAAACTGATGTCATATATGAAATCTACATGTAAAATTAAATCTAGATATGTGGTTTTGAAAATAGTTTATCAACTTTGAAAATTTAATTTTCTTTGAAAATGTGACTTCTAGGTCGGGGAGATTCCCCATAGACCCCATGTTGTAAAATCACAAAAAGTGAAATATCTTTTCTTGTGTTGGGCAGATAACATTTTCCTTTACTGGACATATTTTAATTTGTATAACTATCAGATACATAAGGGTAATATGAAAAGTGAACCACTAAAACTGATGAATATTCAAGTTTAAGGGAACTTTGTAATACCCTGCCATGTTATTTCCCCCGAATCAGCCACCTGGTGGCGAAACTGGTAACTACCTACTCGCATCTGGGTAATTGCATTGCATGTTTTTGTCACATTGCATTTCATTCATTCCAATTGCATTGCATGTTTTTGTCACATTGCATTTCATTCATTCCAATTGCATTGCATTTTTTGTCACATTGCATTTTATTCACTCCAATTGCATTGCATGTTTTTGTCACATTGCATTTCATTCATTCCAATTGCATTGCATGTTTTTGTCACATTGCATTTCATTCATTCCAATTGCATTGCATGTTTTGTCACATTGCATTTCATTCATTCCAATTGCATTGCATGTTTTTGTCACATTGCATTTTATTTTAGATACTTCGACTTTGACTTCTACCCTTTAGATGGAAGAGGATTCTTGGCAGAGGGTCAGAGAGATTGCTCTAATATTGTGCACAACTTTGGGTAAGATGAAATGTTCTCCTTATCATGCACAAAGGGTAAAACGTTTTTCAATTGGTCATACAACTTGTCTTCATAATGCTTCATAATAACTTTTGGTAAGATGTTCTCAATTGGGAATACAGGTTAATTTTTTCATACACACCTTTTGGTGGAATTTTTTATTTGATTGCACTCCACCAACTGAATATTGTACAGACCCATTTGACTTAGAGGAGTGCTCCAGTGATGCAAAATTCAAAATTAATCAATTAAATACATTTGTATACTATATTTTACCAGGTTTACAAGCTCTATTAGAGAAGGATTTATCTACCAAGGAGATGAAGTGATCGTCCTTGCTGGTGGTGATGAGATGTGGTTGTATATAAACAAGACACTAGTATTACAACTGATCACTGACCCTAATGATGTGAACATTCCATGCATGTCAGTGGACCTCACCCCTGCATCAAACTCTGGTAAATATGTATACAGTGTGTGCTAGCGCCAACAAAAATGTTACAGAACACAGCAAGAAAAAAAAAACCTAAAAGTACATCAGTCATAAAGAAAATAAACCCCAACTATCCTAAAGTATAATCAAACATGAAAAGAAACAATGTCTAATATCCCCTTTCCCCACCATTCAAAACCATTTACAATCCAAGACAATAACACCAAGGGACATTTCATTCATGCTGAATATACATGTAGAAGAATAAAAAAAATTGATAGCTAATTCTCAAAACATCAAAAAAAGTTGTAGATACTAGTATTCAGTCAGGAGCATTTAGTCTTGAATGATGTGGGACAGACAAAGTCAAATTTTGTAGTCAATAAGCATGTCATGATCAAATGATCAACATCCATCTGCAAAGCCTGGTAAAATAATTTAAAATAGATATATTGTAAATGGATTTATTGAAGATTATGTCACCATTAATGATGTAGAGCAAAATTCATTAATCTTGTTTTCTTACATTTGATTTTGAACTTGACATGTTGCTTACTAGAGCATTTTTTGATGGAGAGGTCTATTAATTATACACATTCGTTTTAGATCATTGATGATTAAAAAACATTTTGTGGTAATTTAGGATGAGAATTACAAAACACAACAATTTTATGCCATATAGTAACATTTAGATCTACTGTAGGTGGAGGTCTAATCACACCTGAAATTGGGCTACTTAGTGGAAGTTACGACTGCCTCAGTCTGGTTCCTGTGACATCACAATCAGTGTGGCTGGAACTGGAGGTCGGAGAGACGTTTCACTTTGACATGTTCCATGTAGAAAGATACTGGTGCAAGTCCAAGATTTTCATTGAGACTGTTGGCATGGTATTTGTACAGGTGAGGTAGCATTATCTTTGTATGTGAAAATTCACCAGTTATTCTAAAAATACATTTGAGCATTTCAGTGCAACTTTTTCTGAAAGTGGTAAATATACCTGCAGTGCCAAATTGCTGAGAAGTACTTAAATCATTTGACTGTCTCATTTTTGATTTGATTTTTTTCTATTTTTTGTTTATATCTTTATTAAAATAAAACAATGCGATGGTATTTTATAATCTGACCTTATTAGTGAAACGTTGATATTTCAATTTCAGAATGCAACGGAACAGCCTCCCTTAGATTACTCAATGACAGTTGGTGAGGACTTCCACATCAATGGTATCATAGGGACAGTTAACTTAATAGACCATTTTTCATTTGGGCCTTATACTTTGGATATTACAAGAGGTGAGATATATGTACCCATTGATAAAAAATAGTACAGAAAATACATAGGGTAGAAAAGACCAAAGTATTCAGGTGTGACTAAGTATTGCAGATAGCAGGTATCAAATTGACATATCAAATCTATATATTGTGAATTTTCTTTTTTTGTTTGACCTGTTGACAGATTTTACTAACAACTTGGAACTTTCTTTTTTTCATAAATTCTATAGAGATATAGAACAATTGTGTATTGGTTTGAATCATATTTCAGTAGACAACATTTTGATAGTATCATAAATACAAGTTATTGCTACCTTTAAATGCTCTAACATTACAGGTAATGAAGGAAGGCACTTCACAGCTGTTGAGGACACACCTGCCAATCAGGCACTAGGCGTTGCACCCCCTGTAGTACCCCCAACCTATACAACCTTACCAGGCATTAACATCAGCTTTGTAGGTCAGTATGAACTTGTATTGACAACTGGCTCTTGATTCAAATAAAATGTGTTTTCAACAAATCCTATTAACCCTTTAAGTTAATGTAAATAAGATTTAATCTCTTGGCTATATGGCATGTGGGCTAGATGGCATATATACTGAATACTGATATATACTATCAGTGAGGGGCTATCAGAATATCTTAAAACACTGCGATAAACAAGTGAACCATTTGTTACATTGCAAGTTTTTTGTTTTTTGTTATAGTGATCACAACTGGCAGAAATCCATGGTATATGAAGTGTTTTTGTTGTCATCACAACAGATTTTGTTACCAAAGCAACATCGCTGGGTGTTCTTTTGAATGAATTTTTTATTATTTTCAGAATGTTCAGTTCCATCAGTAATCACTCCAGATCCAGACATTCCTGGAATAGAGAGTTTCTCTATCTCCACATCAACATCCCTAGTTACCCTTGCAACCAGCCTAGACTATGAGTACCTTGATAAATATGTATTAGTACTCAAAGTTACTGATCAAGGTACCATGCTAGAGGGAACCATATGTATACGGGTGAGTAGAATTAGATTCCGACATAGCTAGGCAATGTGTGTCTGAATCCAGCCAATGAGATTACACAGTATTTCAATGTCAGTATTATTGCAGCTGAAATTGATACTTTGCCAACTTGACCCTTGCAAAAATATGTTCTTTTAGTGATTTTGTATCTTTTGATGATAGGCAAAAAAATGTTCTTTTAGTGGTTCAGTGGATTTCTTAGAAAATATTTTGCAATGTGTGAAAAGAATTTAAGCCCAAGACTCGATGTATTGTGGCTGCTTCATTCCATTCAGATGTTGTTTCCTAAACTTTCCGCTGCATGGCTGCAGGGCTTAAATCCTTAAATATATTGAAATGTTATATATGGCTGTGAAATACAATGCCATGCCTTGCATATACTTAAGAAATAAAGAATAAGAATGAGATATTAATATTGTCATCGCTTGGAACAAGTTCGGTGCTCAATCAAAAACTATAACTGGAGTAATTCAGCATGCACAAATGGCATCATATTTTATATATCCCTTTACCTACACAGAGATGCTTTTATTGTATATGTGCATGTGATACTACAAACACTAATTTTCAAAAAGCATACGAGCATCCAAAAAATTTTCTTTTTTTGTGTGGTTGGGGCCAGGAGTGTGATCGCACCCATCACACCCCCATCCCCTGGCTATGCCTCTGAACATGTAAACAATATTACTTATCAAATCTTTTATTTTAGATATTGCTCTTGGATGTGAATGACAACTGTCCTGAGTTAAGTCAAACTGCATTCAATATTGAAGCTATCCCTGCTTTAAAGCCTGAACCCTGGTTGTCCATCAATGTCAGTGATATTGACAGCGGTGTCAATCAAGATATCAACTTTTACATCTCCGATACAATCTCCAAGTAAGTGACTCTGAAGGGAGCCATGCATTGATCTATAGCTCATTCCTGCACTAAATCTATCTATGTCAAACATATGGGAGTGGTACAGGGTACATTGCATAGAGCATGTTCATAGTCCTATAAGGGGAAGGGTATACATTGATAGATGTATCTCCCATGATATGATTCCTTTGATCAGTCTCAACCTGTATAAACATTCACCCTGTCGAAGATTTTAATAGTGCCTTCAACCCTATTGGATCACATGTTAAAGCTTGTAATGTTTGGCTATTTAAAGTCATCATCAAATTGGTCATTTTGATTGAGGGAAAATGTCAAACTTAAACAGACTTTTCAATGAATAGCCAGGGCAACTAAACTTTTAAAGGAGAGTGTAAATTCTCAATCTATTTCAGTCCTCCACTATCAGGTTGGAATGATACATTTGACCTGTATGAGGTGGTGTACAACCAGACCACAGACATCACTGTCACAATTGCTGCAATAGACAAAGGCGACCCACCAAGGGGGAAAACTGCCACTGTGACGATTACTCTCTGGAACACATGTTTAATAGATGTCCTGCACCGGCCGGTTCCACATTATCCATATGTGTCCAATGACACCGGAGAGTTTTACTTTAGCGTGCCTGGCTATTGGGTCTATAATTATCGTGAGTGGACCTTATAGTATTATGTATTCATTGGTGAGGTGAATAAATGCAGAGAATTTGCACAATTTTTTCACATTTCACATTTGTACTTGTGTTTTCTCACTGTTTTGACAGACTCTGTTTAAGCATCTAACAAAATTGCTCTTTAATTTTCCTCTGTGTACTTTATTCCAGCATGCCGTGACACCATTGGAATTGCTAATGCAATCATTTATGATGAGCTGATGGATGCCTCAACGCATCACTTCCTGGGGTATCCAGGCAGAGGAAGATTGAACATGACTTTCGGTAAGTCTATCTGATGGCAGATTAATGTGGAAAGTGAACGGGTAATTTGGTTTTATTTGTGTTCTAGCTGAGTCTGGGATTGCTGTATATGATTGTGAAACGTTTTAAATACAAGGTCGTTTGTAAATACAAGGTCTAGAATAGTTGAATAATTTGCTTGTAGAGTCATACAAGTTGTTGAGTGGTGGCTGGGTGGCTGATGTATCTGATACGGCACAGTGGATACAGGCAGACCTTATGGAACCTCATATTATACATCAGGTACATGTATTTAGCAGTTATGTCCCTATCATTGAATATATTCCTAAGGTCTGTCACCAATATAGCCCGAGCTTGCGAGGGTTATATTACGACAGACCGAAGGCATATATTCAATGATACCGACATAACTGTTGTATTACATACTTTTATATCATGGCTACGTTATATCAATGACGCCACGTGTCTGTGTGCGAGTGAAATTAGGAAGAAATGAAACATGACGTCCCGATGACGTCATAAGATTGTCATGGTAAAAGGTTTGGCGGCTATACAGGAATATATAGCCGACCTTCAGCTCCATTGACTTCAATACAAATGCTTCACTGGGTATGTAATACTGAATAATATATCATATCATACTTGTACATCAGGCATGGGCGTAGACATGGGATGAAATCGCACCACCACCCACAAAAAAAGAAAAAGAGCAATTTGGTAAAATTAGTTGAAATAACATTTACAATTACAGTTTGAAATGCCTAGAATGCACCTTATACAAAGTATATTTTAAAAGATTTCTGGGGATGAACCCTGTATCCCCCTTTTTGGGCCTTGCTCTGCTTGCAGTGATGCAAACCCAAAAAATCGCACCCCCCCCCCCTCAAACACTGGAAAATATCATACACCTATAACATGTTGAGTACCAGGTTTAACTCATCGCACACTGTACATATATCATACATATCATCAATTATACATGATATAGCATATACCACATGTTAACTGTTTCCTCTCCTGGCAATATTGTAGATTCAGCTACAGGGCAGAGAAGATGAAAATGAGTGGGTAACACAAGTGAGAATTCTCTACAGCAACAATACACTGGGACCCTTTGTGACATACACAGATGATTCAGCAGTTACTGTAAGTATTCTTCATTAGAAAATTGCACCATTATCAAACAAAAGTCTTGTTCTCTAATGTAAGTTGCAAGACTTCCGATTAATACCACTAATTGCTGATGATATTTATTGTTGTGTTCCAAAAACTTGAATGGATAGAATCAAAAATCTTCAAAAATATTTTTATGAGACTTAAATCTAGTTTCAAAGCTAATAAGGTTTAACAATTAACTATTTTTCAAAATTAAATTTTTTTTTTATAAAGGTTGAATTTGTTTCATATTACAAAAAGGATAAAATGTTCCCTTACATAGGTATCTCTTATTCACACTTTTTACTGTATTAATAATATATGATATATGCTTTGTAGGACTTCCCTGGTTCAAGCGATAGGAACACTATCGTACTAATAGACCTCGTACCCCCTCTATATGGCCAAATTGTGAGGCTCAATCCAAGGGCATGGTTTGGACAAATTGCTTTGAGATTTGAGGTTGTTGGCTGTCCTATACAAAAACAGTTTTACCGTAAGTCAAACAAACAGTCATAGATTTTTGATGTTTCAATTTTTTTCATAAAAATTTCAATCTTTTGATAACAGAAATTTACCAATTGGGTCATATATTACCCTTTGCATTCGTTTGACTTCACTTCTTAAAAGAGAGCTTCGTCTTCAGTAGTTTAACTAGACTCTGCACGCAGGGTAGTCACATGAATTTTTTAACCATATGATTTTTCAGATGATGTCAACTGTCAGAGGTGTGTGGCAGGGTACTATTGTGAGGGAGATGGCCTACATCACCCATGTGGCTGGTGTGACCCTGACAGTAACACTACATGTAATGCTATACCCTCTGAACATTCTTATGGTGAATCTTCCCAATGTGAACCATGTCCAGAAGGCCATGTGAGTATTTATGTCTTTAGACATTGTTTGTTTTATTCTTTATGGGTTGGATCATAGTTTGGGATGTTGTGGGTTTTTTCTTATGACTGGTTGAGTTTCGACACTCATGGGTGCGTCCCTCATATTTATCCTGTACTTAATGCCAATTAAGCCTGTAAATATAAAACTAGTCGTGCTCTTACTTGACTTTTCTCACTCTGTTTTCAGTCTTTTCCATTTGGGCATTTGGCCTGCAGATTGTATATTTCAGGTGCAAATTGAGATGCACTCATTTGAGATATTAAGGATGATTGGTGATGTGGCAACCTTTTAGCATCACATTTCTCTATAATTATCCAGCAACAGTTCATCATTTTGAATTAAGAGAAAAGATGTTTTACAATCTATTTTTTAATAAAGATCATTTCGTACTCCTTGGATGTATTTTTGATTAAATAATTCATCAATGATTCAAATATTCCTTTCTAGAGTATACACTGTTTTTTGTAGAACTCGATACACTTGTCCTAAGTTGGTTTCTTTTACTTATTTTGGTAATAATTCAAGATCAGATAAGTAAAAAATACCGACTTGGGGCAAGGCTATCAATACACATGTATTGTTCTGTATCAAATCATATACCATATTTTTGATTTATTTTCCAGATTTGTCACCAGGGTCTTGCAGAGTACTGCCCTGAGTTCCATTACATCTACTGCACCAATACATGCCCTGCTACATGCACACAGTGTGAGACCGGGTATGCTTGTAATGCAGGCCTCAAATATGCATGCCCAAATGGAACATATTCTGATGGCTATCAAAGTATGTTGCTTTTCTATTTATATACTTTTTATTTCAGAGAAAAAATATATTTTAGTAATTTCAATACAGTGACATAGAACAAAGGGTAACTGGTCAACTCGTACCCAAGACAACTCTTACCCAGGACAACTCGTACCCAAGTATATATATTTTGTTTTGAATAGATATACATATACATATTATAATTGTAACATACTGTTCAGAATAGTTTAAAGTTTGAAGAAGAATTTTCGGAAGAGATTGATTTAATTTTGTGACATTTTGAGCTGAGTGTCAATTTATATTGACTATTAATTTATATTGGTCACAGATTCAGGATGTTTGAGTGAAGAGACATGTTTATTCCACATATTCATAATATCATTTTTCATATTTTTTTGTATGTTTATGAGTGTTTGGAACAAGTGTCAGATCTAATGTTGTAATTATATTTATTTACATATATGTTTGACAAAATAATGTTTAGAACAAGCGCTTCAAGCACTTCTTTTATTTAATAAAAAAATGCTTTACTGATCCATTGAGAAACAATTCTAAATTCTAAAAATTCTAGTCTTCTAAATTCAAAAAAATATTGAGGCTTATTTGATTCACATTATAACATGAAAGCATTACAAACTCAATATTATATAATTCAAAATCAAAATGTTCTGTTAGAATTACGTTGAAATTTCATTTTTGTTGTTGAGATTTTTCCTTAAATTGACCACCCTACATGTAGATCTTCTGGCTGTCATCTTATGCACTTCTTACCATATATTGTATAATTTTTTCCCTAATATGCACCCATAATACTGAAAATAATCTTGTGTACGAGTTGTCTTGGGTACGAGTTGTCTTGGGTACGAGTTGTCTTGGGTACGAGTTGTCTTGGGTATGAGTTGTCTTGGGTACGAGTTGACTAGGAAGCGAACAAAGTGCCAAATGTATAATACAAGTCTTAAATACCGAAGTATGAACAAAGTATGTTCCTTAGCCTCTGCAAAAGATACATGTACAGTATATATAGAAATTATGATTGAGAAACAGAAATCTCTGTATATAGTATGTTGATTGATAGCATGAAAGTATAGTTAAAACATGGTTATTCCAGTTATATAGGTCAAAACTTGTTTGTGCCGGATGTAAACTATATACATTTGATTGGGTAGTTATCTATATTGAACAATTATTTCATATTAAGAACAATTAAAAGCTTATAATAGTGCTATGATAATTTTATTGATGAATTCATGAATCTCAGTTTTTTGTTTTATTTGTTAATTTGCTCAGTATTTTACTGCACTGTATTGTTTCTAATCTGACTGCAGCTGAGTGTTTAATGTGTGAGCCAGGGACATATCAAGATCTCCCCCTGCAAGACCACTGTATAAACTGCCCCACAGGTTTCTATAGCAGCGCCATGAAAGACCAGTGTAGCTGGTGAGCAAAAATATGCCATATCTCACATAAAATCAGATATTAGTCATAACTTATGGGGTTAACATAAACTTCTGCCTTTTGATGATCTTTGGAACAAGAACTTCATAAATTGACATAAAAGCATGACTCAACCATGCAAACAGGTAACTATACGTTCTAAATAAGTTGACTTTTCAGGTGTTATAATGAAGATTTAGGGACATTTTGATCTTGAGTTACAGAGCAGAGTATGATTACATGTATATTTCTTTATTCGACCTTTAACCTTAGCCCCGACCTAGGCTTGCCTAATTCAGTATTTTTTGACTTATCTGATCTTTTTGATCTTATCTGATAATAGAAATCAAGATAAGTAAAAGAGACTGAGTTGGGCAAGGCCACTTTAACCTATAGAATGACCTTGACCGTGCATGATTGAATTTAATGTTATAATAATATCTCTAGGTGCCCTGAGTTCTCATATTCAAAACCAGATGGCACTGGATGTGTAGCATGTGACCCCAGTGTGTGTGCATGTATGCAGGATCCCTACCCCTGTTTTGAAGATGACCAATCCAGGGTTCCCTGCCATGACCTTGATGGAGGGGGCTTCACGTGTGATGGTTGTCCAGGAGGTTACTCAGGAGATGGCGTCACTTGTGTTGATGTGGATGAGGTACTGTGTAAAAGTGTTATTTTGACACACCCTGTATCCAGTTTAACAGAAATACTTCAGATTACATTTTAGATTAAGTGTGGAGATTGTATTTATCAGAGACTTCACTTTTAAAGAAATGTACATGTTTATTTACTAGAATCTCATTTATTTTGTAAAAAATGTGGAACAGAGATTTGATTTATTTGATGTCCCTTATTCTGTTTTTATATTTTTATTTACGTATTATAGTGTTTTGCTGACAAGCCATGTTTCTGGGAGCGTTGTCTGAACACTGTACCAGGCTACCAGTGTTACGAGTGCCCTGAGGGGTATAATGGTACCTATGAGGATGGCATCACTGTTATTGACACTATGGTAAGTATGGACTTAAAGTATACTATACTGTACATGTATATTGGTATATTTTTGACAGTGAAATTGTTGGTGCAAATAGAGCACTTTGGAGGTGTTCCACTAAAGAGGTTCATTTAACATTGAGTCAGATTTGAAACTGAAGTGTCCCACTGATATAATAGGGATGTTCCACTTGTAGAGGTGTTCCACTTCGCTTGTTTCACTCTACATTTATCTTGCATTTTTCACTCTACATTTATCTTGTGTTGCAGAGGGTATTCCAGTACCACAATTATGAACTAGATGGGATACAGTACCAAAGATGCTGGGATGTTGATGAATGTCTTATCAACAATGGTAGATGTGATCCACATTCTACATGCTTCAATGCTGTGGTAAGTTACACAACTTCAAATCTGGCAAACCATGATACACATAGAACCAATTAAAAAATAAAGACACATTAAGCCCTTATTGCAATTCAATACATTTATGTCATTGCTTCTTATTCAGGGTAACTTCTCATGTGGGCCATGTCACAAGGGTTACCTAGGCAACCCATATTGCACATGTTACCCTGACAACTTCTGTGAAACTGGACAGCACACCTGTGATGGTAATGCAACTTGTACCTACCTTGGCCCTGCAGCCTATAGATGTGATGTAAGTATAGGCATGGGCTTTCAAGAGTCTGTTGAAAGCCCATGGTGATATGACTCCAAATGATGCATGATGAGAATTTTCATGTTATTGTTATGCCAAAATCAATGGATAAAATGGTTAATATATTTCACATTTTTACTGTGAATATTATATAATTCAAAATCAAAATAGAATTATGTTGAATTAAATTACATTTTCTGGTTGAGATTTTTTCTTTAGATTGATCACTCTACATATACATCATCTGGTTGTCATCTTGTGCACTTCTTACCATATATTGTAACACATTATATACAAACAGCACCATGAATTCTGATATCAGACTATGGTAGTTATATGATCATAATTTTTTTCTGTCAACATACTGCAGATGACTCATTTTCTTGTGATTTTTCATGCCTGATTTTTCATATTGTCTTCCTTTAATATTGTTTGAGATTTCCATCTTTGGCAATTATGCAAACTCCTTATTTCAGTATTTTGGCATAGACAAGCACTGCTTTAAAAGTGAGTTTGGCAATTGTGCTTACATTTACCATGGGCATGTACATTTACTCACATATATTTATATCAAACCTCCCAATCTTTTCTGTAGTGTATAGATGGTTATTCCGGCAATGGCTATGTCTGCGACATTGACTTTGATCTTGATGGCCGACCTTACAGAAACATCCCATGTGAAGATCCTGAGTGTTACAGAGTAAGATTTTGCTTTAGAATCATAATTGATGTTCCTTAAAGGGTTCCGATTAGCATCCCGTATAAAATCAATATGGCGGCTCCAGGCGAATCAACTGGATCAGTCCATTTTTAAGAAATAAGGGGAGTTCTGTAAAATCCAGTTTATCCAAAGAGTGATTGCGTTCAAAGAATACATGTACAACAGCCAATATAAATCCTTGTATTAGAAACCGGTTTGTCTTGCTTTGTTTCATTTGTAGGATATTTCATATGCCAAGCTGTGTGCTATTACGTTATGGGAAAATTTAGATGCCAATTTTTCCTTATTATACACAAATAGAAGATCCTGAAACTTCACCCATAAATGTGGAATTGATTTGTCAAAATAAAAATCACTCTTTTATAAATGTGTGACGATCTATCAGTGTTGACACAACGACCTCGAACCTGTGAACCCTTGAGTATTATTCCGGGATCGGGCCTTTTATACTAAACGGTGAGCAACACCAGAAACGAGCGTTCGATTTGCTAAACGATATGCGTCACCCTTTAAACTAGTCTTATTTTTTCAAAATGAGGTGTTTTTTGTATTGCAAATGACTTCAAAACACCATTTTTAAAACAGCATAACTGATCAGATCATAATTGTAAATTTACAGTATGACATTCAATATGCTATTACAGACAAAGAAGGAATAACATAAATTAACATGTTTTACAGATTTTGTCGATAAATAATATTTGCAATCCCCTCTTTTTCTCAGTTAGTTGTGACATTTCCATGCTTATTACCCTGAGAAATATAGGCCTACAGAGACATGATCATTTTCAAATTGTACAATCTATTCTTTTGAATCTTTAAAGTTATTTCATTGATTACCAATTAAAAAATAATGTCTTTGGAGTACTAGTGAAGTCTACTTTGCAGGATAACTGCCCCAACCTACCAAACAGTGGCCAGGAGGACAATGACAGTGACAGTGCTGGAGACTATTGTGATGATGATGACGACAATGATGGTAAACCAGACTGGGCAGTGAGTATTATTATGGTTTTACTTCATAAATATTTATTATTAAAGCAGATATGAAATGATATTTTTAACCTAAAGGAATCAATATAATTTTTTGATAAATATATTTGGACATGTTTTCTCATCAGTAGTGCGAAAACTATTTCACTCTAACGATCGTTATAACAGCTTAATAAGCAATATTCGAATTGGTTGTGACGTTATTGGCCCCCACGTGATCTCTCACTGGTCCCCACGTGGCCCATAACGTCATAATGCCAAAATGTTTTGTTTTGGTTTACACTACAATCCTATGGTTGCCGTGACGTTGTGATTACTAAGGCACCAATAAACCAAAGCTATATTTTGTATATGACGTTACTTATCACGTGGGGGCCAATTTGATTGATCAGTTAGTTTTATTTCGTTATTTATGACCGTTAGCAGTTATCTAACATTTATTTTATAATGGCTATCGCAAGAACTCTACGTTTGGCTTACAATGGAGAAAACCGCATTTTTGTAGTTGCAAGTTGAGAAAAGCTATTTCAGTTGTCCTTTAATATTGTGTTATGAAAATTAATTTTACTTTCTCGTATTATTCCTGGCCAGAAATTCTTTCAAAATCATGCAGTTTTTCACCATTCTGAGCACATTTCCTATGATTCTTTAGCCAAAACTGTCAAAAAACTCCCCCTTGGCAAAAGCTCCTCCGTCCTTGGTAAAACTGCTCAACTGTTCCCCCTTTGGTAAAAGCTGGCTACAGCCTGTGATGAGACATTATTTACTTGGTTGAATCACATATGATTAGGAAATACAGGTCAACTTATTGGTTGAAGAGGTGTAACAGTGGAAAGATAGTTTTGTAAATGAAGAAAATAGAGATGTTTCTAGTCTTCTACATTGACACCAATAATCACCAAATTTCTCAAATTCTGACCAAATTTTCACAACTTTTATGGCAAAACTACATTGTACTGTAAAACATGATTTTCCTCTGAAAAGGAAATAATGAATTCTGCTAATGTATTCCACTCCATTGTAGGATAATTGTCCATTGGTGTTCAACCTTAACCAGGCAGATACTGATGGTGATGGCATCGGAGATGCATGTGATAACTGCCCTAGTGTTAATGATACAGACCAGACTGATACTGATTTAGATGGACTTGGAAACCCTTGTGATTCTGACATAGATGGAGATGGTGAGAGCTTCAAACTGTATGAGGGGTGATCAATAAGTAATGGACACTTTTTTACACAGATGCTTTTTATAGAAAAGCGTCCATTACTTATTGATCACCCCTCCTATATGTGTCACAAAAACATTGAACTGTTTTACTATAAAATGTTTAACCTTTAGTTCAAAATATTTAGAACAGTTTAAGCATTCTTTAATTTTCAATTAATCCCTCATTTTGACAGATTATACATGCATAAAATAATCATGAAAATTACCTATTAGCCTTTCGAATTATTATTTATTTATACTTGCATAATTAAAGATCCAATATGCAATTTTAAGATCTGATTTCACTAAAAACACAAAATCTAGTTATTTGTCTTAATTTATTCAGGCACAGCTAATGGAGCAGACAACTGTGTGTATATTGCTAATGACCAGACCAATGCAGATGGTGATCTCTTTGGTGATGCATGTGATAACTGTCCTATAGTGTCCAACAATGTTCAGACTGACACCAACCAGAATGGCTACGGAGATGCATGTGATGGTACCACCAACATTGACCAGTAAGTGAATATATTACTAAACTGAACTTAAAATGAACATATTCAGATATATTATAAACATGTAGTCAGATCATTATTGAGATCATGCAAGATTAGCAAGATACTTTACTTTCTTTATAAACCATGATAAATGTAAAAAAGACTGATACTGGTAAAACTTGTGTTGCTTGCTTGAGACAAAGATAATTCTAAAGAGTTTAAAGTTACTGTACCTTTCCTTGCTTGCTTGAAACAAAAATAATTCTAAAGAGTTTGAAGTCACTGTACCTTCCTCGTATGTGTATTTCTTCCCTGTGTGTGCATATGCATTAAACTGCCATGTGTATTTGACTAACTACTATGTGTATGTACTGTAGAGATGGCGATGGTGTCCCAGACTCAGCAGATAACTGTTATTTTGCCGTCAATCCAAGCCAAGCAGATACAGACAATGATGGCATAGGTAAGGAGACATCGTTGTACACATTTTGTGAGATGAAAACTATCTTCATTTTGTAAAGTAATCAATTTTGTGTATTCCATGAATCTTAGTTTTTACCAATGTTTCATTTCTATAAGTGTCCGTAGAATATTGTAATAAATCACATGAGGCGATATATTGGCCCACTCTGTGATAATGTTACTTCTAGAATTCATTAATGTAATTGATATTGAAGATTATAACCATGAGTCATAACCTTGTTTCAATACTGTTTCTCTGTTTTGTAGGTGATGCATGCGATGATGATATGGATGGAGATGGAGTATCTAATGAAGTGGACAATTGTCTTTATGTACCAAATAGTGGCCAAGAAGATAAAAATGGTAACTCAAGCATTTATACATCATAAGTAGAACCAACAACAACAAACATGAGCCAAACAACAACAAAGATTAGCCAAACAACAATAAATATGAGCCAAACAACAACAAATATGAGCCAAACAACAACAAGATTAGCCAAACAACAACAAATATTAGCCAAACAAAAACAAATATTAGCCAAACAACAACAAAGATTGGCCAAACAATAACAAAGATAAACCAATGATCATTCCTGTTTTAGAGTATAATAATCCTTACCTGTTATATGTACAAATGAAATGCTGTATGTTTATTTAAAATTATCTCTGACTTTTAAAGAACTTAGGGCCTATGATAATATTAAAAGGCTATCAAAACGTACCAATGATGAATGATTGTTTATACCAATGATGAATGATTGTGAATAATTTGATCTTTCCTAGATGATGGCATTGGAGATGTATGCACGGGTGATACTGATGGAGATGGTGTGTTGGATCAGTATGATGCATGCCGAAATAACAAATATATAAACACTACTGACTTTTTTCACTCTACTTACATCGACCTTGACCCCACTGCTGTGAACTCTATTGACCCCAGGTGGGAGATTATACATGATGGCAAAGAAATCAGACAGTTGGAGGATGCGGTAGAGAAACCTGTCATGTTAATTAGTAAGTATGACGCCTGTCATGGTTATCAGAAGTATGAAAGTCATGTTTATTAGAAATGCATGTATGAAGCCTTCAATACAGTATTACCATTCCTGATGTACCTCAAATCACTTTACACAATATTGCAGGCTATATTTTGGTTTGGGCAAGGGACAAAAATCCACCTTTTGTGAAACACTTTCTTCAAGTCAAATTCTTTCATTGGTTGAAATGTTTAATAGTTCATTGTCTGTATTAGATGATGGCTTAATTTTCTTCTCTGTGAAGTTGCTATAATTATTTGTTAACCCATCCAAATTGAAATTGACTTTCTGTACTTTGGATGCATATTTTCCCAACCAACCCTTCCCTCGAATCTGACAAACTGTTTTGTTCTCTACATGTAGCTCTATGATGAGATTTATATTATTCAGGTAAAGCAAGTTATGAGACCTTGGACTATAGTGGTACATTTTATGTGAGATCTGATGATAAAGACAACTACATAGGCTTCGTGTTTGGTTACCAGAATAACCAGAAGTTCTATGTGGTCATGTGGCAGTCTAATAATACCAATAAGGACCTCACCGCATATAGAGGCGGGTTGAGAGGTTTACAAATCAAGGTAGGTTAATTGTACACGCAATTGTTGACCTTTACAGAGGTGGACTGGCTACAGTGGCTAGATTGTATACTTTAAATGTAAGGTTAGATTTTATGGTTGACTTATACGACCAAGCTTGTCTGGTTCATAATTTAGCCAGTCAAGGTAAACAATTGCGAATAATGTAAATGTTTTTAAAATGCACCAAAATTTAATACTTGTAACCAAGACTAGAGCATGGTCTTAATTACTATTCCGAGGTCATTCATGAATTTGAACTCATCAATTATCACTATACATTATATTTCATTGATAATTTGTTACCAGGTAGTTACATCCAGTACAGGCCCAGGGAAAGCCCTAGGTAATGCTTTGTGGCACAGTGCTGACACACCAGGGCAGGTTAAGGTCATCTGGCATGACCCTGGTATGACTGGATGGGTACATAGGACCCCCTATAGATGGCACTTATATCATAGACCAACCAGTGGTCGTATAAGGTAAGAATACAGTTACAATTTTAAACAAATGAATATCTAGACAGAACTTATATGATGTACAGTAGATTAATTACATGAACATCAATGGAGGAACATGAAAAACACTTTATGTAAGACCAGAGACACAATGGACAACATTTGAAGCACACATAATAACAAATTAACTAACAATTAAAACCCTATTATGTATAATCAACAATCTAAACAATTGTAAGAAGAGTTCTCCAACAAAGCATTTATCAATTTAAGGATTGGTGGAATATTCTTATCATTCAAAACTCCTATTTTACATCGCACTCATGCCCTTCAGATTTCGCCTGGTTGAGGGTAACGCAACAGTAATTGATAGTGGTAACATCTACGATACAACAATTCCTGGAGGTCGTATTGGGGTTTTCTCATATAACCAGCCTCAGTGTGTATGGTCTTACCTAGTGGCTAGGTGTGAGGATAGGATCAATGAAGCACTGTTACTTGATGGTGTTGATGACTATGTTGAACTTGGTACCATAGCTGAACTTGGCATTGTTGACAGGTAAGCTGAAAGCAATGGAGTGCAACAAAGGAGGATTTACCCATAGATCCCCAGTCAGATCTTTTTCCTTGGAAAGTAAATCAACATAGAAATAATATTTACAAAATATGTGGTCAATAGAGATATTAATATTCATTGAGAATGCATCTACAGTTTATTTCTTCAAAATCCAGAATATTTCGGATGCAAAACCTTAAAATGTGAACACCTGCTAATCTGACTGTTTTTAGCCCAGTCCCAATGGTGTTCAGATTAGACAGGTGTTAATACAAATTTAATTGGAAGGTGTTCAGATTAGCCAAGTGTTTTGATATACAGGTATCACTGTACCTTCTTTAGGCTAACTTAAGACTTTTGCCTCATGCCTTATCTTCTTTAAGATCCTGGCAAGGCACCTGGATGTTATAGCTATCTGATTTTTAAAGTAGAAACTCATTTCAATGTTAATCTCCAAGATTTGATATTCTTCCTCCATCTTGTTTTGTACAGTTTCATTGATAATGTACGTAACACATACATATATTATATTTCAGTTTTACATTCGAGACATGGTTGATGCTGCCCGATAGTTATAGCTCTACCAAGCAGCCAATCATATGTACAGATAATAGTGTACTGTGTGTTTACATAGAGAATGGGCTCCTCAAGGGGCAATATGGGACTACAATAATAGAGGGCGCCACTACCATACAGGCGGAATATTGGCACCATGTCACTATGAGATATGACGCTCAAAGTAAAAGATTTCTAAAATTCAATTTTTTAACCAATTTTCCTGTCAGAAACTGTTATACTGTATGTTGATGAATGGGTTTCCGTTTTTAAGTTAAATAATGTCAGAAATAGTATTTCTTAGATTTATTGCTTGATAGATATTACTACAGCCTACAAGCGATAGTATACATAGTATTATTGTAACTGTATATTAATCAAAGATACATGTAAATATAACATGCAATGCAGTACTTTTACAACCAGAATTCACTTCAATACAATGTTTATTATTTTTATTTACACACACTCTATGTTTGTGTTTTGTTTGCCATTTATGTGCCACACATTGAGGTTGTTATTGTTATGGTTACAGATTATATACTAAGCCTATATATCAATGGGACCTCCCTGTCTGCACCTAATCCTGAAGCTGTACAACATGACATATCCCCTGTATGCTGGGTAGGTGAACATTTCTTTTGTGATGTAATTTAATTCATATTATATGAACATTTGATAATGTAATTGCTAAGAACATACTGTAAACTAGTGTACAGGTACATTAAAGCCACATACAGATATTTTACCTATATTTTAAAACCCCAAAAAGTAACAAATGGCAGGTGGTGACAGTGTGCATGTTATTTCCTTGTTCATTTTAGTTCTTAAAATATGCACTGGATACCTCTTTTGTGTAAACACCTTCTGAATTAGCCTTGCCCAAGTCGGTCTCTTTTACTTATCTAGATTAAGATTAAGATCAAGATCAGGATAAGTAAAAAATACAGACTTGGGCAAGGCTACTTCTGAATGTGAGCCCTTTTTTAATATGAACTCTCAAAATGCTTGCCATTTATATCTCTTTTAGCTAGTCCAAGTAATATTATACATCCAAAATATTACAGTGAGTATTTTTTAATGTTTTTCAGAACATAGATGAGCTTGGGCTATGGAAACACTGTGATGATGTCATCAACAATGATACTACACTATATCTGGGTACAGAAAACAAAACAGCCTTCTTCCAAGGCAAAGTAGATGAGGTAAGATTTGTGCATGATCAACTTAGTAATCCAAAGTCTCTATTATATTTCTCACAAGCTTTAGATAAAGAGAGACTAAAAGATCAGAATGAGGTATTCCAGACATCACTTTTGTGTACTTCGTGTACAGTATTATATTGTAATTTGTGCATGGTATTGTCGGATTTCAGACAATTTACTTTATTGTTACAATAATTTATTTATGAGTGCATGATGGTATTATAATGGTATTGCAGACAATACTTTAGTGTACTAAATGCATAATGGTATTGCAGACAATACTTTAGTGCACTAAGTGCATAATGGTATTGCAGACAATACTTTAGTGTACTAAGTGCATAATGGTATTGCAGACAATACTTTAGTGTACTAAGTGCATGATGGTATTTAAGACAATAATGAATTATGTAATATATGTATGATGGTATTCTAGGTAATATTTTAGTGTAATTTGTGCACATTTGTATTCAAGAAAACATAAATAATGTAATGTGTGTATGATGGCATTCCAAGCAATATTTCGGTGTACTGTAATTTGTGCAAATTGGTACAACATACAATCCATTTTTGTTATGTATATGCATGATTTTTTGAAAAGCAGTATCACATATTATTGTTTAACTCTTGGGATATACAGTACAGTTACAAATAGTCTATTCCAGAGTCAGCTATTTTCACTTCACAGGGGGTGGGTTCTCGGGGTACAAACTTAGCCCCTCCACCCTAGCCAAAAAAAATTATTTCAAAAACATGCAGTTTTTCACCATTCTGGACACTTTTCAAGTGATTTTGAGCCAAAGTTGTGAACGTGAACCCCTGCTCTCGTTGGAACTTTTTGAGGTGACCCTACCTTGGCAAAAGCTGGCAAAAATTATAGCAAAATTAGTAATACTTATTGTTTTCAGGTGAGATTAAGCAACATTTACCTTCAAAATACTGAACTGGATGGTCACATGACCTCAGCTGGTTTATGGTGGCAGAAACATAAACAATATGGTCTGGTCCACCTTGATATGGATGAGAATGATGATGATGTCATACTACAAGATAAGGGGAATGCTGCACATAATTGTACCATGTATGGGGCACCACAATTTGTTATGGTTGGTGTCAATTATTAATTCATCATATTGAATATTCATATCATATTCTTAACTTTTTTAATATTTAACAAATAATATAATGTCTTTTGATCACCAACATACACTTAACCCTCCAAAAGTTTTCTGACTTATTGTAAATGAGGAACACAATTAAGCTTCAAAACTTAAACATGATATCCAATGTGGACTTCCTGTTGACCTACTTATGGAGGATGCGTTTATATGTTTCTTGTAATAAAAATTAATTTACATACATGTAAAAAAAGTTTTACATCTGACACTTTGATGATATTGGGTAAGACTACAATATAAGCCAAAGTGGTTTAAACTTTTTGTGTGACATTTAACAATTTAAACCTAAAAAAGCTGCATGTTTTAATTCTCCATTTCAGAGTTACAAAAACCGCGGGCGGTTTGAGAACACCTATACAAATAACAGAAGATAGCACACGAGTCATGAAGTTAGACGAATTATCACAAGTTTTAATTTTATATGGGATGACAGTTCAATGGACTGATGTTTGTTTGTGCCAAATTGTCTATAAAATGGTACTTTATTCACACGAGATTTACTTGACAACTGTCCCTCGTTTTGTGAGAGAAGATTAGGCAATTTTGGTCAGAAGAAATCCTCCGAAATATACAATACTGAGACAATTGAATTAGACAGCTGACTAGCCTACTTTTATGATTTAATACAAAGGTATGATTGTTTTAGTTGTGTTTGCTAGGAGGCACTAAATGTTCACATTCTGTGAGTTAGATAAGTCATGGGCTTTCAACTCTAGTTGAAAGCCCATGGATAAGTGTAGAATTTTGTAAGTTATTTATCTTTATTGATCCTTGTCTTCGTCCTTGATCAGTTTATGTTATATGGAAGTTCAACAACATTTGATATGCATAATATGGGATAGTAAATCTCTGAAGTATTTATACAATTTAAGATTATGTGAGCTATAAAATGTGACCTCAATAGCATCAGTGATCAAAATAATGAACAAGGATCATTCAATAAAAACTACTCATTTTCATATATTGTTTTTTTATTGAACATACCTTGTACTTAGTATAATAAGACTTTTACCATACCCAATTTAGGGGTTTGCAAATGTATTTCAATTCAACAATTTACACAATTGGTTTATACCTTTATTACTGACATTTTCAATTTTGTCAAATGATTCATTCAATGATGAGAGCAATTATGCATTATGCTAGCCTTGGCTCACTTAAAAGAAAAAAAGGATCATTGGATAATATCTTGTGGTGAGTATCCTATAGAAAACTCAAGACAGCTCTTTATCAAATGTCATGTGTTACTTAAAAAATAAGTGTGTACACATTTCCTGTATATAAATGTAATCTTGTATTCGAGAATGGAACTAACGCCTGTGGGCTACCGGATTAACTTACTATTTTATGGACAACTCATTTAAATATGAATAGTACCTCCCACTATCCCATTCATAGATTAATCTGGTAACAGAAAGCCGAAAGTTGCATTCACAAATACAAGCGAAGTGAATGTTTAAGTTATTTTATATTTGTATACTGTATATTGTAACTTAAAGTCCCTGTTGACAGGAACTTTAGTAATTTAGACTTTTTTACCTATTATTTTTACATTTGACAAATAAAACAAAAGTAATGTCTCCATTGTACATATTATGTTCTGTTTATTAGTGTAAATTTTAAATTATTGCACATTGGTCTCAAATATATTTCATTAGCTTCAACACAAGTCATTACATAATCAAATGGAATTCATTGTATATACAGTTTAATATCTATTGGTAAACCCTTTAAAGATCTTGTATTTTTCATATCATTTAGATTTGTAACACACGACCTTTAAACTTAATCAATATTTACTTATTTGATACATATTTATGTACAAATTATATTTACATAACCCTAATGTGAATGTCTATTTTATGAGACAATAACACGATCATCTTGAAATAGTACTTTCACTATTTTATCTGTGTTCTGCAAGTATGAGCATATCAGTTTCTACACTTTTCAATTGGCGAATAAAGCAGTTTTCTCATCAGATATATACTTTGATGAAGGCTGTGTTGTGTCCCTTTGAATACATGTTTAGTGCATTGTTCTTACGGCGGCTACATGGTGAGACTCTAGAATACGACACACTTGTCTGGGGGGTTCATTGGCGTCCCAGCAGCACATTTGAATGTATCAGCAAACTCCTTTAGGTTACTCACAACTCCATTAACACTGGAATAAAAAAGGCAGAATTTTAAGATGTATCACAACTCCATTTATTTGTAATAAAACATGGCAGAATTCCAAGGTGTATCACAACTAAATATGGCCAAATCTTAAGGTGAATCACAACTCAAATGGAATATAATATGGCAAAATCTTAATGTGTGCATTACAATTCTATTAACGCTGAGGCAGAATCGAAGGTGTATCACAACTCTTAAATAAATGTACATTAAATATAAACTCTCAACTATATGCTTGAACAAAACTATTGTAACTAACATACAAAACAAAACATAGCTGTAACCCTACTATCACACCAAACTAGTTCTCACTACGTTCTCAAAAACGGGTTTCAACTGTGTACGAACGGTCTGGACGTACTTAGAACCGGTTGGGGTCTATTTACAAACTTCATAGAACGTACTCGAACGGGTAGGTCCTCTAGATTGACACCAAGCAAGTTGCCACTGCTTTCTTCAAAACTGGCTTTAAACTGTGTGCGAACGGAATGAACGTAGCTACAATCACGGTGTATAACCCAAACGCTCCTACATGCACGACGGAGCGTTTCATTTACGCGGAAACGCTCCGGAGCGAAATAAAATGGCGGCTAATGAAGATTCCACTATGACCGTAAGTATTGTTTCTCTCGTTTCTCTTACATATCATATGTTATGGTGAAATATTATGTACCATTCGATGAACAATACCGTGAGCAAAGATCTTATTTATTCAACTTCTGGTGGTAAACTGTTATTTGCTTGATCAAAGCTCCGTAGTGTAGATCGAACGAATCTGAAGATGACGATTTGACCACAAATTACGAATTAAACTAGTATTTCTATGAAAACGTTAATCTTTCTGTTAAAATAGTAGATCACAAACTCGTATATTCTCATTTCCTAAAATCCCAGTCCAAATCCATTACTTGTTCTCGAAAAATCGCTTGTTTTCCTCAAAACGCTCCGTCGATTTAGAACACAATTTTAGAAACGCTCTTACCATTTTGTTTTGATATCATTTTCAGATTATTAGAGAAGAGTTCCGAATTAAATCTATCTTTCAAAAACGTGTTGTACTTGTTAGGCAAATTGAAACATCTGAACCTGGTGGTGCTAAACGTGCAACTAGCTGATTTAAGCTTACATTAGATGATGTCATGCCTACATGTGTGCTAAATCATAAAACTATAGAAAAAAAACTAAAATTTATATGTGAATAAGTCTTTCTTCTTTTGATGCCAAGGGGTATAATAGATCTTTTCTTTCTCTTCCTAAAAAGGAAAGGCAAGCTATATATTTCCTAAACTGATCTAGACTACCGGAGCGTTTCCAGTTCACTGTGTTAACCAGATCGGAGCGTTTCTTGAATATGAGAATGTCATCATTTTTCAGACTGGATTTTCGGTCATCAAATCACTATTACGATGATGTATGGTGCGTTGAAGCATTGGAATTTGACTAAAATATACGTTGGTTCTCTAATCTTGGTTCAACTAATCACATGTATCGACAAAAGGGGTTTTGACCGGTAGAATGACAAATACGTTTTTGAATTTTGATTACTATACTGCTTCGTACAGCTCTTCCTAATTGCTTCAAACGTCAACAGCCAGCCAAGTACAACATGAATATCACACCCATCGAATGGTATACTCGAAATATGGAACTCATACCTCTTATTCCCATTATTGGGGAAATCGTCAGATGACTCATCATTCCCGCCAGCCAGTTTTCCTACTCCGGAGCGTTTCTTTGTTTAATTTCAGTAATGAAACGCTCCGTCGTGCATGTAGGAGCGTTTGGCTTATACACCGTGACAATGTTCTACGGTCATTTACGAACTTCATGGACTTTCCCTGACGGGGAATGTGATTTAGAATTTTGAATCGATTCAAAATTCGATGGCGACCATACCGGTCTGTAATCAGGTCATGATGACCTTCTAGACTAAGGGACGCATTATACTACGTTGCACACCGACGTGGTGCGACCTGAACGAACTGCGAACGAGATGGAATTTTGAATCGATTCAAAATTCTGAAATCACATTCCCGTCTGAGAACGTTCATAAAGTTCGTAAATAGACCTTAGAAAGTTGCAGCTACGTTCATTCCGTTCGCACACAGTTTAAAACCAGTTTTGAAGAACGCAGTGGCAACTTGTTTGGTGTGATAGCTATATTTTTGCTAACTCGTTCATAAGCAGTGTTAAATACGTTCTCCCTCGTTCTTAACACGTCCTCGGACAGTTCAACTCGTTTTTAAAACGGCCCTAGTAGGATTGAAGTACGACGATTCCGTTCGTAGTACGTCCAGCTCGTCGTTAGTACGTTGTCACTCGTTGTAATTGTACAACGTGACGACCACGAGAACATTTTGAGCATTGTCTAAGTTCTAAAGGACCTACCCGTTCGAGTACGTTCGATGGAGTTTGTATTAAGATCCCAAGCGGTTCTTAGTAGGTCCAGTCCGTTCGTACACAGTTGAAGCCCGTTTTCGAGAACGTAGTGAGAACTAGTTTGGTGTGATAGTAGGGTTAGGTGGCTTAAATTTATTGTTATATATCGTTTTCATATAGTCTCATAATTTCACCATATTTTGACATTTGAATTCAAGAGCGATTTCCCTAATGTAATCTCAAACAATGCCTCGTTGACTATCTTCACACTTGTTCAAAACTTTTTGGATTTTGCCTGTTTTACTTACACGATGTCTTCTGGTACGAAGTTCTGGCCACTAACTAGGTTGTATGAATATGTATCACGTCTGTTGTAACACTTGGACTACAATCAAGCCAATCAATTAATGAAATGATATCAGAAATACTTTGAAATATACATTCATTTTTAATTCATTTTTGGCGATTTCAAAATACATCAAGTCATAACAAATGTAAATCCGGATTTCTAATATTACAATGTTGACGAAGGTTTTGGGGTCAGCGTACATGTAGCACGTATACCTTTCAACCTTTTATCCGAATTTATCAGTATGTGCCTGCAATTTAATTTTTCTGAGAAAAACATGACCCCTAATATTTATATTTCTAAACATTGAAATGAAGATGATATTTGTTCTAGTACGATTTTAAACAAAATTTACTGTCAGGTAAAAATTGATTTTGATTAATAACTTGGCTTCGAGATGAATTTGAGTTAGTAGTTGACCTTGAGATGTAAAGGTTGACTTTGAGATAAAAGATGGCTTTGAAGGAAATGTTGACTTTGAGGCAAAATTAAAGAGGTAAAACTTGACTTTGAGGTTTAAGTTGATTTTGAGGTGAAATTGATTTTGAGGTTCAAGTTGATTTTGAAGTGAAATTAACTTTGGGGTTCAAGTTGATTTTGAGGTGAAAGAGACTTTGAGGTTCAAGTTGATTTTGAGGTAAAATTAAGTTTGAGGTATATACCTGAGCCCAGGAAACAAAGAAGACTTGTTCGTTTGTGAGCCCCAGACCTGGCGCCATCTTCTCTTTATTCATAGTCATGTACTTTTTGTATGCCTGAAATAAGAATTATTCGATCAGCATGCTTTTAACATGTTCAAGTTATCAGGTTAATCAGTTTTAAAGATTTATACAGTTCCGCTGTTATGTTCATGGTGTTAAAATAGTATGTTTCATCTTCCTTTGAAATAATATAACCACCCATTATCCAATGAGACGGAATGTAATAATAAGTTAGTAGAAATATACTTGACTCATAAATATACTTTCAGAATGAGATTGATTGACTGACCTGCAATGCTATCCTTACTCCACCAGTCTCTGCAATGGCATTCCTGGCATATTTACTGCCATCTATTGGGATCTGAAAGAAATTTAATCGTGGAGGAATTCGAGGGTCTGTTACACTACACTTGCAGATCCAGAGGGGGGCATACCCCAAAACATGGGCCTTTTTGGTCATAATTTGGCTTTTTAGGCAAAATTATTAAAAAATGGGCCTTATGTTTTGAAAAATTTGGGCCCACGTTTTGGTTTTAGGGGCCCATGATTTTTTCCAGTGCAAGCGCGGACATTTTTTTCTGCACTGTAGTCTGTATGAAAGAGCAGCCATTTTCATATCAACCCTTGACATATGGTTCAATTATATTTTTTTAAATCAGCTGTGTTTCACAATCATACTCATAAAACAATGAAGGTTACATTTGAGATTTTAAAAATATTTGTTCACTGATTTGATTAACTTGGAATATCTGAATATACTTTGTAAGTATGTAATTCGTGTAATCCTTACTGTGACTCCCTGGGTGTCTGAGTTGGTTAGTTTATAAGGCCCAGCAGTTTGTTTGTTGTAGTAATCCACAACACATTGCTTCTTCTTGAGGTACTCTGTCTCAGTCCAACTAGTCCACCAGTCATAGACTGTACCATTCTGCAGGTACCAACCACCTAGTGCCATACATTGAAATAATAGATAATAAACGTGATGTTAATTTCCATTATTTAGATTTTATAACCAAAGTTTGCAAATGTCTGGTTAAACAATGGTTGTATGTATTTATTTGCAAACACATTATTCAAGTGTTAAATTTTTCAATTAATTTAAGCATTTATTTCAAATTCGCACATATAATTTTAGAGTAAATCCAAGTTATTAGAGTAGGGAACTAGGGAATCAACTAGAACCACGATGCAAAGCTAGAGCAGTGCCTCGGCGTCTAACCCTCTTACCAAGTTCATCAACAGCCAGTAACACTTGAGCAGCAAGGTTTCCTCCCATGGCACCATAGTTATGATACTTGGGGATATTTTTGTTGAAGATGGGGAACTGAAGAATACCAGCGGGTACCAAGACCTCGTTCCAGGACTGCGCATATCTTGCCTCAGTAGCAAACACCTTTATTCTCCAAACTGCCTTGTCTTCTCCGTCAGAGAGAAGGTTGTTCCATTTCACTTTTTCAAATTTGCCCAGATTTAGGATATTTCCAAAATGGCTTCTTGGGTTTACCATTAACTGAAAATCAGAAGTATAAAATACGGGTACATTTAGTATACGTGTAGAAAACATCATGCAGCTAATATTAGACCTAAGGCATAGAATATGAAATAAACTACACAGGTCTTCATAAATGTAAAACCAATGATGTTTTTTCGTTTCATCAGTTAATATTTTGATTTTTACTAACCCCTACCCTTACACTTCCACCTCTACTTCAAAATTGAAATGGGTCTGGGGAAATGTGGATTGAAATTGTGTTCTAATTCAAAATAATTAGACCCGAGCATGCATAAATCGAAAGTTTGCAAGCTCACGATGTTCTAGAATACTTACAGCATCATAGAATGTATCAAGTCTGTCATGGTCCAGTAAAAGTTCATCGTATCCCAGTTTGTCATCTAAAGCTTGGAGCTAAAATAGATTAAAAAATTATCAAACACAATTGGCGTTTCAAGGTATTTATGATAATGTTAAGATTTTAAGATTAACATCGAGGGATGGGTGCTAGACTATCCAAAACATATAACATCGAGCGATGATTTGGTATTTTCATACAAGCACCTCAACCTGTTGAATAGCCAGATCGACGAGATATATATCTAGCCACAGGTATAACATGTATATTTCATTATCACGTCTTCAACGTAATCACTCCCTACCTTTGTTCTGGCTCTCCAAAGAGTCTGCTGGTCCATCCAGATGAGGTTGTCCAGGCGAAAGTACAAGGCATCTTTTAATAAGGTCACTATGTCGTGTAGCTAAAATATAAAAAAAATAATATCCATATGACCATTCTGTCCTTCTGACATGACAGAAATTAAATTTATCAATACGTTTGAATGGCAATCCGAAACGAGGTCAATTAAGGTGTCATCATAACAATTTGAATAGATGTATGACAGCTTTCAATATTTCAAGGATCGTATGGGCAGTGGGTAGTGCCTTCTGGTCTGGTGCTCTGGTCAGCTGTGCTAAGTGAAAATATGCAAAATCTTGAATGGAGAATGTAATCAGCCATGCTATACATATATTTAAGTTCACTTACGTCCGATTTCGAAGCATCAGCAAAGTGGTCCTGAACGAAAAGAGATCCAAGAGCGAGGTCCATCTTTTCAGCTAGGATGTCGAAGCAAAACTGCCAGGTGCCGAGGAACTCCGTATTGCCGGTCTGGGCGACATAGAACTCCCGGTTTGCGTGAACGTAGTCCCAGGAGAGGTGCTGGGCAAAGTTCTGGGCCAGTCGCCATGTCATGTAGTTGTTCATCATCCTATAAATGACATTAGGTATACACAAGTGCTAAAAGGGGTAATACCAATGAATATTCTACAAAACAAGAATGATAAATGCATAAGAGCGTTAACAGTTAGAAAGAAAAAACGCAGCCCAAGATAGGATATAAAACCTAATGACGTCATGTCTAACGTTGACAATATTTTAAAAATACCTTGCTTTGTTTTCGCCCAATCCTGCAATATACATGGCCATCTGGTTAATATAGTCCTTCTCCAATATGACAATAGGGGTGTTACCGTCAACGCCGGAGTCTCGGAACATATACATAAAGAATTCCACCCAATCAATCTGAAAATTAAAAACACAATTCTTATTGTACACGCGCTGATGAGTAAAAAGATTGGGAGTTTGTGACTACTACAGTAACATCATCGGTTTTTGTTTATAAATAAATCGTTTGACGTTTTAACTGAATTCTGATAAATAGGGGTTGATAATGAGTATTTTTCCTAGGGTTGCCATTTGTGCTTTCTCACTATTTTAAAAATTTATTTTTAAATTCAGTTCAAGATTGTTGAGTTATCCTCAATTAACTCACCCCTGGATACATGCTTTTCATTTGGTTAATGGTGACTCGCTCCTCAACGTCGTGTGGGTTTTGTGTTGGCAGTGTCCTTGCAGTGATCTACATGTACATCGATAAAACGTTCAACATCTAAATTGTTATCATTAATTTTATTCTTATGAACGATTCACCAAGATTATCATTATGACCCTCTAACAAACGATTTTGTATCATTTACTATTGTCGATGAATGATATACAAGAGACTGATTTTCTACATTGGCCTTTAAATCTTTAAAACTTTCGCGATTGAAATAATATAGTTTTACTTTTAGGCGTTCCTAAATCCATTGCTTTAATCCCCGGTCTAAACCAATGGATATTGAGAAAATTAGCCCATGGGAACCCTTCCCTACCATTATCTGTTGATCTTGTCATAGATTTATCGAATAAAGTCCCAGACTTACATTGGCCAATTTGCCCTCCACTTCCATGACATCTCTGACGAATCTGTTGACCCTGGTCTCCTGGGTGGCGAAGTCCAGCGTTGTGTTGGAATCTCTGACGAGGTAACCGGCCACGGTTCTCATGTACGTCATGTAAGCGGTCCTTATCTGAAACACATGGAATTATTAAGCAATGCCATTGGCAAGGGAAATGTATGAGACCAAATCATAGTCAAACTAATTTAGAAATAGTACTCTTATATTGCTTTCAACGAAGCTTATTTTAGCGTCAATATTGTAAACATAAAAGCAAAGAGATAGACAATAAAACAATTATAAAAACGCCTACCCTTTCAGAGTCTGGGTTGGTGTAATGCCAGTAGGACATGCCAAGACCGCCGAGATCAACCTAGTAGAAAATCAAACATTAATTCATTCATATAACTGAGGTACCAAAAATAAATAGAACTTTTTAGAATATTCAACATTATTATTATTAATTGTATGATACGGGATGTTGTGTGTTTAGATTTGTGTCGGTGTGTGTTGTGATTTTGTTTAGTTCTCCAACCTTGTCAGCCCTCTCTTGTTTGGTATATTACGTAATTATGCTTATCTGCTCATCCATTGCGTTTAGCGTGACTAATGATACTAAATCAGTGTGACTAATGACATTTAACATGGACATATTTGGATGTTTTTTGCGTTTTCAAACATTTCCGCATTTGTATGATGCTCACCTCGATAACGCGTTTGTTAGTGTCATACCAATCCGTGCCGACTCTAAAGTTGAACATGACATCTGTCCAATAATCAATATGAACCTCCTTCAAGTGTTTCTCCCAATCCCAGTTCTTTATGTCCAATGTGCCGAAGACATCCCAACCCCCAATAAAGTCCATCACCCCCAAAAGCGGCTGGGCCTTCACGACCTCTTTCTGGAAATCGTTCTGACAAGACTCTAAGATGACTTTCAGTTTTCGTTCAGTGCCCCATAGTACATCTCTCTGGGTGTCTGCAGCAAGCACTCGTTTAATTTTATCCATGTTCCTGTCATACATTTCACTGTAGACGGTTTCTTCGGATTGTGTGGGTGAAATCTTGTTGAAATCGGTCCATCGTCCGCATGCGTAGTTGTAGAAGTTGGTGCAGGGATTAGATGTCTTGTCCATATTGAGTAGTCCATAGGAAGCTGATTCTAAACAACCGGGAGTAAGGCAATAATCATCTGTAGTGCTACCACCTCCCTCCCCGGTACCACCCCCTGTTTGATTGCTAGGAACGGGTGTTAATCCTGGAACCTGAACTCCAGCCGCAACGATGGCTAAAACAATTGCTGCGACGAACGCTACTAATGTTATTACGAGCATCACAATTTCCCTCACAGAACAACATTTTGTGATGCCTTTTTTCTCGATGTTGTCTGGAATATTAACACTTGGCCCCGTTGATGTAGCATTTTTCATAACAACCCCATCAGTATTGCTACCGAAGGAGGGATTATCGAACCCCGCGTACGGTTGTGTCATATTGATTTAGTCCTTTGCTGAACCTGGCGGTTTCAAAGCTCCTACAATATGAAATCTTCACCGGACACTGCTGTTATGGCTGCTTCGAATGCGGCAACACTCCCCTTGGTCACTTCAATCAGGAATGATCCTTTGGACCCGTTTACTATCTGTTGAACTCCAGTTTTATTAGCTTTTGGAGAATACTTTAGAATTCTACAACTCTCTAGGAGGTTTATCTGTAATTGTCTATTGTTTCAGGCCGCAACTAATGGTCATAAAATACGAGATAGTTCCCCTTCCATACCTTTATTGCACCTCTTCGAGGGCTCTCATGGCTGGGATATCATGTGCAAAAGGAGCGTCTCTGATTTATTACTGTGTGATTGTCCAAAGTTCCAATCATATTTGCACGTGCCTCTGTGTCAGGGATTTCATGACAGGGAAATATTTTGGTTTTGTAATTTTTTATTTTGTAAGTCTTTTATGATACATCTCGTGGTTAAAATGTCCCTAAAACTTCCCCTGTTTGAATTGGAATGCATATTTTCTTAGATTTACATTTTGTATATTGAAACATTGACCAAATTAAACGCAACGCAACGAAACGTATATTAAATAAAGGATATGTTAAATCGTATAATCTTACCTCAATAATACGCTTTGTAGTGTCATACCAGTCGGTGCCCACTCTGAACTGGAAGAGTGCGTCAGTCCAATAATCAATGTGGACTTTTTCGAACGCATAGAGGAAATTCGAGGACTGTGCGTCCCAATCTCCCGTCACGTCCCAGCCGCCACAGTCTCTAATAACGTCAAGCAGATCGTTTCCACCTTCTAATCCCTTGTCATATTCATTGAGACATGTACCGAATATTGCCTTTACTTTGTTACCAGTTGCCCAGTTTGGATCATGGCCGTCGGTAGATTCAAGGATCCTCCGGAGTTTCTCCTGGTTGTCGCCATTCATGCGGGTAAATGGCGTCACTTCAGATTCGTCAGGGTTAAGAGGACTAAGCATCGGCCAGCGTCCACATGCAAAATTGTAGAAGTCATTGCATGGATGAGCGCTTCTGTTCATGTCTAGTAATTGATAGGACGCTGATTCGAGACATGGCGGAGTCATGCATACATCATCAGCCATGGGTGGGACAGTGCCAGTTTGTCCGTCTGTGCCACCCGTCATATTCCCAGAACTTCCCTTGGTCGCGACGACAATCGTCAAAGCAAGAGTGGCTATTAAACTGACACATAGGCATACAAAGATGACAATCTCTCGGTAGTTGAACTGCCATCCTTTCACTTCGATGACCTTCTTTTTCCCGAGTTCCGTCAGGTTGATTTTATCCATTTTGATTCAGTTTCCAGACTGTCACAATTTCTCCGCTCTACACCCCCTTAGACCTCACTTGCCTGAAGTCCACAAGAACGACTTCGACTTGTATCATTTATGGCCCTCGTCAATCATTAACACGTTCGATATATTTCAAAATTCAAACCTCTCATCTTTGAGTGGGACTCCATTCCGATAATGAAATTATGGTATCTTTTGTTTGGTGTATTCTAAAATAAAAGGACCAATACGACAAATTATGCATTTTCTAATGCCAACTTACTATAATATGTTTTTGGATAAAAATGCTATTTTTCGATTTTTAATTGCAGATGTTGATTCCGTTACGATGGGGCTCGATGGGGCTAAGTCATCGAAGTCCCATGTGATTCCGTGAGATTAATTCGATGGGGCAAGTTGGGATTCGACGGGACAAGAATAGATGGGACTCGATGGGGCAAGTGGGATTTTGCCCTATTGGTGTATACTGGGCTTACTTTACTTTACTAAATGATGGTCTTATTTGACAAAAATCACTTTTGGAGGCAAAGAGGAGGATGACTGCGCTGTTCCACAGCAGCATTGTCGTTCAGCAATATGTGATCAGATTCAGGAACTCAATCAACCAATTAATCAACTAATCAAAGAGCGATATGATTATCGTCAATTAATTCGACCTTGCGCTAAAAATCAATTAAAAAATAATTTAATTAGGGTATTATTATTTAGTCACAGAAGCTGGATATCGCTAGTTAGTTGCCATATTATGGTTTTGATAAAATGTGTTTTTCAAAGCTCTGACTTTTGACGTTTAGGGCGATGTGTGCGATGCACCCCCCCCCCCCCCCCCCATAACTCCCAAATTTTGAAGAAAGTTGGATCAATTTTTGTAAAATTCAAAACAATGTTTGCCTTACTTATGCCACGATCGCACTCCGCTGACTGAAAAACGAAAAAATAGGCGATCGCACCCCCCCCCCCGACTGAAAACCGAAAAAATGGTGATCGCACCCCCCCCCCCCCCCTGGCTGATAGCTGGCTACGCCCCTGTAGGGCAACATAGATTGCATAAACCAAAGATTCCAAATGAATCAATCGATCAAACACCGTATATATTACTATGAAATCAAGTCCACTTTAAATCAATTACTTACTTAATCAATAAAGATTGATCGTAATCAGCAATAAACGTTAGCTTAACAATGTAAGAAATTGAAAATAAGTATTTTATGAGTAGAGTTGTTCAGACCAATACCAGTATAACATTTTATTTATTCTTATATTTTTACTTAGGAACGCTGTTGGTAATAAACAATGTATAAAATCAAGGGAGATGGCACAAGAAATTCATTTTTCACCTCACTATAAATCCTAATCATCTGTGCCCAATGAGGACATACCCTTTGCATTCGCTTGACTTCACTTCTTAAAAGAGAGCTTCGTCTGTAGTTTAACTAGACTCTGCGCGCAGGGTAATGAGGACCAGACCCGGGGGACCAGAGAGGTCATAAAAGAGGACATGAACATATATTCAAAGGGGAGGGTAAAACCTGTCACGGGCACCAAAGAAATCAATAAGATTGTTCAATATAAGAAAAAGTGTCCTCTTTTATATGTTGGAACCTAGGATGGAACCGATACTATACACTAATGTTATAAAGTGACTTTCGCCATTATGGTCCTTAACCCCACCAGTATAATATCTAGGTATTACCAAATCGAGACCAATGTATTAATTAACCATCTTACATGTATTTATGTCAGGGTGAAGTTTAAAGAGCTTGTATTCGGATTATCCTATACAGTAAGATTTCTAATGTTATTATAAGTTCTATAAAAGTGAAAGATTGTGTCGCATACTTTTCAGATTAAACAGTTCTTTGACTAGGAAAGGTATAGTGTTGAATGCCTTATTCTGTTGACAAGTCATTAGTGGTATACTATAATTGGCCAGATCAAGGTTTATATTAAAGCCCGATTAAAACTTTACCCCAATCAAAATAAGAAATGGCTTAAAACAATCTCCAGTAACGTACCAGAAGCGGGTTATGACATCAGAAATTGTATTGACAAAATTGAATGTTGGAATTATGCGTGGAGATTACGCCGTATGTGAATTTCTCACGTCGGTAATTTATACACATATTGGACATTAGTGCCAGAACAGAAGCAAATTCTGTTGGGGTTGAGAATACACACACAATCTTTCCAGGAATTCGGAAAAACATTTATGACATTTTTAGCGAATTTGGAACAATTTTGACACACTCGCGACGGTGATAATGTATATGATAAAACATTAAGTATAGTTACAAAAAAAGAAAAACAATTTTTGCGAAGTTTTAAAATGATGGCAGGAATTATGATGTCACCATTGTCGGGACACCCTGGGCCAACACCGCAGTTAGTAGGCGTCGTCCCCCGGAACCGTACCCCCAGCCCCGTGGGACACACCGCGACAGAACGACGCCAGTCAACCGAGACAGAACAGCGCAATATTAGTGACAACAAATGCGATATTACTGAACTTCAACACCGACAGCAGAAGGCCAGTGATTACGCTAACGGACATATGGGCAATAATGTTAACGGTGCTATAATCGGTGAGTTTCATTCATATACATGATATCAATAAGTTATAAACTATGCAGTTTTTAATTTGATTGAATAGCAGATCAGCCATAGAATTTTTGATTTGCCGTTTTAGTTATTTTTCTGATGGCAAATGGTAAATGTATCAAATTTTATAAGGTGTGATAACGTTGTAAAAATTTGAGTCATTTTAAGTAAGTGTTAATAACAAGATAATATTTAGAATTTTTTATTGTATTTTACGATATCGCAAATGCATTAATGTAATAGCGCAGCATTTAGCATCGTAGATCAAGCCAAAGTTGCGCTAAATAATCTGCATAACGTTCTGCAATAATTGTGGTTAGAAATTCTTATTTATTCATTTGCTTTATTTATTTCGATATTCCTGTATATACCCCTTCTCATTGACGTCAAGTGATTTATATCTCTCCATGGTAGATCATTATCATATTCGATCAAAGTATGTTGATGATATACCAAATCTGAGTTTGATCCACCATTACACAATTTTTTATTTACCCTTTGCATTCGTTCGATTTCGTTTTCTAAAAGAGAGCTTCTTGGATTAAACTAGACTGTGTACAGGGTAGGATATTTCGAGTGCCAAAAGTGTCTCACGCACTTGTAGCGTACATTTCTCTGTGTGGATTTAAAATAATATTCAGGCAGTGCAGAATTCAAAAATAGGTATTTTGGAAATGTAAGAGATTTTATCCCAACAACCATGACAACATCGTTTTTCATATAGGTATAAGAAAAGCATATGCGTAACCTAACCAGGGGAGGTGCGATGGGTGCGATCAAACACACCCCCCCCCCCCCCCATAACAAAGCGTTTTGTAAATGTATTTTTACTTGTTTCATAGTGTTTACTTGATTCACAGTTTTTTACGCTTACTTGCTTTCTTACATCACAGTTCATGTCTGTTTTAGCACTTTTGAACATGTACTGTACATGTACTGTTTTTATTGTAATCTCATTTATTTGAGCTGTGCTTATTCTGTTCTTGACTGCTTCTGGAGCACTGTTCATAGTGGAACACGTGCGCGGTTGTTTTTTAATTACGTAACTACATATACACTTATTATATAATCTTTAGGTAGTTAGTCAATTAGTTATGGTATAATCATTTATTTCAATTAGTACTTAGAAATGTATTATGTAACATTATGTAATATCGCCAAACAAAACTCATTCTTGTTTGTTATTTGTTTATCAACGTAATTTTGAAGGAAGTTGCATCAATTTTCGTAAAAGTCAAAATAAATCTTATTTTGGGCTTGTTTATGCCACAATCGCACCCCATCCCCTGACTGAAAACCAAATGTTTTTGGCGATCGCACCCCCGCCCCTCACTGAAAGCTTGCTACGCCCCTGAAAAGGTATGCGGCAAGTATCAGAATGCCAACCAACTATGCTAACAACTTAATAACTAACAACTCCAATGACTTGCGTTTTTAAGTTTATGATAACAGGCGTGGATAGGTCAGTCGGACTTCTCTGTTCTGGCTGCTGACATCATCTAGCTCATAATGTCCTTGATTCATATATATCTTTGGGGTTTATCAATAAACCTAAAAAATGCTAATTTACTGTATTTGTTTGGTGTTTGACTTTTGGGTTTGTCGTTTTTGTTTTATCAAAGTATATTTGTTTTAGTTTTAATGATTCAATTTTACACAACGATGAATGTTAAGCCATGATATAAGTGGTAATCCATTTGACATTGTTCAATTCTTGCTACCTCATTTTGACTTGTTTTCGTTACAAAATCGTCTGACCAACTTTCCCAAAGTCGATTATCCGTTCATTGTTCAATTTCTAAGATTATTTTATCAATTGTGTTTCTTCAGTGATCCAGCATGAGTGTTATTGGATCTTTGATCGATCATTGGAAAGTGGTAAATAACATTGCTTTAACAGTCAAAAACCTAAAATATCAAAGTTGTTTACTCCAACATCATCATCCCCGCCCGTGTAGACTTTGCTATCCCTACGTGACCCGCACAGAAATGGGAGCATTCGTATCAGACTATGATGTCTAAACTTTCGAGAATATATATTTTTTCAAGAGTTTCATTCATTCGGAAATGTGTAGATATCAGACATCCATAATGTTTAACCTTAGTAATTTTTATTTCATATTCAATCAAATGTGAAAGGAATGATATATATAAAAATCGATAGGTTTCAGACTGCCAAGCAACTCTGAGAATAATATTCGTACAATTTAAGAATAACTGTTAGGTCATAATAAGCCAGCGCCAGACAATTTTCTGTTTTGACTATTGACCTCATTTGGCCCGTTTATTACTTAGGATTCTCAGACTGACATTTGACAACGATGCCAATCCATATTGCATGTCCGTAGCCAGCTTTTTGTAAGCGGGGGTCGAAAAACTAGCCCCCAAAAAGCCAAGTAATCCCCCAACAAGGCCCACTAATGAAGCCCTACAAATATTTGAGCCCCCCCCCCCCCCTCCTGGCTACGGGCCTTTATTATTGTGTACTGACCCAAAATGTAGTTAAATTGAATTGGTCGTATCAGACTTTTGGAAAGCATTTGATACGATCATAAATTTAATCAATAGTAATTATGGACAATTTTAAATCTATGAAAAATCTTTGAATCTATGAAAACTAAATATCTATTTTGACATATCTTGTCGTATCATATCTTTAGAAACCATTTTATATGATCAATATAGTCTATATAGAAATTATTTACTATTCTAAAGCTCTTCAAAAATGATATTTAATTTGTTCATATTATGAACGTGAACAAACTTATTGATGTCATCCGCTTCACTTGTGGGTGTATTTGCAAATTGTAAAAGCTCAAGTTACCCGTCAGTTTCCAAGTAGTTGTACAAACGATTAAACTTTAACAGAACAAATGAATAAATTGCAGTTCTGTTAACAATTTCATAAGATTAACTACCTAAGTTAACATTATATGGAAGCAAAGTAGCTAATTAGAAACTTTAGCTTGGATTATAGAACAAAGGATGTGTGAAAGCGAGTCAAAAGCCGACGGCGATTTGGGCAAAGCTATTGACATGGCCGGCCAATTGTCCACCTTGATTGCAGTTGTTTTAAATCTTTAGCCATTGTGCGGTTTTTTGTTTACCTCAAACTTTTAGGCAGACCCTTTGTTATTCTCCCCATAGCCTTTCATCAGGGGAAAGACGGATTAAAAGCTAAGTTCAGTTCAGTACACTGTGAACGCGCAAACAAATTTCAAATGAACGGATGGCTGGATGGCGACAGAATGTCTTCGGAACAAGTCGCGGGGGTTATTTATGTTCGCCATTGTTTTATGTAATAATTTGTGTTTGGGTATTTTGTTGCGTAACATTTCCCAACCAACCGTTTCTACATATTTTTACATATTACATACGTATTGATTTATCTTTCTCCTATTCTTTCATTTGTATTTCGCATTCCCTTATCATTCTTTAAACATTTTTTATTCTGTCCCATTGGCCTACATGTACAGTTCAATCCCGAGTTCAATGTGTTTCACTAATATTTTTGCCTCTTTATGTTGTTGTCTTTTTGTGATTTAAATATCCACTCCCTTTTTACTCTCTCAACGATTTCCTTGAACATAAAGTCCGAATATTAGACGCGTACTGTTGTTTTGACATTATGCAATTTAGTTAATCACTTGTTACTTCATTTTTTCATTGGTTGAATGTAGGATCCTTATTTTGCAGTGTAACGTTTGAAATAATATTACCCTGCGTGCAGAGTGTAGTTAAACTACGAAGACGAAGCTCTCTTTTAAGAAGTGAAGTCAAACATGTCAAACGAATGCAAAGGGTAAACTAATATATTATTAGTCTTCGAGGCTGTTGACGATTTTAGTTGTTGTTATTATGGCATTGGATTTCCCGCATCAGTTCACTAAAATGTTACTATAGATTGACCATCTTGATTCACAAAGGTTTCAGTTGCCCCGACTGCTAATACCTTGGATGTCGAAGATGTAGATTGACACCGTTTTAGGGTTTTTTCAGAAATGCTTTCGTCGATAATGACATCTTCGGGTATTTTGATTGTTTTTGTCACATCTTTGAAAAGGAATTATATCTTTCATACGATCCGATGTGAAAATATTAGACTCAACTCTCAAGATTGTGTAGAAAATGTGCAGGACATTAAAATTGTTGGTTTGGAGAAGAAGCCGTTTGTATTAATTGGTATTGTTTTATCATTTTAATGGTGATCAACCTTTGACCAAAAAAATTAATCCGTATGTTTTTTTAATCCTATTTATAAGTCATGTTGACAGACACAAAAGTTTGATTTTTGATATTGATCTTGATGGTTTGATCTTAATGTTTTATACAGCAGTTAATCAATTTATCCAACAGTGGGAAATAGAACAGATCAAAGGGCACAATAACAGGATAAGATATTTCTGTCTACGTTCTTGTTTCCTTTCATAGTGTTTTTGTTTGTTCCCCATGTTTATATAAATCAAAGACATAACTATCAATAGTATGATCTCAACAGAGGGAGATCAAAGAATTCAATGAACTAATATTTTATTAAGTTTTCATCCGGCTAGTTAGGTAAGCAAATATAAAGCAGTAAGACTAGATGACCTAACATTAGTCAACCTTGAGTCACCATCGAAGACACATCTTGGATCAAATGGCGCAAATAATTCATAAAACACGTCAAAAATTGGACTTCTCATGCATGGATTCTTCAATGAATTCTTCATCTAGTGATTCTTCATTTTCAGGGCAGACATCTCCGCAATCATCAGCGTCATCATCATCGCCTAATGAGTCCTCGTCACCGGGATTAGATTCAAGTTCACGAGGATCGTCAACATCATCTCCGCTATTAGGCAACACTCTTCCACACGGGGGACATCATTTCGGGTCACCAGGAAGGAAACCAGACGCATTGTGCCTTGTCTGCGGGGACAAAGCTTCGGGGAAACATTACGGGGTTCAGAGTTGTGACGGGTGTCGGGGGTTCTTCAAGCGCAGTATTAGACGACAGTTGGACTATGTATGCAAAGAAAACGGCAATTGTATCGTAGATCTCGCCAGACGAAACCAATGTCAGGCATGTCGGTTCAAGAAGTGTCTCGAAATGAAAATGAACAAAGATGGTGAGTAATTGTTTTCATTTAGAAGTTGTTTGATGAGAACAATCGTTCAACAGGAGTTGTCAGCGTTATGACTGCTAATTTGCATTTCTCGCACAAGGACATTAGGTAAAACTGATTCTGGATGATTTCATTGTTAAAATAATTTAAACAATCTTTTGAGGAAAGTTGAGCAGAATACTTTTCAGGTGTTATTATCGTTATTTTCAATGATTTAAATATCTCTGAGACTGACCTTACATAATCATTGACGTTTGTCTGAACTTATCCCATTGGTGTTATTTAACATTATCACTTCTCTTTTAACATTAACTTTAATCTATTCTCAATTAACCTAACTTGAATTTGCGTAATCTGGCGTTACCATAACAACTGTCCTACCACATGGAACACATCACTAAAGTATACCGATTAATGGCTTAGCGTTTCTTAATTTAATCTAAATCTAGCCACTTTCCTAAATTTTCACAGGTTAAGTCAATATTCAGCTCCTGTAGTGATTCATGAAAGTAAAATGTAGGGCTTTCTGAAGAACTTCAACAAGCTTCTATCAATTAATGTTTGGTTATAATGGAGTGGTGTTGGCCACTTGGACTGCTTAAACAATGCCAGCTAATTGTTTCCCACTTATACTTTAATCTCCATTGCTAACAAGAACGCTGTAATTTTGACGGAACTCTGACACATTCTTGCCTCTTTGATACTCCACTTCTGGGCAAATATATCCTTGTTAACCAATTCCCAATGTTTGATAAACTTTAATAATGCATGCCGTAGAATAAGTCAAACAGTAAGAAGGTATTTATTACGGAATACTTCCTCAAAAACATAAGAGTGCCGATTAAATATTAATTAAATCAACATTAATCTCTCCGCGATGAAAGTCAGTGAATTCTTGAACTGATCAAAAACCTAAAGATGAAAATATTAATGTTTTCAGGTAGAAGTATTTTGATTGATATTTTCAGTTTTATTTGATCTTCATTTCATGGTAATTCTTTCACAATCTCGTTCTTGTGATGGCGCTAATGACTTTTCGCTTTACTCATTGTATTTTGATCATCTCAGAGTGGTTTAAACCTTTGAAGGTAGTCATCTAGAGACTGTAAGAGTCGATTGAGGCGCATATTAAAGGACTCTGGCTGAGAAAAGACATATGTGAGAGCACAGATTGTGATCGATTATGTATCACTACACTTTCGCATATCAATCTTTTTGCTCAAATGCATTTTTAAACGTCAGCAAACATATATTTGCCGATTTCTTAACACTGATACTTAATTAAGTTTCCATTTCATAATTGCATCAAATTAGTTAAAGAAACACGATACTGGAGATGAATGAACTAAAATGTATGCAAATCGCACTGAATCAGATCAGTTGAAATTTTTGTTCCGCAACCACACTTTTCACAACTACTTACACGCTTATGTTATAAGTGATTACAGAACGGGATGATTTATTCAAAGTTGAAGTATTAAATGGGTTGACCATTCCCCTCCACCTGTCCATAGATTCCTCTCCATCAGCCACATAACTCCTCGTTAGACCTTTAGGACCTTTTAATCGACTGATTGACGAATAGATTATGTAAATTGGGCATCGATCATAATTGGGATCCGTCAGCTTAAGTATAACTTATTCCATTGGGTCTTCCATTTGAACAAGATCGAATCCCGTTGAAATCAATCCGTATCGGTGAACTTTTACCCAGAGTTTGTCTAATGGAAAGACACTGACCAGCTCCATTCTTTGATGTTAGTATTGTTATTCCAACTATCACGGCATCTGTTGTCTTTCCAACCGGGAATGCTCACTCTAGGATCAAACCTTTCAAACAATTCAAATATTGTTATATGTATATAAGAAACTTTACCAGAAGGTTACATTAAACACATAAATAATGTAAACTAAAGCATTGGTAACAATTCAAAAGAGAAGAAAGGAACAATAACAACCTTTTATGGATTAATTTAATTAAATACCTACGCCTGATCATTCTTGTTGGCTTTCTAGCTGTTTGTCGGATACGATATTGGTTTGGTTTCAAAGACCAAATGAACATTTTGCATAATTAAGTATTATACCCGATATATCATTGTGAAGTTATGAAACAACTGTACCCGTCCTGCTCTTCTACATCTGATCAATCTTTAATTTCCAAGAATAAATTTGCTCATCTGCAGACAAGTTTGTTGTCAATATGTTTTACTATGACAACTCAACAATACACTTTGATGTAAGAACACAATGTCATGAAACAGCATGTTAACATAAACTATTATTACTATACATGTATATTTACTCTAAAATATACATTAAGCAACATATTATGTGCAGTGACACTATATTCTATATGTTACTTTTGTTGTAGCTGTTCAACACGAGAGGGCGCCACGATGTTATCAGTACAAGAGGGACAGCCCGGATACATGTGACCTAAGACCACCCGAGACAGCATTCCCCGTCCCTCCACATCTACTACACGATAGGACCAGGTAAATAAAGTCACGTTAGAAAAAGCGATCTGTTATGAAATAATTTATATAACATTACAATGTTTCTGTGCAACATTGCATATAAATTATGTACACAGTAACTCAATTTCCACACGTGGTCTTCAATCCCGGTCTTCAACAGACAAAATTATGATTAATCAACCCATCATATGTATACCGTATATCTTTTTAAGACGTTACATTTGATTTCAGGTTTGACTACAGACTTGGACAACCGTACAGCCCTCCAGTTGGTATGACACCAGAACTTAACCAGACAAGCATGTTCCCTAGAGGTCCCCCATTCCCCTACATGGACAAACCATTAAACGCTTTCATACCAGGGGCCTTCAATGGCAACCACGTGTTACTACCCCATGACATCCGGGCATCTATACAACATCCGGGTCTCAGTAATGGACATTCCAATCAAAATCATTTATTAGGGCACAGGGACACTTTACATCCTTTGTTGAGATATAATGCCCCAACTACTCCACAAATGCCTCATACATCTACACCAATCATCACACGACAGGAAGAAAAGCGACCAATAAAAACAGAGGTGCTTAAACCAACAGAAAAATGTATCAAACGAGAAGGAGACACGTCAACCAGTGATAACATAGTATCATCATCCGCATCACATACACCCACAGAACAAGAAAACAAGTCAAATGGTGAGTCATCGATTGATTATCACTGAAAGTAAGCAGAATGTCTTCACAAATCGCATTGCTTATTTTCCTCAAGTTCGCTCTTTTTAATTATTTATTTGATATGTTATTGACATGATTGAAGTGATAAAGAATCCATCCTAGGATTGAAATATTTTAAAATAGGGTCTTTTTTTCAAATCATGATACTCTCAAAAATCAGTAATTCATCTTTGAACTCCTTTGTAACTAAATTAGCATTTGATATTGCAATCATCGAATGATAACATGTTGTAAATGTAAACGAAATCTGACAGTTGGTGCCGCTCAAATGACTCAATTTAAAAAAAAAATACATCACCAAAAATATGCTTTTTAAATAATGTAAATTTCATTCTTTCAGAAACCCAGTCTCGATCCCCATCACGCAGTAGCCAAAATACACCACTACCTTTCCCAGTTAATGGAGGATCGCTGACCAATCCCAACGTTCCTCTACCCTCAAGTACCCCTACTGAAAATCCGACATATTTCAACAATCTAGGTCAGAGTGAAAACTGCTATGAACACGCTGCAAGGCTGCTGTTTATGGCCGTGAAATGGGCACGTAATATCCCATCGTTCCTCCAATTGCCATTCCGCGACCAGGCCATACTTCTTGAAGAGTCTTGGTGCGAGCTATTCATCCTGAGTGCCGCGCAATGGTCAATGCCAGTCGATATAGGTATGTGTAGAATAAATCCAATAAAGGTACAAAATTAAGATAAAAAAGAATATAAGAAAATATGAATTGCTAACTTTCAAGATACCGTATATGTCAATATCTAAAAACAAGCCTTGCAATTTGTGCAAATGAAACCGCTTACTTTGCTCAAATTATCGGTGCGAATTAAGGCCATTTCTCTCTCAAAAATATTATGTAATAGGAATCTATACTTCTAATAATATGTAATTGTTCATGGATCTATGTTTTTAGGTACACTGTTAGCGTCACATGGTATGAATCTCAATGGACCAAGCGACGAAAAGGCCGCGTCTTTCGTCACACAAATTCGTCTCCTCCAAGACAGCCTTAGCAGATTTGGAAACATGAAGATTGACGCCACAGAATACGCTTGCATCAAAGCACTCGTCTTATTTAAAGCAGGTAAGATGAAATACACTTGGCAAAACATTTCAAACTAATGAAACTTACTTAAACATTTTGGTTAATGGAGGAATATTAGACAATTTAACAATTATTTTTGGATTGATTCTTGATTTCCATCAGTTTATTTGTTGATTTGCTCCTGTGGTTTACCGGTTTCCGGACAACTCGGACCCAGGACAACTCGGACCCTGGACAACTCGGACCCAAGACATCTCGGACCCAAGACAACTCGGACCCAAGACAACTCGGACCACTTTTTGAAATTTTTGATTTTTATCATTATATTTGGTTTTAATTATTTTTTATTTTTATTTTGACATATATTATATATTGTGAATTCATATAGTATGTTAATTTGATGAAATTGTTTTAAATTAATGTTTTGATGAGAGTTAAGAAGTAAGAAATTATTGAAGCTAAAGACCCAAGACAACTTGGACCACTTTTTGAAATGATTGTTTTTATCATTGTATGGGGTTCTAATTTTTTTGTTTAATGTTTTTTATGACATATATTATATATTGTGAATTCATATATTGTCTTAATTCGATTAAATTGTTTTAAATTAAATCAACTATAACTTCAAAAAGTGGCCCGAGATGTCTCGGGTCTTCAGCTTCAATATTCTCTTACTGGTCTTACTTCATAACTTTCATCAAATAAGTCAAATTAAAACATTTTCATCAAGTTAATACAAAATATGAAGTCACAATATATAATATATGTATTAATTTTCATAAATGAAAAAATAAAACCACACATAATGATAAAGATCATAATTTTAAAAAGTGGTCCGAGTTGTCTTGGGTCCGAGATGTCTTGGGTCCGAGTTGTCCAGGGTCCGAGTTGTCCTGGGTCCGAGTTGTCCAGTTACCGGTTTACCAATCAAGTTTAAGATTATATTTCCTGGATTTTTTCAAGAGAAGACTTTAATGGTTAGACTACCATTCACTTTAAATATGACATTCCAATATATGCCTTCAAGTAGCTTTAAGTGGATAAAGTCATCTCTTTTGGTTCTTAACCGAAAGCATTTGTATGTACAAGAAAAATCTCCTCCGGTTTAACCCCACAAATACTGCTCAAAAAGCATTTGAAATTCTGAAAATTCATATTAAGGGCCATGTGTATTTTAATCGCAATTGAGACATGGATTGTGTTGAACATATTGTTCGTTTCCCACGACCGAATTGATTGTTGGTGCTATTATTTGGCCCCTAATACAAGAGGCAAAAAATCATTGCCCTGAGTGGGATTAGCTTTTGCATTGAATGATCTTTAAACCGATTTCTCCCTTTTTTGATTTGTTCTGGACTATTACAGTTTATCGATGGTTTTGTGTAATGGTGATTTTTATTTTGAGATAATTTTTATTTTTTATGATTTGATTTTCATCAATAAATATAAAATAGGTCTTTACTGCTACTAAATTAAATCTTAAAATCAGAATATAATATAATAATAATCTTGAATATGGGCCCTTCTCATACGCCGAAGCCGGCGGGACTGTTAATTATTGTATGATATTTTAGTATGTATATTGTTAACTACAGTGTGAGACTTTAATAAATATTTTACTAACTAATTCACTCTATAAGGCCCGTGTCTTTAACAACCACTACAATTGCTGACCACTTCAAATTACTCAATCAAATCTGGGATGAAGATACAATCACGGTCATAATTGTGCTCCTATATGACAAAGGCAAAATACCATCCTCCTCCAATAAAATATAATCTACAACCTTTTTATTTGAACCTCGGACTGATAACATTTAGGCTAAACAAAACAACTGACCAAATATGTGACCATATTTTCTTTTGTCGTTTCAGAGGCACGTGGATTGCGTGACCCAAGTCATGTAGAGACACTACAAGATCAAGCGCAGGTTATGCTTCACGAGTACGTCTACAGTCAGTACCCCACCAGTAAAGTCCGCTTCGGTAAAATCCTTCTTCTCCTCGCCTCACTGAAGTCAATAAGCTCTAGGTCGATGGAAGAAATATTTTTCAAACGAACAATCGGAAGTATTCCTATTGAGAGGTTATTGTGTGACATGTTCAAATCCAGTTAAATCTTGATGTTATGTATAGCCCTACTTTATAGATGGCGTAATGGTGTATGTGTCTACTTTATAGATGGCGTAATGGCGATATTGTTCAAGTGATTTTAACGTGATATATTTATTGTACCTAATGATAGATGGCGACATTGTTAATTGATGTAATTGTGATATATGTGGTGTATATATTATTGATACTTGGAAATATTGTTCATGTGATATAGTGATGAAATATGGGATGTATATAGTAAAAATGGCCATATGATATATAGTATTAGTTCGAGTAAGTTACTATAGTAATTGTGCTATATGTAATGCAGATTGCGATAGGCGACCTAGATTGTTATCAAACTTATAAAATATTAATAGCCATTGTACTCGATCTGATTTACTATTGTACATAGATATGCATACATGACAATATGTTAAGAACAATGAATGTAACACTAGTAGTATGGGTAGACTACCCACTACTGTCTCTCTATGCATGCAATTTTATAATATCCGCTTTCAAATCATAAAATAGGAAAATAACCTACATAAACATAATGTGACAGGTTCATTATAAATAATGGTTGTTTATGATGTTTATGCAACATGTTTCATTCCATTAAGTCAATAGACCTAGAGGTATTACCATAATGTATTATTTACACCTGTAACAATTGTATATTGTATTCTCATTTACACAAATGTTAACCATATGTTTTACTAGTTGTAAAGCTTTATTCATGTAACAGTATTTTAGCAGTTATATTCTGATCTCACAAAATCGGCAATACAAACAAGCGTGGTACCTCATCATAGGACAACGCTGGTGCTTTTTCAATTTTATTTAATTATACACGTTTTATTATTTTTTAACTAAATATAATAGTTTAGATGATAGATGTTAGAAAACTAGATTCAATCATAATTTAATGAAAATCATTGTAAATGGAAATGCTTATATATAACGAAACAACAATGAATGAATTATGGCAATAATTTTTTACGTGAAGCAGAGATTCAAATATAAGACGTAACAATGCGCATCTAAGATGCCACAATGCGCATATAGCGTACAAAATGACAACGCGCATGTAAAACAAAACAATGAGCTTGTAAAACAATGCGCATTTAGGACCCTGACTGATTGCACATATTGTGTAATAACTTGTGTAAATAATGGCGATCAAATTAAGTAAGACCTTCAAAGAGGCTCTTGGACCATATGTTCTGTCTAGTTCACTAAAACAATATCATCTAATTATCATAGATGACATTATAATGTTCGTGTATATAATATTTTAGATGACATCATCATGTACGTGTATATAGTAGTTTGATGACATCAAAATGAATATGTATATAATATTCGATGTTTGTTACTCTTAAATGTTTGTAAATAGTGTTAAAAGTATGATTTTAAATACATTCTTATGTGTAAATATCAGCAATAAACATGACGATTCAATTAATTTTTGGGGCAGAGCCATGCATTTCTCCCCTGAGTAAAATTTACTGACAAATCTGTCACCATTAGTCATTACAATTATATTATATTTGTTGTAATAATGTCAGTATTAACTAGATAAGTAATGTTCACTATAGTATTATATTGACATCTTGGTGCTTTATCACACAGACTTAATAAATGTTAAACTTAAAAATACGGATGTTTGTTAATGTGAATTATACGATTATGATCTGAGTGAAAATTGTAACCAAATATTGTAACAAGGCAAATTTGAAGTTATAATTAATATTTCATTTCCTTTTAACTATCTATAGAGGGAAAAAATAAAATTTTATAATTATCGTTCTCTATATTACATAGCCATTACGTATACTTGCTGGGAAGAACTGAAAATGGGTTTCATGTTTCAATAAACACTGTCACAGAAAACAAAGATATTGCTCAATCGGTCAAGATCTGATTAGCAATGACATGTTTACAAGAAAACGTACATCATTTCTTCCATCCATTTCCAAAACGTTAATTTGTGACATCCATTCTAAAAAGAAACACCAAAAACAATTAAGCAAAAAACTCTGGACGTTACAAAAGTATTTCGACTTCAAACCTTGAATAAAAATAGCAATTTTAAATAGAATTCGATGAAACCCTGATTTTGTTACAGTATACAACTTCAATAATCTTGATGTAAAAATGTGATTGATTTTCAGAAACTAAGAAAAACTATCTATTATGTTTTAGAAAGGACATATCTAAATATAACAGACTAATTATATCGCTGGAGAGTTACATTTTTATTTGAAACGTAGATGAGAACTCAACTCAAGAATTCTAATTGCTTGCCTTGTTCATGGACACAATACATGGGCCAGGTTGTAGGTCTGGGGTCTCCACAGACCGCAATAACATGTAACATCTTCATCTAGATAAATATAAATATTTCTCTGGGACAACTCATGTATACATTATTAGACCTTATGCTCCACGTCTAGTTTGCTCCATGATCTTTTCATTAGACCCGTTAGCAGATGTCACCGAGTCCTCGTCAAAGAAACTAATCAACAATTTCTGTATAAAATAGACAACAAAACAACGTATATATCCATTTCTATGTCATCAAATTGTATTTCATTTTATCTCATTTTACGGTGTGCTATTACAGTGGGCCGTATTTGCACCTATACAAGCAGCGTATGCCATGGCATGCGGGATATAGTGTTGTTCCTGTACTCCGTGGAACAAATGAGCCATGGGGCCCCGTGCATAGATGGCGACATCCTCGCTTCCATGAGTCTCCGACCCCAAGGGGACTGCAGTCTGCTGTTGGTATGACATATCCTCTGTAATTTGTAACAGTGTAGATAGAGATGCAAACACCAAGATTGTTGATACGAAAATGAAAACAGCAGCATTTTCGATAATTATAAGAAGATGAAAAGGGCAACATTGTAAATCACGGTATCACTATTGACCCCGTATTAGGCCAACCTAGGGAGCATTACGTATTGAAGGTCTCAACTGTGTCACGATTTAGTAAATCGTGACATATATCGAAGATCTGAATTGTTCAAGGATGCCATGTACTAAAATTAAGATTTCTATCACAATTTGAAACATCTATCATGATTCTGATTTTTATTGCGTGCTTGGAATCCAAAGTGTGAGCCAGTAGTGTACACGAATCATTGATTTATGATTAAACTGTAAGAATGATATTAAACGAAGGATGGCGAATCGTGAAGGAATATCTCACGCATTTATACGGTCAATGATGGATGATCAGTCTTTGTTTTTGTTTGCTATTTCAAAGGAAGGTGCCCTATTCTACATAATCTTACGATGGACGATATGCGCGATGGGATTTTTTTATATTAGTTATTCAGATTGCGTACCTTTGTGGTAATCTACTAACCTGTGTCGACATCCTCTATGTCAGGCCGTGGCTCTCTATAACCAGGACCATTACCATATGTCATACTAGTATAACGTAGACCATCACTTGCTGAACCAACCTTTCCTAAATTAAGACAATCAATTCATTTATAGCTTGTTTATGATATATATGGTCACGTTCCTTCATATAGAACATACTTGAGTCAATTGTATCATTTCTGTTATTTTTTCGAATCACCATGGCAACTTTTCTTTTTTTTATTTGAATTCCCAGTTGAAGACAAATATGTAAACAGAACAAATTAAAAAAAAACGTTCAACATATCTGTGACCAATACGATATCCGATAACAAAATGCAATAATCAAAGTACTAAATATATTTCACCATGGTAATATAACGGTACAACTTAACAGATTCAATCATTAGCATACTATGTCCCGATCTCATGTACATTTACAGAATTACTAACACGCAATGGTACATCTATTTTCGGACGACTCTTGAACAATGGTTTAAGCATAATATATAACATGTTAGATATCAAAACATAGGTAATTGAAATGAAAATTATATGGTATATTAATATTAAATTTTTATTTCCTATTTTTTAGATAAGGGACGCTTAAAAGACTCTATTGAGTTTTAAAGTGCACATTTCTACCATGTAAAACGTTGCATTTGATAATTTTGAAATATGGTAATTCGGTCATAACTTCTTTATTCCTTAACCAATTTAGTTCAAATTCGGTATGGGACAACAATTGCTGATGGGCGTTTATGACGTCACATGATCTTGTGACGTCATCAACGCATATCCGCCATCTTGGATGCCCCAGAAATAGTAAAAATGTGTAAAACTCGAAAAATAAATGTTGGTAAGGACCTTAGGCCCTTATTATCTTATTTAAAAATCAAACCTATGAAAAAGATGTCATTAATACTTATTCTATAGATGTTTAACTAGAACTTAACGTTAAAAATATATGTTTTGTATTTATTTTGTTTACATAGCAAGCATTTTGCGACTTGTGTCTGTTTTGTACCAAGAAAAAATTTGATAGAAATATGGCGGGTTTCAAAGACTCTCGTCATTTAAATACAAGAAATTATGTTTTTCTAGTGACATTCAACTAGATATTTTATAATGTCATAAAAGCATTGCCCTTGTACTACATATACTATAATTTTAGGTTCAGTTGCATTGCTTTGCATTTATTTGGACCAGGTAATATGACTTGGTCAAATTCAGCATTCTTTTGTTCCAAAATATTTTGACGTTGTAAAAATTGATTAGGGTGTTTTAATAGCAGTCTAAAATGATATCAGGAAAACAAATGATAACATATTTGGTATGTAGAGAATGCTCATAGCCTATATTTTATGATTCATCACGTTTAACATCTTTAGATTAAGCTAAGTATGAGATTTTCCTTTAAACGTGCGTGACAGAGAATTGTCCCATCTCGATTTTTCTTCCTTTGAATTTTAGTAGGCTGAATCCAGGGAAGAAAGGAATGAATATAAACTTTGAAAATATATGATATTATATTATCATAAAAATGCTCATAAACTCAAGATTCCAATGATATATCACATGACTATCATCCCTTCATAGATCTTTAGTTATTGTTTAATATGTGCGTGACATAATTTGTCCCATCGACGATTTTTTTACAAAAATAGAGAAATACGACGTCATATCAGCGCTACAGCAAATCGTGAAGAACAAAATGCTCTCAAGTCGTGGCATGATAGTATTTTGAACAAAATATTTTAAATGATCGGTTTTTGAGGACGGTAGTGAATTAGACCATTCAAGGGGTTATATAGAAAGATTCTTCACATGTAGTTCAGACAATTTTAATTATTCTGAGTAGCGGATAGTCATTAATACTGATAGCGGAAAGTCATTTATCATTAATGTGTTCATATTTAATTTCGTTATTTTATTTCAATTTGACACCCTATTAACACGTATAATCTAGCGTTCTTGTTCATATAATGACTAAAATGCATATACTACCTGAAAGCCCGTGTCTAAATCTACAAAATAATGTTTACTTTATTTGGATTAAATAACAATTGATGACACCTCAAAGCATCAACAGGCGGCCGTTTTAGCATTATTTTCACTGTTTGCAACGTAAATGTACATGAGATCGGGACATAGTATGTAGATATGTTAATAATGACAATAATCGGTCAAGCCAAGTAACTTAGTCAACATTCGATATTCGTATGTTCATCAATATTAACTAAGAATGGTGCCACAGTTGAAGTAAACCTCTGTTTAATTATTTTCAATAAACCTATCAGCAAATGTGTAAATGATAAATTTGATGTTCTGTTACATATTGGTGAAGCAATCTTGGGGATATAGCCTAAATTTCTGAATTTCTACTATGTCCCTGTATACCCCTACTTCAAAAGATGTATGTTATTGGTCATTTTTCATTATCAATCAACCATTATGTATTTTTTCTTGTTTACATACAGAATGAACTTTCTGTTTTCAAATATTGAACGATGGTACTGCATCTATTTTTTCATGATACGGAGCAAACAAATGCGTGTCAATTTACACTGTAATATCCCACATACTTATATTTCAAGGGTAGTTTTGAAGAATAATCAAGAAAATCCATGTTTTCAAATGAATTCATCCTTGTCAAAGAACGTTAATGAGGATGTGCGGTTTGAAAAACTAAAAACATGTTTTAAGTTCTTACAATTCTTGGTTAAAACAAATATTTCGAAAGTTGTGATTTCGAATGTAATATCCAACTCAATGAAATTTGTTGATATTTGTGATTTTTTTCTTTCGGAATGCACATTGCTGGCTCACAGAACATTGCCTCTTTCGAGATGCACGAAAAGTGTATTGCTAATACTTGACGTCGTTCGGATATTTGGATGTGATTGACGTTTTTGTTAATCTCCAACCACTGTAACTTCCAACTTAATTTTTGAAAGCCAAATATGATAGTCACGAATTGATATTTAAGTCACACGTTGATGCATACATCATGTGTGTACATTAACTGTCAAATGCATGCCGACTTACATTTATATAAATATCCACAGTTAACTCAAATCATCAATTCTCGAAACGGTTTATCAAATAACCTGGTGAGTTTAATGTTTCATTTTAACTCATAATTATGGTATCGGATTTGAGTATGATATTAGTCGAGGCTTAAACAAAGCAATAAAATTGCGTGAAACCTTTTGTGAAAATTTGAACGATTTTTCAAGAATCCTCCTTTAAAGTGTTACCACAGTGCTCCCCGGGAGTAGAAATTTCGTCTTGTGTAATCAAAATAATAGCGGGTGGTTTGAATTTTTGTTTGAGTTTATAGCCCAGCATCTATAAATTTAAAAACGTGTCGCCTCATTGAGAGGTACATGCAGATTTTGGCGATCTATCATTCTAAAAGACAAAATTTTGTGCAAAAACAGGAGTTGACACACTTACATTTGTAATTGAAATTTCCTACATAATTGTCGACTCATGTTTAAAATTCATGAAAACAAGGTTGAACACAAAACAGTGACCTTATTACTGTCTATTTAGCATGGGATCACTTAGGGAAATATTATTAATGACTTAAATCGTTAACAGTTAAGTTGTATCACAAGAAACTTATCAATTTAGAAATGCAAAATGTTCAATTTTGTTTTTCAATTATAAAAATGGCACCTGTAGAGAACAACGTTTACAAAATTATTTAAAACGGAGATATTTACTTATGTAACATTCGTTGGCATGTGTCAGCGAGTAAACAAGAAGAATATGCATTTGATTCTATATCTTGTTCCCAAAGGAGTTTGTTAAGGAGCGGTATATCTTAACGTACTTTTATCATCCCAAACTCAAATATTTTGAATACTTATTTTGAGAAAGCTTTGCTGAGAATGGATTCGAGATGTATTCAAAATTAATACGTTAAAATGTGTATTATCGTCTTAATAACCACCTCACAAATTATTTTGGAAATCAAAGATGTACGATTTTTGAGATTTTTATTTTCGAATGTTGACTTACTTACTTGGCTTGACTGTAATACGAAAATGTTGTTCAAATATATATCTTGTTTTTGACGGTTGACCCACCTCCAATCGGGTTGCCTCGACTGGGGTATCCCCCCAAAGCAAGTGTGTGCGAATGATCAGCAGTAACAACAATTAATGTATCACTGTCGCTGGTGATGTCTATCGCTACTTGTACAGCGTCTGCTAACGCCGACGTGTCGTTTACAGCATTGTTGGCTCTTCCACCATGATGCGCATGGTCAATCCTCCCTCCTAAAAAGGTATGAGTAATAGTATGCACATGATGGCCCCGATGATGGCCTACCCGTCGAATACGAAGTGACGGTATGGAAATCACTCGATGAAAAGGGTACGTTTACAACAATAATGCTGCTTAACTAGCGAAACCTGGGCCAAGACGAATATATGGAGCAAATAGTACATACCTTCGACAAATAGGAAATAACCATTTGCGTTTTTCTGGAGAATCTGAATTGCCTTTCTTGTCATTTCCGCAATGGAGGGCTCGCCACCAAGATCAAGTTCACGAGCGTACTCGTATTGCATGTGACTTCTCTCGAACAGTCCTTAAAACAACAGTAAGGTTTTTGAGCCATAAGACCAGTGCACGGATTGAGGCAAGGTGTGTCCGATTCCAGCCAATCTAAACCTGAGACTAACGTTAGTCTCAGTCTAAACACAGTACTTCATATAACTGTAGTGCATTATATAACCAATCACCGCAACCAAGGTCATTCCTTATGTGATTGTCAAGATGACAACTCTACAGATTGAAATGGATGCTTTGCCAACTTGATCCTTGCAAAAAGTTTCATTCAAAATATGTTCTTTTAGTGATCTCAGTCGTCGTTTCCTAAAATTTTTTAGAAAGCAAACCCTTCAAGGAATGATCATTCCACATAACACTGAGTCAATTGCTTAAATCCTTAAACAATGAACTCCATAGTCAAAACTCCATATCGACAAAATGACAGCAAGAAGAGAGAGCGTTCATTGCCTACCCCAAACGTAATCAACATTTGCTGGGTCCAAGTTGTTGAACTGATCTTCATTCCAGACAAAAGCGTGACTTCTTCCCATGTCAACCATATCATCTTGCCATTCCTAAAATTATGAACATAATTTACGTAACTCTGATCCTGATCCTAAAATACACTTTCTGTACCTTGCACCATCAACAAAGTCTCTTGAATTTGTTGAGGATTTTTGTTATTTAACATTTTCAGAAAGGTTGTTTGTATCATCCAACGATTGGACTTTAACACAAAATTTCGGGGCAAACACATTTTTCTCAATTTGGGCCTCGTTTTTATTTTCCACTCCTCTTGTCAATTTCAAGATCCGCCTCTGTTATACATGATGGTCAAAAAGTAAAGCCCAGGATCAATCGAGAACATTTTTAATCTATTCAACATTCTGAAATGGAAATACCTGAATGAGGTTCCTTTCATCGTTCCTTTGTCCAAATGATCCTGGAATCTCCACATCCTCGGTCCCCCTCCCCTGGAACTTCTGTCGACCCCCTCCAAACACAACCTGCAAACAGAGCGCCCAGGGTCCATATTGTGAGGTAGTGAATCTTATACACATCTGAGTTCATGAGAGAATATTTAGCTTCAGTACTAAATGTAGACCTTAACATTGTGGAAGTGAAGAAGGGAGTATGTTTAATATACCACCTCTGAACTTCAGAATATATGACTGTACGTCAACAAAGGGGTACACCGTGACGCCAACGCCAAACGTCGACAACAAACGCAGGCATCGTCCAGTGAGTTCCTTCGAATTTCATCTTTCAGAACTGAGTGAATGATGTCTGGAGCCATGTTCATTCGTTTGGATGCTCGATAACAAACATATCAAATAGGAAAATGACCATTTACACTGATATTTTCCCCCTTGTTGTACAGTTGTAGAGCGATGTCTTCAACTCCCAAAACATCACACTCTGCAGGCATCCTGCTTGTATCGTGCTCCCAGCTCCGTGATACGATGTTGGCATAAAGAGCAGAAGGGGAGGCATGCGTTACCCTGGTCGTGGTAACTATACCAGTAGATTTACCTAAATTGGATTTACCATGAACTAATAAATGAGGCCAAGCACGAGTTGCATTGTATGCAGGTAAAGACAAAGCAAAGTCTAAGTGTAATTAGTCTTGCTTCAAGACCCAGGACTATCTACTTAAACAACTGTGTCTCACGGGCCTGAGCAAGACTAAAGTGAAATAGTCACCATATATACCAACTGATGCACCTGGATGCTCCAATTTCCACATTTTTAAAGATTAAGCTTTGACCGAGGCCATGCACAAGCTGCATTGTATGCAGTTGTAACGACGTTACTAGGTTGGAGTAGTGGTAACTTTTGTAACTTGGACTGAATAAACATTAAAGCAATCATTACATACTGTAGTTTTGCCACAATAATTCATTATATATGTTCATATTTTTAACACTGAAGTTTTGGTTTATTTGATTTAAACTATTGTAATGCTGAAAATGTGATTTAAGGGCTCTCCATAATAAATATCATAAATAAATGAATTGAGTACAGAGGTTTAAATTGTTGATATGATTTATAGGGCTTGGCTATTTTTGCTCCCTACTTTATGAAACTACAAACCAGCAGCTTCCGCCCAGTTGAGGATAGACGACACTTCGTTACCAGGTACGGTTGAACAATCGCTTCTCCTACCGTTGCTGTTCACTCCTAGTATTCCATTGGCCGTCTTATGGCCGCAAAGGTAGGCTGTAGCCGTAGCTGCCGAGTCAGAGCCTTGACGGTCAGTGGCATAAGTCTGTAATACAATACACCACCGTCTTCGGAAGGAGTCAACAACTTGTAACCACGTTTACCGAGGGTTGTCACACGATTTTCGAATCAATGTTCCCCATCAAAGCTTGTAACCACTATATGTGTTAAATTCCCGAAATCCCGATTGTCAGGTCAGAGAACAGTATTTTAGTTTTTCTTGACTCCCTGGCCATGCCAACCCCAAATAGCCCCTTTATAAATGTCATGGTTCATATTTCAGAAATGTTATGTTTTGTATTGTTTTTTGTTGTTTGTCCATCTTTTCCGATCGTAAATACTATAATTATAACAATACTGTCTATTCGTAACGAAGATTTCGAATCTAGCCGTGTCAACAACCTCTGCATGTTGTTCAGCGCAATGTAGGGTTGCACATCAGTCAAGACAACAATAGATTTATCAAATTGAAACATATCTTGTTATTGGTAACGTACCTTGCTTAGAGCCATATGAGGGAATGTCTCCCAACTGAGGACATATTCCTCTCCTGTATTACCAGCCAGTTGTCCCTTGTATATCCTTCCAGCAGTTACTGTTGTAGGACCCATACCGTCACCTACCAAAGCATGTCAGTACTTTATTGAAACCATGGACTTCTAATCACGATAGATGTTAATGTTGAAACTATGCACAGTAAGCTATGACTTCATCATAAACTACAGCACTTTGTTTGGCCATTTTTGAAGTCAAAGGAATAATTTAAGACTTTCTCTGAAGTCATGTCCACGAGTCAAAAGATGATTGGTTTCGAGCCTTTGGACACTTTATCTGCAGCCGCTGGGGCCTCTCCAAGTAAAGGATTGCCCTATAACTTGGGGTTGATTCAGCCAAAAGATTTGTGTTTCAACGGATTGAATTGAATGTATACCCAATATTCAACATGACGAGACGGGTGACTTTGCAGACATAGAGCCATACTCCGAACACAGGCCCCCAGAACTCATATCCCATACTCATAACTTAGTGGATGACGCCTGGAACCCTGCGTTCAGAGGATGACATAGAGCCTAATCATTGATGGTTCTTGTTTCATGCCAGTATCTTACCGATGAACAGGATGGTATTCTTGGCAACATTGGTATTACGTTCAAGATTTAGAGCTCGAGTCAGTGCTTCTTGGCCCGAGTTCCACCAATCTTCGGGAGACATCGTGTCTACTGGGGGCTTTTGACCGCCGTTCATGAATGAACCATGTTCGGCAGATACTGGAAATATAATGAAATCGTCTAGATACATAAAAAGTATTTGTTTTACAGCATTTTTGAAAGTACACTTCCAATAACCACCATCAAATCCAGAACTAACAGTGCTAACTTGATAGAACTTGTTTCGTTATTAATGTACAGAACTTGGTTTGGAAATTTTGAACAAAATTGATATATCAAAATTGATATTTGTTGTCATGGTGCTGATTTAGATTGGCAATGTTTACAGATGACGAAGTGGCTGATTTGCTGATTTGACATATCTCGAGACTATATTGAAAGCATGAACCTCTATCCAACTACAGGAATAGGCATGCCTTACTAGGTTGCTCGGGACATACTGGACAGCACTGTCCTTCAGGAATAACATAATTCTCGCACGGTGGTCGTGGGCAATCCCGGATGTAACATTTCTATCCGATGGCATCACCTTCCTGTCGACAGTAGCACAACTCACAGGGCGTATTCCCAGGTTTCTCATCTCCAATATTGCATTCTAAATAACAGAACAATGGGGTATCTTACTTGGAGTTGTTTTGCATATGGGACAGCATTCGCCTTCAGGGACCACGGGATTTTCACACGGAGGTGCGGGACAACCTTGGAGATAACATTTCCATGTGGGAGTGCCATTTTCCTCCATACAAGAGCAGTGCTCACATGGCGAACTGCCCGGCCGTGACTCCCCAGGGATACAATCTAAATTATATATATACTACACATTCAAAGTAAAAATGGTTAAGTATAGTACAGAAAGTCTAATAGAGAACAATGAATCGACTTTTATAGTGACTTATGGGAACGTTCGCGTCGATGTATTGTTCCGAATTTCGAAGCACTCACACCGCAGAATATGAGTGTATAATCCTTCAAATGTGTTTTAAAGAATCGTATGCATCCTCTTTAGATGAAGAGTACTGTAATGATTTGTACACTGACGGAGCGGTAATGGATGACTGTGCCACTTACCTTGGATCACTTTACCATCAACATAACTACATTCTAAAAAACATGTAAACAAAATGACTAGCGTTGACAAAGTTGTCATCTTGGCTGAATCGTTTCTTCTGAAACACCCGTACTTTGAAAGTAATTAAGTAAAGTTAATTTTTAAGAAACACCTATGTAAATTTGCCATATTGACTGATAAGCATTTCAACGATAAAAATCAAATGCGGAAGGACATTGTATTTTGCCCTTGAATACAGGGTGAGACGAAAAAGGTAATCCGAACAAACGTAATCACTCAGTCATTCAGCATGGGCTTAGATTCATATTTAGTACATTTAAGCCTTGCTGAATTGTCTTTCATCCTACAAAGTTTCATTTTCTATCTTAAATGCTCACGATTTTATAGCTATTTAAAAAACATGCTCCAAATGCTGAAACAGGCCACACTCATTGGACACAAATTAACACCCCAGATTTTTATTTGTGGGGCTAATCAGTGGCGTAGCTACATGTACGCCAACTACGCACAGGCGTACTCTCAAACTCAGATTTCACAGATCATTTGTGATGAAAAATAAATATTTCACAAAAACATAAAAATAGAAATCGATGTATGAAGATAAATGCTAAATAAAAAAGTTCTCAATAATTTCAATTTTTGATTTCTTTGCACACTCAAGAACAGAACGATAGATCAGTATAGTGTAACAGAACTAGAGTGTTACTCTTATTTCATCTTTGCAAAAATGAATATATATGGATACAAATCCTATTTAATTGCATAGGGTTGGTGAGTGTGTCCCCAAGCATCTGATTATCTGGAATCTTCTCGGGAAATACCGGCATTTTCTGGAATAATGTTTTGTTTATTTTTTGTAAAAGTGGGAAATCTGACGTGTGTAAGATCACACTGGCAAAATGGGCTAGCTACGCCTCTGCTGATGTCTATACTAACAACCCTTGAAAAGTATTGGCAAGCTGAATCTAAAAAATAGGTTGACAAGCCCGACTGATTTTTTTTTCAAAAAAATGCCGTCTTGGTACGAATTCTCCTTACTGGTATCGAATCGTATCACCAGATCTTTCCAGAATCTTCCCCAAAGTGTTTCTGAAACGCATATCGTTGATTATTTCAAATCTTTACCCCAACTCTTCGGTAATATTGCATAAAAACAAGTACTGTAGATATCTGCATTTGTGGGGCAAGTTGAAAGTGTGTAACTTACGGCGATTGGCAGAAATCAATCAAATCACTTGTTTCAAACGTCAAATCTTGCAACACAAATGCGGATTTTCAGAAATTCTCACTTTAAGACAGTTTTATTCACACTATATCACTTTGACTGGGTTTCATTTATAGGTAAGAATTGAAAACTATCAATTTTCTATCCTCTTTCCATTGTTTTTTTAAACAATAAATAAATATTGTTGGAATCGCCATTTAGAAAGTGGTCTCAGTCGAGGTTATCAACCTGTTTTTTTAGATTCAGCTTGTCGATACTTTTCCCTGGGCCTGTGATTAAATCTATGTTGTTTGACTGAGTTATCAACACTTGTTTGGATTACTTTTTTTGCCTCACCTTGTACATGTATTTAAGATTGAGAGCCAATAATTCACACGAGATACACTTGTCATTGTTGGTTCAATTTAATTTAAAAGATACTAACCTTGGATAAAGAAAAGTTTATTTCTTCATCCTAGATACAAACCTATTAGTTGAGCAGACGGAGGTTTAAAATTAACCTGTTCATGTATATTGTGTAACTTTTGTGGGGAAATAGAAAATGAGGTTCATTTCATGATTAAATGCCAAATACATAGAGAAAATAGAAGAATATTGTTTGACAACATCACTAGCAAAATTAATGTTGATCAACATGATCCTGAAAATACATTCATTATGTTAATTTCTTCAAAAGATAAATATGTGCAAAAGCAAGTTGGAAGTTTTATTACGAAATCATTCAAAAACTTAAACTTGCCTGGGGATTAACATTTTGGATGCATCACACCTAAAGTATATTATAACATATGTAAATAACAAGTTTTTTGTATAAATTGTATATATTAGTGTAGTGTAGTGTAGTGTAGTGTAGTTTTTGTAAAATTTCATTTTGTAATGACTAATATGTCAGGTCATGACATCTAAAGAGTCAATAAAAGATATATATATAGAAGAAACTCATTCCTAAATCCATCTATCCTGTCGGATGTTAACATTTTCTAATACTGCTGCCCCAATCTGGTACAGATGTAATGTTGCATTCATGTGTTGTGATGGCCGAATTATACCATCGTGGATGAGATGAGTTCTCGTTTCCCCTAGATTCTGTGTATTCACATCTGTTTTGTATATTTTGATTCTAACTTCTAGTTATCTAGCTGTCTCTCCAATATATCATTTGGGCCTACCTTTAGTAACTTTAGTAACTTTAGTAACTGAAACTCATATGGTGTCTGTAGATCACAAAACATTAAAATAAAGTTAGTTTGTCCGGGTAGTGGTATGAAGAGTTCCCTTTGCGTCATTTTTATCTAATTTTATAAAGGAGTGGGCTTTGAAGCTATCGTTTACTTCATCTGAGTAAACAGTAACAATCGTTATTGTTTAATTAACAATACATGGAAATTTAGTCTTCTGACATATTCAAGCCTGAGTATAGTTAGAACAAATATCATTGATCGTAAAAAGAGTATCCATATGGTAATAATAATATGTTCATTATCGATACTGATTTTATCAAAAAAATAAAACGTTGGATTATGGTATAACCTAGATATAAACGCATCTTAGGTTTCAATATTTGAAATAAATGTTAACGTAACATGTGATCTACCAATCATCCTAGGCTACTCTTGGTCAAATAAATTAACACTGGGATACCGTGTACAACGTGTCCCCACGAATGGGCGTTCCATGTACAGGGTGTACCAAAAAACTTTACCCACCTTACAATGAATATCTTTAACTAATAGAGTTTCATAAAAGAAAGTTGCACAATTTAATTAATTAGTCAAGTTGACAACGTTTCAGCACTAAGTGTATGGCCCATTCGCTGGCCATTCAAATTGGCCATTCAAATAATGTGTTCCAAATGAGTACCGTGTCTCTGACGACAGACTTGCAATGGCATTTAGTTTAGCGATTCGAAGCTCATTTTCAGTTGAATGATCACCTTAATAGCAAGAACTATGTTTTTGGGTAGCCATGCTCGTGAAGGAATGACTCAGAGACCACTCTCGTTGTACCAGATGCATTGTATGGTGTGCTTTGAGTAAACAGGGAATCATTGGGCAATCATCGACACAGACTATGCGTTTTATTGCTGTGCTTGGAAAGTTTTTGAGGGCTCTACAAAGAAGGAATGGTCTTGATAGGCCATCCCAATGGTTTCAACAAGATGAAACGACCACCACACACATCCAACATCACCTTCGAGTGGCTTCAGAATCATTTTGAAGATCGACTCATCAGTCATAGAGCAGATAACAACTGGGTATCCAACCCCAGACCTGACCACCCAGGATTTTATCTATGGGATTTCCTTCCGGATAATAGAGAAGCTAATCAGTTGTAGATTTTCATCACACAAAGCGACAGTGAAAATTGCAAATCAATCCATCAAACGATATGCCTGAAATGCATAGACAAGACAACAGTTTTTTTTAAATTTTAAAACGCAATATGAAAATGTCCACATGCACCTTTAAATCCAAGCACTTCCAATATCAGTTATACGTTTTCATATCAATAACGCGTGCCTGAAAATTATAAAGCAATCCGTAAAATGGTTTGGATGCACAAAACCATAAACGTACATATGTATTTTATGATAATCGTTTCAAAATTAGACGTGGCATGTTTCAAATATCTAAAACCAGTATGTATGTCTTTTTTAGCTTGGACATGTCGTTGGAATTAGGATAGAAATTTCTATTGTGCCACATTTGTCATTTTATACATTTTTTTACATACGCGTTATCTAAGTGGTAAAAAACGTTCATTCGATTGCACCATTCCAAAATCCATTAGGTATATTTAGGTTTGGAAGATGGAGTTAAAATCGTCAATTCTTTCAAGTACGCCATTTTGAAAGATAGGTAACGTCCGGCAGCGTATTTTGACGCTGACCAGTAGTTGAAGAATAGATTGTATTACAACAAAACAATAGCAAGCTAGGAAAGTAAGCGACATAGTCTTCGGGGAATCGTATCAGTTACATACAGCAGTCATATAAAATAACCTTACATACAGTTGCAGGCTTGGAGCAAATATCAAAACTCAATGTTGGTCCGTTAGCTTTAATTATAATAAGTAGTCACATGGAGGGTACATAACATTCTAGCTTAAGTTAATCATTATAAGTGCTCGATGACTATATAATGTGTGCGACGACAGCATATCGGTGCAAAATGAATACTTTCTGAATTCTGCAGCATTATCTAGCAATTTATCATTCAGAGCTGTTATACAAATTAACAACAGGAAAGAATTAGTTCATCACATATCCAAATGGTGGATCTAACAGTGTGGAACGAGCAGAATATAAAACTTATATAGATTAGTAGCGAGTATCGACGGGACAAGTTTCCTCACATTGAACCGCGAAAAGTGGAACCATGAATATATAAACATATTGTGGATATTAAGTATCACCAATGGTCCATGATATCAAAATACATTTACAACTTGTAAGTGTTTGCTACACGCGGTATCAACCATTGATATGATGCGGTCGACAGACTTGGTCAACATGGAGAATATAAATATTACAACACAACCATTTATATTTATATTTAATGAAACATTGATATCGGATATAATCGAACTCGAAAGTCTCTGTTCGTTTGCCGTCCCGTGCACATATATGATAACTCTTTCCAGTATCTTCTTGGGTCTTTCTTTTATCATCAACGTTGCATGGATAATTGTGATTTTCAGAAAGATCACTTTGAAGAGGTTCACCATCCATCACATTCTCTTTCTGAATCTCTCGCTTTCGACTGTCTTGGGATCGATTGCAAACTGGATGTACCCCATGGCTACTATATATGAACAGAATGGTGACCTTTTAAAGTTCAACGTCAGGATGTTCCGCTGTTCTCTCTCGGCGACCGCCATGACGATCTTTTCATTTGCGTTACTCCGATTTCTGGCAATCTTCCGACCGTTTACATATCACAGCTTCGTCGGTAATTCAATTGGTATCGGGGAAGATGACACAACAGGAAGTATCAAGACAACAAAATGTCTTTGCGGCTCAGTGTTGATGTGTATATGGGGAATATCCCTCGTCCCTTTTGTATTTTATAAACTGGGGGATGAAAAATTGATCACTAGTGAACTGTTGAGGAACCTATTGTACGCGTGGCTGGTTCTGATTCTCACTCTACTTGTCATAATACCTATCTTGTACGTTAAGATCTATTTCGAGGTGCACAGGATCCTTAGCGTAGAGAGCTTCGTTACGACAGACAGGAGAGGGATTCGACGCGATAGGAAAGCTATGGTCACAACGGTTATTCTTACCGTCTCTCTACTCATATGTTTCTTGCCCTTCGTCGTTATTAGAATGATCATTGAAAAAGACAGGCGTGTGGTTGAGAATGATGACACCACTTTTATGGACGTATTTTACCGGTTCGTTTATTTTCTCCCCTTTGTGAACTTCATTTCGGATCCAATCATCTATGGGTTGGGCCATCATGACGTCAAGCGCGCAATGGTCAGTACGTTGCGTGACATCAAAACGTGGAGTAAGCGGAGCAGGCGAAGTCTGAGATTCCGCCGAAGACAAAGTAGGTCCTCACAGGGAGTAACAAGCGGAACCGTGTACATCCAATGTGACACGGTGATACCACCAGCCGGGAACGGTAAGATACTGAGACAAACTAGCTGCTGATACGCATCGTTACGTCGGCATCTAAGTTCCGAGTAGTCTAAACTTGAAAAGATAAACAATACCCCGAATGACGACAATTTACATAATGAGCCCGTATTGACATAATGCAGAAATAAAATTGAGTACAACTCAAATATGTATATCATAGGGAGTTTAAGCTTGCATATAAAATCGAAACGCCAACCTATACGTATGACCAATCGCCCAGACAAATGCATCGCTTAAATATTTTCCGTTTACGTTTCGGTTGTGAAAAACATTGCAAGCTTAGACTCCCGATTACTGCAACGACGTCGAGGAAAACAATTCAACATTTGTAATGCTAGTGCTACAAACTCGTAGAAAGACAACTTAGCATCATTCTGATACATACAGGTAGCATCTTTCTGTTTCACCTGAAACATCTCAGGGCTGAGAAGAATTGAGATGTCATGGTTTATCATGATGACCGTTGTACATTGCACTTTTTAATCAGTAGATTTTCGATTCAGTATTACATATTATTATATCATTGCTAGAAATTTTGTAATTTGATTGGCTGATTTAGTACCATGTGATCCAAAATACCACAGCGTATTTCACAGCTCCTTCAATTTTAGAATAATAAAAGACGTATTGCCCGCCCGGGAATTCTGACAACTGCACTGGACGAAATAAAGTGTACTATATAATGATATTTGTACGTAATTATGTTAACTTATGGGTTTATGACATATATAAATGATCATAGAGAATGTCTAGTAATGATATACCAAAACAAACATTTCATTCTATGTTCGGGCAATACCTGTTGCCCGAACATATCGAAATGAAATATTTGATTAGTAGGCCTACTAGATTTATTGTATAGTTACAATATAAATTAGTACAATATTGACCCTATAGATTATTTAGAGGTGACACCTTACTGTTAACATTGTATCCTTATGGGCATTTCTCTTGAAAGCCCATTGTTAGTTTTTATGTGAATACAAATACATTTCAAATATGTTTGCCTAAACATATTTTATTAGAATGTTTGCGTTTGCTATACATAAATATAGCCTTGGCTTTAATATAATAATTATTATGACGAGTGTACACCTTCATCTTTAAATTATTACGTGCTGTTGAGGTGTCGATACGTCCAGGTGGGTTATTCCCCGGGGTTATTCCAATGTTTAGACTCGAAATAGTTGGTAGTGGAATGTCATATTGTGAAAGTGGCATCGATATTCACCGAAGATAGAATTCAATATTTGTTTTATTATACCCAAATTCTTGAATTATTATAGCTAGAAAATATCAATCAAATTTCATCGACGGACAATGAGGATTAACTGTCCCCCTTGAGGACGACTAGCCTTGATTTTAGCGCTTGATACTCATGTATACAGATATTAACACGATTATACCTAATCACGGATCATAGCGAGATGTGTGAAGAGCTGTGAATAGCTATGATGTATCAAAAGCATTATCTGTCCCCAAGGAAAAATTATGTGTTAATCTCATCTCTATGGAAACGCTTGACCCTGGACTAAAAGCCGGAGTCAGAGATAAAAGGGTAGCAAAAATTGCAATTAACACCAAACATAACAAGACACACAGTGATAAATATCGCACTTTGAAGAGCAAACTGGCCACCATGCAATTTACCCAGCATGGCCAAAACCTAAACAGACCTTGGCACTAGTCTGCTCTTGCATCTGTAAACATTTCAAGTTGACAAGGTTAGCGGTTTTCCTGCAATTTTGATGACAAGAATTGATTTGTAGTCTCAAACTTTGAGAAACTTGGATAACATCATTTGTGACCTAGTTTAATGACCTTGACCTTCGACCTTGAAAATTTCACTTTTTCAGACCTCAGTAGGTGTGTGGTTATATATAATTGTAATTAAGCTGACCTAAATTTAAATCCAAACTATCAAATCTGAAATCTAAGGTCAGATTTGAACTTCTGAGAACTTGTAGATGTTTTAAAAAAAAAAATTTGGTCAATTTGGAGCAAGTTGAAAAATTCAAAATGGCCGCCAAATTGAAAAATTCAAAATGGCCACCATGTAATTCAGCCAGCATACCCAAAACCTAATCAGATCTTGGCAATAGTCTGCTCTTGCATCTGTAAAAATTTCAAGTTGAACGGATAAGTGGTTTTCCTGGAATTTTGATGACAAGATTTGTTGAAAAATTCAAAATGGCCGCCACGTAGTTTACCCAGCATGCCCTTAACCTAATCAGATCTTGGTACTAGTCTGCTCTTGCATCTGTAAAAATTTCAAGTTGAACAGGTAAGCAGTTATCCTGGAAATTTGATGACAAGATTTGGTTTATGTGCCGCCCGCCCGCCCGCATGCCCGCCCGCCCAACAGCACAAGACGACGACAATATAGCACTTTTTCAAAGTGCGATAAAAATACTTTTAGTTTTTTTTTTGCGAATAAACTATCTTTCTCGGTAATCAAAGCATGGAAGTCGAAAGCTTTATCATATCTTCTTACCGTTTGGTAGTTTTTCTTGGTTTTATCAAGGACGTCTATAGATAGACGTCCTTTGTAAATGTAGAATATTGTGGATTGTTGGGGCATAGGGAAAAGTGATCTTTAAAACCCCCAAATTGTGTGATCCTGTACAAATATGCGATTTATTCATGATCTCATTCAGTTGTATTGTTACAGGATCTGCAAGGCCACACCTGAATAAAAGATGAATTGTTCCATGCCCTTTCTATTAAAAGGTGGATATGTTGAAATAATGCGAGATGAATTATTGAAAACACATACCGTATTGCTTTCCCGTAATGCTCAACTAAATAACATACCCATCCCTCAACAATGAAAGGAACAAAGACATCATCGCTTTGTTTATCTTACAACACGTGCGCCCTGTGGGAATGTATACCGATCCGATTGAAAACATGATGAACAAAGCATTAACATAACAAAATGTCACCACCTAGTTGCTCACAATATTATGAATCTTTTTGACCTTGAGAATATATAGTCAGATTTGAACTTTTGAGAACTTGTAGATGATTTTGAAAAAGGTCAATTTGGAGCAAGTTGAAAAAAGACCTTTTTAACCCATATTTGACCTTGAGAAGGTCATTGAAGGTCAAACCTTAAGTCAGATTTGAACCTCAGAAAACGTGTAGATGATTTTGAAAAAAATTTAAGTCGGTCTAACAATATTTGTTAAGTTATTGAAAGTTGTAAGAATTTGTTACAGACGCCGATCACCAATCGAAAACCACCAACCGCCATCCACCGATCGCCGTCGCAAAAAATGGAAACACATCACAATATGTCACCACAAATCCATCAATGTGATTTTTTATTGTTTCTAACTGAGAATAAAATCATATTATTAATTTATTAATCTGTTAACAACAATAAAATCTATGCGTGCGTTCACGGCACATGACGTGAACGAGATAACATCGAAAGACCTGCAAAATGGCCGCCAGAAAAAAAGATGCCCGCCCAAAAGTTAATCAGCTCTAGAACTTGATATCCTCTATCATATGTGAGAATTTCGAGAAAATCCGATGAGCGGTTTTCCTGGAATGGCGAAACGTTTTTCAAGATCACTACGTATACGTGAATCTTCCCGTTCACGTTGTGTCTGTCCTACTTGACCTAAAGAAATATGTTTTATCAATGACGAGGTCATGATAGAAATAATCAGACTGTACCAAAATGTGTCCTTTTTGCAAAAATGTCCATGACACGTAATACTTTAAACAAGACACAAGTTAGTAGATACATTCCTTTTTTAAAATTATGGCGGGAATTTTGAATCAAAACAGGCATTTTGAAAAATTCTTTCTAGCCATAAGCCCATAAATTCAAACCATGGGCTCTACCACCAATGATCAGTATTTGGGTTGATATCATGCACAGCTTCATTAGCGGAGCATACTAATGGTTCCAAAATAATCACAGGAAGTAATTAGAATGAGTAGCTATCTCTCTGTCTGGGGCTTTCAAATGTCCCTTTGTTTTAATTGTGGTCTTGTCGAAAAACTCGCAAAAGCGTTTCAATCATTACTACCCAAAATCACCAGGGACCATCTCCATTCATTAAAAATTACATTGACAAACAGGCTAGTATTTATCGTATTTTCTCATTTTATTCCCCGGGTTTTACTCGAGGCGAAGATTCTAGTAAAAACTATAAACTGATAAAGATGAAGTTTTGCTTTAAAACACTGAAATCAAGCCATAAACTTTTTCTCCATAAATAATGATTTTTACACATTGAAAAAAATGTTAATGCATAATTTTATGTATCATTGATCAATTTAAGCTATTTGAGATGTCTTTATGTTTCAGTATGAAAATAATAATTAGTTTTAAAGGAGTGGTATCGATATGGTGAACTTTTTGAACACGCGTTTCTCTTAAAGTTGTCATTTATATCGGCAAAGAACTACACAATAGCAAGTTACAATTACTACAATTTACTGTTCAGTATTAAACTCAAATAACCTACAAATAAACATGTTTGGCATAGGGTATACATCCACCACGGCATTAGCTATACGAAACCGTTTGCGAGTTAAAGACAATATAATTTCTCCTCGTGATAGGCTAAAGTATACACTAAGTTATATAATGAATATATAAGATATAATGAACAATATAAAAGGTTAACGTATACTCCAGAACTTATATATACTACAAGGAGAACTTATATAGTACTTAGTACTATAAGGAGAACTTATATACTATAAGGGAATCTTATGCATAATATAAGAATATGTATGATACAATAAAACATCACCTCTCAAACTATATGAAGTTATGTTAAAAATCTTTGGGGTAAATGCCTTATAGGTATTTGTATTCCCCAAAGGACCAGTCATCAAAACATTCTGAAAATTTTACAAATTGTCAATTTAATCTTTTGTATGGTAACATTATAATTTGAATTATTTATATATACTTTTCTCTATAATGTTTTAGAAAACACATCAGACACTTCTTTCGTTCTTGGTATCATATGTTCAAAATGAAATGAAACATCTATCCGAACCTCATTGGAACAAAACAACATAAACACAATGTGTTTAGGTCTCTCAATATTGTAATTGTACAAAGGAAAGTTTGGTTGATTTTTAAAAAGTATCTTGTTAATGAAATAAAAGGTTTATCTTAATTTTTATCTGTTTTGGGGGTTTTGTTTTAAGTTTTTGCATACTTTTTCTATCCTTTGGGGGTAAATTTTAGGGGGCGCCACATTTAGGACTAATTTTCACATTTGTTGCCCGGGCTAGGACAGAGAACCCAAGCCCAAAATAAGCCCAAGACCTTTCTCTACATGAATCCAGCGAGAAACTTAAAAAAATTTCTAAAATATGCTAAGCTGCTGACCTTATTAAAAGGATGTTTATTTTTACTTCCTTTCCATCTGAGCTATTAGAGATAAGTGACAGGTTGGTGTGTACAAATAAAAGTACATACGTGTCACCCCTGAAACTTAGTGATTCCCTTCAATTTAAATCACATTCTTCTTTATCACTGTGATTGTAGCCTATATTTGACAATATGTGTACTTTAAGCACTTCAAGTACTGCGTGAAAATGCCATGTGTACTTGAGTAATGTGGAGCACTGATTGACAATTACAGTAAATGGTATGTGTTTGAGTAATATATGACAATGAAATATGTACTTGGAGCACTATGTGACAATAGCATGTTACCCCATAAATGTGGGCCTGAATTGCATTTTTCTAAATTTTGACATTTTTTGGCAATTCATTTCTTGTCAAAAAAGACAAAATAATCTCACATTATGGACATGTTCATGTGTATTTGAGCACTATTTGACTATGATTTCTATTTCTGTTTTCACTTCCTAGCTTCATACATGAATATGTGAACCATCACCATTCTCTAAAGATAATATAAAAAATACATGTTACATTTTCAATCCTTAGTTTAAACATTGCTTTTGAAGTCTTCATAGCCATAGCAGTCTTTGAACGCACTTTCACTATGTGAGCCCAGTACCCATGGTACTATTTATTCTTCCCTGCTACTATGTAGTGTGTTGGGAATATCTTCCTGAAACCACCCAGAAGTGCGCAAATATTTGATATATTCTCTGTCACAATTATAAATAACAAGTTTAAGGACCTAACATAAAGTCAGAAGTCTTGAACTCTATTAACACTCTCACAAAATAAACATGGCCCACGGCCCTGTGCTCACAGAGTAGAACCTTTAGAGGAATGTATATCCTGACTTTTAACCAAAAATATTGATCTGAAGTCTTAACTTTGAGAAACTTAGAGAGCACAGTTTGTGACAAGAAATTACATGTTTTTGTGTATACCCAAGCCAATTCATCACATGATGCCCTCAAACCAATCCAATCAATTCCATCTAATACATAAGTATATGTAATGCTTACAACCTGCATAGATAAATCAAATGAAAAATATGCATTGCATTAATTTCCTATTGAGAAAAAGTAATGAGTTCCAGGCACGCAGCCAGGATTTGCCACTTTTTAAAAAATTCCAGGGGGGTTCACTTTTGACAACTTTGGCACAAAAAGGCCGAAATCATCTGAAAGGTGCTCAGAATGGTGAAAAACTGCATGGCTTTGAAAGAATTTTTGGATGGGGGGGGGGGGGTCGAGGGCCCGAGTCCTATCAAAACTAAAATTGCATGTATCATGGTATTAGGTTCACCATCTGATATACATGGTTTTAGTTTTGCTTCAAGACTGTGGACACAACACAGTAGTTGGGGAATTAAAGGTACCTTATTTTCAAAACACCATTAACACTGAAATGAATTACCGGGAATTTTTTTAATATTATATTTTGTGAACTTGAACTATTGGAATTTCGCCACTATAAAATTTCATCAAATTGACATGTTTCATATATGGACGCTTATTAGAATGGTCTGAAGTAGGCATTCAGAATTTTCTCAGCCCCTGGGCACTATTTACAGAGTATATACGGAACATTTTTTTTGCTGTGAAAAGTGAGTACTTTATTATCCCAGTCATATCATCAAGTTGGATGTTAGTACAAGATAACATTCAGAGTTAAAATATACTTCATACTGACACCTTATATCCGATATCAGCATATTTGAAGCAAGACTAACAGAACATGTTTTTCCATGTACTGATATACACTTAATCCCAACGTTTATTATACTTTTTATAGTTCAGATTACAATATCCAGTATTGTAGTTATGTCATGCAAAACACACTGATGCTGGGATATAAACTAAACAACTGAGTTTATCGAAAGCATGGGACATACATCATCGCTTTTATGCCAGGCTAGAGTGTTGTTAAAAATTCTAAATTGCATTCTTGACATATAGTCAAGGATTGCAAAATAAGAAATTGAGATCATGCGTTTGAAGTCTAACTTCCTCAAATGTTTGAATGCCTGACCCTGACTGTCACTTGGTATATATTGGGGGACGTCATGTTGTATTGAATGACACTCTTGAATGACATTCTTGTATTGAAAATTATTGAAACTCGACAGTTTTCAAGTTTCACATATTCTGCTGAAGTCTCCGGTGATCCACCTTCTCTAATATAACCAATCTGTCAGGGGTTAAAGAATAAATAAAGAACATTTTGAATCTTGTCATTCTGATAATAACTCGATATTTTACCTTTGTTGATATTTTACCTTTGTTGATATTTCATCGTTGTTGATATTTCACCTTTGTAGAATGGTATTTAACATTGTAGAATGGTATTAAACATTGAAGAATGGCATTCACCTTCGCATAGAGGTATTGTTCTCCAAAATCATATTTACTCTTGACTTTCATGAATTTATAATGAGAATAATCAAAACTTGTTCGACTTTGCTTTTAAGAAATCAAAATTTTGACCTAACAAAAGTAGATTTGTGAGTATAGAACTAAAGTGATCCATGACAGCATTGGAAAAGTGGCTTTAATAACCATGATTTGTTCATATGGTACCTTAATACAGATTGAAAGACTTGCAGGATATGGTTTCAGGATATACTATAAAGGATACGGTTTTAATTGTTCAGCAAAATTCTTCATTTCTTCTTGCACTTGTTCCTGAAATGCAGAATCATATCAAACTATAATTATTATTAAATTTTCTCCAAACCGTGAAATATGGCTTTTAGTCCAGAAAAATTAATATCCTATATGGTTTTCAAAAATTATCATTTATATCCGACATCTTTTAGATATTTTGCTAAAATTAAAATATGACACTGTGATCCACATTAATATGAATAGACTAGACAGCTAGGTGCAAGCAGAAATAATCTTGATTTACATCATTAAATATTCAAAATTCAGTCAAACTGATGTCATATTTGGAATCTACATGTAAAATTACATCTAGAAATGTGGTTTTGAAAAGAGTTTATCAACTTTGAAAATTGAAAATGTGACTTCTAGGTCGGGGAGATTCCCCATAGACCCCATGTTGTAAAATCACAAAAAGTGAAATATCTTTTCTTGTGTTGTGACAGATAACATTTTCCTTTACTGGACATCAGCCACCTGGTGGCGAAACTGGTAACTACCTACTCGCATCTAAGTAATTATATCTGCAGTCTCACTGTGATTATTCATGCAGATACTTAGTATCATATTCGCTCCTGGATATGAAGCATATCACTCATAAATCATGGGATATTATCTAAATACATGGGGCAATCTAACTAAGCTCCTTTTGGGATTATTAATTCTAAAAAGTTGCTAAATAGTTTTTTCTGAATAAAATTGTAATCAGGAAGCAATTTAGAGCAGTGCTATATCAGATATCCCTAATTAATTCTTCAGTTAAAATATCTTGATTGCATCCTAATAATACATGTAAATAGGTATCACTGCATTTGTAATGTGTAGATGAGGCCTGTAGCCAGGGGAGGGAGCAGAGGGAGCAGACACTCCCCCCTGGCCAGAAATTCTTTCAAAATCAAGCAGTAAAGTGCTCACCATTATGAGCACTTTACACATGATTTTTTTGCCAAAAATGTCAAAAAGCTCCAGCCCTTGGGAAAAGCTTCCCGCTAAGTAAAACTGCTCCCTCCGATAAATCCAGGCCACTGGCCTGTAGATTTCAGTTTTGAAATATGATTACACCTAACAAATACAGACAGTTATTATGGACAATCACAAATCAATAGATCATTCTGGTGAATCCTGTAACCTTTTGAATTATAGGAAGAACTAAGATATATCAGCTAAATTGATGATGTCATTGGTTGTAGGTAGAAATCTGACAATGCAAAAACGAGATTAACTTATTGCTGATTTAAAAAAATACTACTTATGACATCATCGAGCTAGCCAATATTTTCAATTTTTCTCTGATTATCAAAATGTGCCGAAATTGTTTGCGATACAATTTGTGATCCTTTGCTCAATAGCAGTTCCAATAATTATATAAATAATGCTGGACATGTAGAGAAAAGTTAATTGACAAAAAGCATTCCTTTAAAGTTATTGTTAATGCTGGCCCAAGCGAATCTGTATGCCATGAATAAATCAGTGAATAGTAATACAGCATTCTCTAATCATAGGGGAAATAAAAATAATGGAAAAGCGAATATTCTTAAAGGTTTGGGATTCAATAAAAGGAAAATAAGTAGCATTCTAAATGTAAACAAACTGCAAATTATTGACAGAAGCAAAAGCAAAACATTGAATTTACATGATAAGTATTGAACTAATAGTAGGAAGTGTTCAGCTGTAATGAAAACAAGGCATTAACATGACAAAATGTCACCACCTAGTTGCTCACAATATGATGAGTTCAATCTAAGTCAGATTTGAATTTCTGAGAACTTGTAGATGATATTGGAAAAAGGAGCAGGGAACTGTATTGAGATGACCCACTGTCCTGATTGGTCCAAATCGACAAACAAAAAAGGCTGACTCAACTTATAACACTTCGAGTAATATTATGTTTATTTCTGATGTATATAAAATTGCATGTTATAGCTGTCATTTAACATCAAGAAAGATGTAAGGAATATGCTTACATCGATTAAAACATGACAACGACGTGTCATATTCAAAAACTAATTGGTGAGAATTTGCGCAAACGAAGGTGGTATGCAAAAGACGTAATATGTCTGTCATCGCTAAACTGCTAAAGCTCGGGGGGTTTCCCTCCTCTTGTAAAAAAGCAAGTTGAAAAAAGACCCTTTTTGACCTTGAGAAGGTCATTGAAGGTGAAATCTCAAATTTGGATGCAAAATATGGATAAGTTGGGTTACAGACTCTAATATCTAAAAACCAAAACCATTCTAAATAATCACAAGATTCTATGCCTGCACATTGCAAAAAAGTCTAGAAATAAAACAATATGAACAATTTCTTAACTAAAACGCTGATAATCACTTTTGTCCCATACTTGTGATCATTTTGATGACTTTCTTTTTCCTGCTGCAGTAGCAGAGAGTTTTACAATACCCACATGAAGGTCATTGGAATTCTGGGAAACACAAAGATAAACAACAAGGGCGGAACATGTAAGTTTGGTCAAATTCTTTATTGAAAATAGGAATTCTGAAGCAGTTTGTCCAGGTCTTGACATACTAGTTTATTTCCATGGACCGTTTCAGTTAAAGTTCAGTTATTCAGATGAATCTTGCCTAAAGTGGTTTTCAGTTGCGAGTTTCACAACAAATCTGAGCCCTATAGCAGATGTGAATATAATTTTATGCATGACTTTCAGATATGAATATATTTTTATGCCTGGCTTAAAGATATGAGGTGAATACATGTTCATTTTTCCCTCAGTATATTTCCCGCAGCCCGTATCTTGCCCAAAGTGGTTTTCAGATGGGAATATGACATCTGTTATGCATGACTCTCAGATATGAATATATTTTTATGCCTGGCTTAAAGATATGAGGTGAATACATGTTCATTTTTCCCTCAGTATATTTCCCGCAGCCCGTATCTTGCCCAAAGTGGTTTTCAGATGGGAATATGACATCTGTTATGCATGACTTTCAGATATGAATATATTTTTATGCCTGGCTTAAAGATATGAGGTGAATACATGTTCATTTTTCCCTCAGTATATTTCCCGCAGCCCGTATCTTGCCCAAAGTGGTTTTCAGATGGGAATATGACATCTGTTATGCATGACTCTCAGATATGAATATATTTTTATGCCTGGCTTAAAGATATGAGGTGAATACATGTTCATTTTTCCCTCAGTATATTTCCCGCAGCCCGTATCTTGCCCAAAGTGGTTTTCAGATGGGAATATGACATCTGTTATGCATGACTCTCAGATATGAATATATTTTTATGCCTGGCTTAAAGATATGAGGTGAATACATGTTCATTTTTCCCTCAGTATATTTCCCGCAGCCCGTATCTTGCCCAAAGTGGTTTTCAGATGGGAATATGACATCTGTTATGCATGACTTTCAGATATGAATATATTTTTATGCCTGGCTTAAAGATATGAGGTGAATACATGTTCATTTTTCCCTCAGTATATTTCCCGCAGCCCGTATCTTGCCCAAAGTGGTTTTCAGATGGGAATATGACATCTGTTATGCATGACTCTCAGATATGAATATATTTTTATGCCTGGCTTAAAGATATGAGGTGAATACATGTTCATTTTTCCCTCAGTATATTTCCCGCAGCCCGTATCTTGCCCAAAGTGGTTTTCAGATGGGAATATGACATCTGTTATGCATGACTCTCAGATATGAATATATTTTTATGCCTGGCTTAAAGATATGAATGTAATTTTATATTTGGCTTGCTAAATGTGAATTTGATTTTAAGTCTGAATTTCAGATGGGAATATGACACCAGTACCTTTTAGTTTAAGAAGTTACAAAGTTATCAATAAAAGACCTCTGTATAGTAGTGATATCATAGAATTTCTTATAGCTGTCAACCAATAACTCAAAATCGGGGAAATAACATGGCAGGGTATTACAAAGTTCTCTTAAACTTCAAAACTCATCAGTTTTAGTGGTCAACTTTTCATACTACCCTTATGTATCTGATAGTTATACAAATTAAGATATGTCCAATAAAAGAAAATATCTGCCCAGTCCACCCGTATAGCTCAACGGTAGAGCACATGTACCAATTACGCATAGGTCCCAGATTCTATCCCTGGTTTAGGCACTTGGCTTGTTGCATAAAGTACTTCAGGGTGTTTGACTGAGTGGTCCACGACTCATACAAAAGGCTGTGGTGTGTACTTGTATGCCTATGCATGAGTGCACATAAAAGAACACAGGGCTCCTTCAAGGAGGGGTTCCTGGATCAGCTGCCTTCTATGATAATGCATTGATTACGACCATATATATACAGAATATAACCAAGAGCTATTGCTCACCTTCATTGGTGGTAAACGAAATATAATACAAAAACACAAGAAAAGATATTTCACTTTTTGTGATTTTACAACATGGGGTTTATGGGGAATCTCACCGACCTAAAAATCACATTTTCAAAGAAAATTAAATTTTCAAAGTCGATAAACTCTTTTTGAAACCACATTTCTAGATGTTATTTTTCATATAATTTCCAAATATGACATCAATGACTGAATTTTGAATTTTCAATGACATAAATCAAGATTATTTCTACTCTCATCTAGTCTATTAGATAGTACTATATAGATGAAGTGAATAAAATGCTTAAATACCTGGCCTGCAGAAGTGACAACACTGAGCTCTACCAGGTATGATCCGGTCAAAGGTTCCACCCGATCAGGATTATCTGGCTGAACTATCTTAAATACATAGAAATACACACTTATTGCTGTGTCAAAATTGTTCAGCTGAAATAATTACACAAACACAAGTACATTGTTTGGCTGGACCATCTGAAACATGTGCACCAAAACACGCTATAGATATTTTTCTTTGGATATTAGTACATGTACTATCTGCTAATTCAGTATGTAAGTGACAATTAAAATTTTATTTGAATTCACAATTTTTTGAACAAAAGGTCCTTCAAACCTAACTTTTGGAAATCAAATTGAAAAGTTTCATCGTATTTTGATAACATTGGGTAGGACTACAAATATAAGCTAAGGAGGTTTAAACTTTACATGGGGCCTTTAACAACTCATTTAGTATTCTGTATCACTGTATAATCCATTACTGCATGTATTTTGATAACATTGGGTAGGACTACAAATATAAGCTAAGGAGGTTTAAACTTTACATGGGGCCTTTAACAACTCATTTAAGCTGATTATGAAATAGCTGAACACCAAAAAGTGTGGTTTAATCAACTTATGAATAAAGGATGAATACACTAGGAACTGAGCAATGAAATGAACTAATTGATACTAAATCAAGTTTTGTTTTAAAACACACCATTAGGTTGCTATGGAGACTACTTTATATGTATACCAGTGTGCACATTCTGTATTTAAGAACCATATTGTACAAGTACCTATGTACTTCTCCTTTAAGAAAACTAATTCATCTGATGCAATTACCCACATCATATATCAAAATAAATAAAACAAAACTGACATATATTGCATATGTTACATGTTCATATGAAGATATACCTGAATTAAATTTGTGAATTTATAAGAATAATAACTGCAGACTGCCAAACACTGTCTACAAAAAGACTGTACTGTATACAACAAATTACCACTACTGGTGCTGACATAAAAATTAAAGCAGAACTTAGTATTCCTGGGGTCTGGAGTGATGTTTCCTTCAGTATGACGACCTATCTGATTTCCATGTGTGACTTAGTTAAGTGCAATATTCAGCCATCTCATGGCTAAATACTGAATATATAAAGTAGATTTTGCCAGGATTTTGTGGGTGTTTGGGCAGTCCCAAGGTGAAATAGCCAATCTCCATTGTATCAAGGTAGGGCTTAACATGGTCTCATTTATATCGTACCATATTAATGGTTTTGTTTACATTGATACGGAATAAATCATACCATTTTATGAAAAATGGTGGCCCTGTCCTACAGAAATTGAGATTGTGTTTCACAGCAAGTTCGCACGGTAATACTGTATAGCACATTCTCAAGGGAATTGATTCTACTTTCTATAGACACCAAATACATCTCTGTTGATAGAATAATAAAAAAGCCTTAGGGTCCAAACTTCCTCTGTAAAAGGATCATAGGCAAACCTTTTCTCGTATCAGTTTTCATGAAGATGCCTCGACCTCGTTAGAAGAAGAAATTGGAATTGACGTTGGGAAGAGCAAGAGGCAACTGTCTTCTACAGTTAAAAGTGGGTAGTCAAGTGAAACGGACAGCGATGTATCAGGTAAGTCTAAATGCATTTACAAGTTGCAGTTGTGTCATTTGAATACTTACAGTATTTACAGTTAAGATTGAAAGGCATTTTTGAGTATTGTTGTAAGCTATTGGTTGTATGTATACCTTCATTGGGAAAATCTCCATTTGAAAATTTCCCTGAGAGATGAATAAATATCAAATATCGGCGTTTGGAGCAGTATGATTATTTTCGTCTTTGTGACTGTGACTGTGACTGCTATTAAAATAAAAAAAGATGTTTAGCAGCCTAAATTGATGTTTTAACATTTTAAGCATCCTTCATAAGTTTGACAGCCTAACGTTGCCCATTGAACTACACTGTACCTGTTGAAGTCCTGTATGTCGATTTTTAATTGAAACAAAAATACTTGTAATATTTAACAAATCATTGTAAATACCATTGTGTGGCACCTAATACTCCCTCTTGGGGGTCATAGCCACTAAAACCTGTAAATATGTTACATTGATTTTAATAAATAAAAAATAAAAAAGGTGGATATGTTACTTGAATTCATATCCCATATCTCCAGGTTAATCTGTTTTTAGAATGTGTATTCGCTCAAGAATCAACAAAGGATATACTATCATGTAAAGAAATTTCAACTGTTCAATCTTTTAAGTGTAAAGTGTTCAATTAAAGTTACAGAAGATATAAAATGATTCTTAGTCTCCTGTCCTATTTCAATGGGAGCCCGTTTGTCATATTTCTTCATTAGTCTACATCTTTAGGTTGACATGCTTGGTTCGTGGGGGATTAAAGTATCAATCGCTGGCATGTGAAAACGGTTTAAATAGTTTTAGTTTTAAAAAGTTATAACAACTTTTGTCATATTTTCACATTTTTGCGAATGTATACAAAGGAGGTTGGGACCCTGAGGCTTTTTAATTATTCTATCGACAGAGATGTATTTGGTGTCTATAGAAAGTAGAATCAATTCCTTTGAGAATGTGCTATACAGTATTGCCGTGCAAACTTGCTGTGAAACATAATCTCAATATCCGTAGGACAAGGTCACCATTTTTCATGAAATGGTATGATTTATTCTGTATTAATGTCAACAAAACCACTAATATGGAACGATATAAACGAGACCGTGTTAATAGGGCAGATGATTTGCAATTCAGTTTTTGGGAATATCTAGTTACAAGTGTAATTAACTGTTTTAGTTTTAATGCAATTATTCCATGGTAACATGTTTTCCCTGAAATATGGGAAATAAACAGGGAACAGAATTGATATTCAAAAAATGCCACTTCAGATCCTATATCAGCCAAAATACCGTATCAGATTCTGTATCAGCCAAAATCCTGTATCAGCCAAAATCCTGTATCAGAACTATTCAGAGGAATTTCTCTTGATTTTTACATTTTTGGTTCTATTTTAAAACTTGAAATGTTATATGATGTTGCTGGATGGTGATAAATCAAACTTGAAAATGAATAAGTTTCAGTAAAAATATTGTGGAATAAATAGGTTATTGATGGTCGCGATGGAAATAAATTTTTACTCGAGAAAATATGTTATTATGCACCTTGTCTAGATACTGAAATCTGATTGGTTCTAAGCTTCTGGCAATTTGGCCATATCTGGCTTTTTAAAAACATGCCCAATATTTTTTTGCAACTGACCAATATTTTTTCAATGTTTTTGCAACATTCCCCACTTAATATTTCTCAATAACTCTAGTACTACTAAAGCTAACATCAGAAACTGATGGCAAATAGAAGAAAAAAGTGTACTTAATCAAAATTACCCTTATCATTTAAACATAATGCATAATTCTTGAAGAACGCCTCAAATAAATGTAAATTAAATCCCAGGACAAGACAATGCTTTTTCGTTCGGTGTATAGCCTGATAGCTAGACAGAAGTCTTCGAGGTTTTAGAAAAAATCTAAAAATGTAACTACATCGTAGCACACTCAAAAGATTGATTGAGAAGGTGCATAATAAAACAAATACTGGATGATCAGGAGCGGGATATATAAACCCACTTTCTAAATATACATTTTTTGCTGCTTGTCTCCTATACACAATCATTTCATAGTACTTTTTTCATGTTTCAAAGCTTCATTCAAGTAGATACAATGATTAAATAATTTGGTGATCTTGGTTTAATATGCAATGAATTTGGAATGTAAAATACAGTGAAACCTGTAGTATATCCAAACACCTGGCTAATCTGGACACCTTTCAACCTGAACACTTTTTCTTGGTCTCATTCTTCCTCCCATTTTCTTGAAATCTGAACCCCTCGTAATTTGAACAGTGAGTATTTATATTTGAAAAATTAACCTGTCTAATCTGCACACTTTTCACAAAATATTACATATTTCTTACAAAATTGCTAAACTATTTTCTTTCTAGCATAACTAAATTCATTTGAATCGGATTTTGGAATGCCATAAACCAATGTTGTCAATAGAAGTACTAGTATTAATAGTCATTGAGAATGCATTCATATTTGTTCAAAATCCAGAAACTTGTGAATGCAAAAACTTCAAAATCTAAACACATAATCTGAACACTTTTAACCAGTCGCAATGGTGTTCAGATTAGACAAGTTTTACTGTATGTTTTTTTAGACTTGATTTATCAAATAAACAGCAGAATGAATGAACTGACAGACTGATGGCTTATCTATAACTGTAATGAACTTTACCTGGTTAGATGATTGAAGCATATTGTTAAATTATAAATCCATGGGGTCTCATAATTGTATATCAGGTAGCAATTACTCAATTCATTAATGTCAATATAGACATACAATGTGGTTGAATAGTTTCAAGATAATATATTACACCTAAAATGGTACCTATGGTAATATTAATACACTTAGGTATACGAACAAAAGCCATATTACAGTATTAGAGGTTGCGGTATATACACTGCCTAACCTCTTATAATACCTACTAAAACAATTTTTCTCTACGCTATGTAGTAGAGAATGAAACCGATGAGCCGCTAGGCTTTTGTCTCCTTTCTTTGCGAAAACTTTTAAGATTGAAAATTGTCCAGATACAAACATTATACAAAGTGGTAAAACTGTTCATTTTGATTTTTTTGAGGCAAGAATCAGAAAAACAATAATACAATTGTGATCTGCTCTATAATTCCTTTAATTTGAGTATAATATAGCCATACATATTCAAGAGATCAGAAAATTAATGAACAAGGCATTAACATGACAAAATGTCACCACCTAGTTGAAGCAGGATAAAAAAGGCCTTTTGACCTTGAGGAGGTCATTAAAGGTCAAATCTATTTTGACCTTGGGAATGTCATTGAAGGTCAAATCTATAGTCAGATTTGAACTGTTGAGAACTTGTAGATTATTTTGAAAAAAAATTGGTCAATTTGATGCAAGTTGAAAAAATACCTTTTGACCTTTTTAAGTCAGATTTAAATTTCTGATAACTAAAGAAATTGGTCAATTTGAAGTAAGTTGAAAAAATACCTTTTTTGACCTTGAAAAGGTCTTTGAAGGTCAAATCTTAAATATAAAGTCTTCTTCAGAAAGATCTCAAAATTAACGAAAATCTGTCTGTCCACTAATCTTGTATTTATTTTGAGTTACCTTCCGGATGGACGGACTGACTGACGGGTGAACAAATGAAATGACTGACAGAGGCCTTCACTATGTAACTACTGTTCATTGGGACAATAAGCCATGGACTTTTGTAAGAAAGAAAGATATGTAATGTGGAAAAACTGGGTCAACATAAAGAACAGTGAAATAAAATCTGATATCACTTTCATGAACTCATTGTCAATGGCACATATGTACAAAATAGATCCTTACATACACTTTTTAATATGTATTTGTTGGCACAGATTTTGCAGTTTTCAAGTTTTGCAGACATGCAAGGTATTCCAACTTGTATCTTCATTCACATTATAAGATATACAGGATGACCAAAAAGTGCAACCTGCTATTCATGGGTTGAATTCTTTTTGTCACCCTGTAATAAATATGTACATATGAACATGTATAAGATAAGAAAAATCATTTTATTAGTTAATAGGTGGACTTACTCTGAATACTTTGGAAACAGTCACTTTCATCCTGCCCTTTCGAAAAAAGTAGCCTTTTAACACAAATTCATGGTCTAACCTGAAAAACAAAGGCATGAATATAACTGGAAAGTATGAAAATTTCATTTGCAAAGTTCAACCAGAACAACGGCAACGCCAAAGCATAGCGAATCCCATCGAACAGAAATGGCTGGCATTTTTACAAATGAAATATATAGCAAATATCATAAAACAACACACCAGAAAGGCCACCATTTTCAAAATGGTTGCTCACTAGCCAAGTTGTCATCAGAAGAAATAATATGCTTTTTAGTAGCCACCTATAAAATTTTTGAAAAATCGCACACATGTACTTGTAAAATAACATACATAAAAATGGTGGCCATTTTTCAAAATGGCCGACTACTCCCCAAAATTTTATTAGACAATGTGTCATGCTTAGAGTATTCACATATCAAATATGAACAAATTCGCTCCACTACTTTTCGAGTTATAGTAAAATACTTTAAAATGGCGGCCATTTTTCAATTTTTTTTTCAAAATGGCCACCTTCTACCAAAAATGTCATAGGACAGTGTGCCATGCTTATAGTATTCACATACCAAATATGAACAAAATCGCTCTACTACTTTTCGAGTTATAGTAAAATATGTTAAAATGGCGGCCATTTTTCAAAATGGCCGCCTTCTACCAAAAGTGTCTTTAGACAGTGTGCAATGTTTATAGTATTCACATACCAAATATGAACAAAATCGCTCCACTACTTTTCGAGTTACAGCAAAAATCGTAAAATAACGAGTAAAGGCCGCCATTTTTCAAGATGGCTGCCATGTGCTTTTTTAATATCTACATTGTAGCTTTATTAATGTCCTTTATAATTTTTTTACATTTAAAACATATCGCTATTACAGTTTTACATATTGTACCTAAATTACTGTAAAATCGGCACTAAAATGGCCGCCATTTTGAAATGAGCGGCCATTTTGAAAATCGGCTTTCGAGCAGAACTTCTACCCCCATAGGGTATATGTGTACAAAATATGAACAAAATCGGGCCAACGGTATTTGAGTTATTGCCCGGACGGACGGACGGACGGACGGACGGAGGCGTTCCCTATATCCCTCCGAACTTTGTTCGATGGGATAATAATCCCTCAAAGGTTACAGCATTAGATCAAGAAAGTGCTGCACCATGTATGAAGGTCTACAGTGTTTACACATTGCCAAAAAAGCTGAAATATTGATATTTTGACCAAAACAGCTAAAGTTAGGTTTGTGCGGAATATTGAAAAAAATTCCCAGTGAAATCACTAAAGTTGAGCATCATGATCCTGATTAATACTATAACATAAGATTTAAATGAAAATTGGAGAGATACGCACCAAAGTGAAATTTGTAATGAGTGTAATAAGAACGCAGTTCAATCAAAATGTCAACAGCTCGTCACGCTAAAATAAATCAACTCTAATTTAAGTGCAGTAATTATTTTTTTTTGACATTGAGTATTCTCATGAGGCTTGGTTATTTCATTTTATTCAAATTCAACATTTTTTACTTCATTTCAAAATTTGGCTTAGTTGAATGAAAAGTGGCATTACTGATGAAGATGATTTTATCTTTGCATGTACGTATAATGAGAAGTATTTTGATCTATTTCTCATGCAACATCATCCCATTAAGTATATTCCATAACATTTCTCTTTGCAGACTTCCAAATCATTTTGCAGACAATATTGGAATCAAACAAAATCAAAATCTATCACTGGCTCATTCCAAAAATTGGATGAATACTAAGTATTGTGTCAATGATACAACACACTGATATTTTTAGCTCACTTCAGGTGAAGGTTTTGCAATCGCTCACTTGTTCGTCTATCTGTCCGTCCATCTGTCCATCCATTCATCTGTCCGCCAGTCTGTCTGTCAGTCCATCAACAAAAGTAGCATGTACAGGGTGGTAAAAAAAATGGAAACCCTGTCGCCATTTTCCTCATATCTCTGTCATTTTAAGAAATTACTCCCTGATATTCAGCACATTTGTACATCATTCAATTTCCTACTGGTCTACCATATTTCATGACCATCAAATTGATAGTCACAATGTTACAGCACTTTAAACAACATGCTCCAGTGGCCAATATTGCACTTTCGGCAAACCTGCACCTATCATCCAAAATGTCCCTACCTAACTTCAACCTGTGATGATACACCAAAAAAGAGTGTATGAGAATAACCCCAGGACAACTGCATACCTCAAAAAGCAGATCATCCATGTCATTCAGGCCATACCTGCTGAAAAATGTAGTCAGATCATTGACAACCTGTTCAGATTTGCCAATAGCGCAATGGTGGCCACACTGGGGCATCTTGTTCAAAGTGCTGTACCATTGTGACTATCAATCTGATGGTCATGAAATATGGTTAGCTGGTAGGAAATTGAATGTTGTACATATGTGTCAAATTTCAGGGAATAATTACCCAAAATGGCAAAGATATGAGGAAAATACAGGGTTTCCATTTTTTTGACCACCCGTATTAAGTCATTTTTGTTGAACATCATACAGAAAACCTGCCTATGACTCCTGGTTCCAAAAACGAAATGGCAGCCATTTTTGTCTTGTGAAATTCACTTTTGGACCATTTAGTAGCTTTATAAATAATTTCAGGTGCCCTGCATTTCAAAAGCCATAGCACTGTACACTGTAGTTTTATGAGATAATTTGTTAAAAAATTTATATCCCCTTTTTTAGTGTTATAACCATTTTAGTTATCATTGATTTGACAATTTGTCTCACCATCAGTCAACAATAGTGCCATAGGGGATAATTTAAGGGCTACATTTTGTTGGAATAAAATACACTGTGCTGTACATTTGTATGCTTCTTGGTCACTCAGAGATTTTATAATTACTTGAGTTTTAAGATAACATGTTTCATCATTTACACACCTGAATCCAATATCTCGAAGAAATTGAACTAAATTGTCTGACGTTCCTACATCTATTGAGCTGCGCATTAATGTGTGACGGCTTTTGTCTGCTACTGGCTCTGTTGTTCCAAGATAGCGTAGGTGCCTAGAACAACAATACATTATGAATTCATTTTTTATCATCATCGACAAATTATGTCATAATTCATTCAAATATTTACATAAAAATTGTTAACGATTACATGTGCCAATATAGGAAGGTGGATGTTATTTCAGAAACATCTACCATAACAAAATAAATTTGTTCAGTGAACAATAAGTTGTTGTGTAATTGTTGAGTTATTTGTAATTGAGTTTTGGGCAGAGGGCTGAGCTGAGTAGACAAAATGCTCTTGGAACTAATGAAATGATGGGACTCACCCACAAAACCAAACTTGAGTCAAAAATAAAATCAAAGGACACCTGTAACATCAAGTAAAATTCTGAGTTTTTTGAGAGACCACTAATGAAAATGTATGCACGATTTAAAAACTTTGGAACTTTACCAGATAAAAACTCTGAAATCCCAGAGTCAACTTAACTATCCCTGATTGTAAGCCACTCGGCATACGTCCCACTATAACTTGGTCGTTTTTAAATCAAACCTAAATTTTACAGTTTTCAGGGAAAACTGTATTGCTAAAATATAATCTGTGAAATTTAATATGTTGCATGCTGATTTAAGTAGTATTTCAGCAAATTAAAATCTTGGATCAATTAAAATCACAAAAAAGTAAAACATCCTGGCAGGAGGCCAAAGTCAAGTGCCTGCTAATATTTATCATCATTGAGTCGTCAGTGGAATATGGAAGGGGCTTATGCGACCAAACAAAAGCACAGTGATTAACGAAAATGATGTGCGCACAAGCCTACTTAGTTGAATGTTGAAACGTGACTCTTGAATTTGAACATTTCCTTTGTTCATTTTGGACTACAACTGTATTTTGAGATAATATTAGTTAAGAATGGAAGGTAGATATTCATCTGGAATGATGCATTGAATTACAATATATGTGTCTTTTTTACCACGTTGTAGTACAAATATTCTATTATCACCCACTTGGTTTCTTGTTAAACTTTATGTATTTTCATAGCAATACAATTACTATTTTACTGGAGTTGTGAATTAGACAAATTAAACAAGGTATTAACATAACAAAGTGTAACTCCTCGTTGCTCACAATAATATCAATCTGAACTCAGATTTTAACTTCTGATAACTTGTAGATGATTTTGAAAATACTGGTCAATTTGGAGCAAGTTGAAAAAATACCTTTTTGAACTTTTTTTCTTGAAAAGGTCACTGGAGGTCAAATCTTAAATATAAAGTACGATTTGAACTTCTGACCTTGAGAATGTCATCGAATCTATAGTCGGATTTGAACTTTTGAAAACTTCTAGATGATTTTGAAAAAAATATTGGTCAATTTGAAGCAAGTTGAAAAAATACCTTTTTGACCTTTTTTAGACCTGGAGAAGGTCAACGAAGGTAAAATTTCAAATCTAAAAAGTAAAATTTGAACTACTGAAGACTTGTAGATGATTTTGAAAAAAACTGAAGTCAGTCTAAACAGTATTTGTTAAGTTAATGGAAGTTTTAAGAATTTGTTTCAGACCGCCAACCGCCGATCACCAACTGCCACACACCGCTCACCAACCGCCGTCACAAATGTGACAATGAAGAGGATTGTTGAGCCGTGGCTCGACCCACAAGGTGGAGCCACGACCCATAAAAAAAGTGAATGAAATATCTGACTCACTGTGTAATGAAAAAATGTTTGTCTAAAATATATATGAACATCTTTGTCAACCAACGATTTATATAAAATAAGAAAGTACAAAGATACATGAAATACCTCTTTAGAAAAAAATCGAATTTATTCTAGGACATAATGCCATAAGTATATGAGGGATAATGTATGATAGTAATAGATGAAGTAGTAATTATGAGTAAATAACAATTGCACAAGCACTCAATCCAGACACAATGATAAATTGAATAAAATTGATATCTTATCCTATTACCTGCAATTCTGCCGATGGTATAGAATTAGAAAGAATGAGGTTCATATATCAAGAAAAGATTGGATACAGTATAGTATAATACAGGGCTACAGTAGAGAATGCTTTCCGGACAGAGCAGGAACTCTATCAGAAAGTTGAATCATAATTATAGTGTTATCGTTTTCAAGTATTTATTTAGTTATTTGTCAAATGTACAATGCTTTTGCTCAAAGTTTTTTTGATTTTTGGACAAAATCAGTGGAAAGAAAAGAAAATTTATGCTATGGTCTGTTGTTCTAAAAGTGTCCTGCCAAGTTTGCATACTGAGGAAAAGAACCACAGAATGGGAGTTCTCAGACAATGTCTAATTTCCTTATCAGTATACTTCAGTTTCTTTGACAGTATTTTCTAACAGATTTCCCTTTTAATGTAATTTTCACAAGGTTTTAAATTTAATTATAGGCAAATAAATCATCAATCAATTTAATTGCAACTCCTAATAGTTTCAACTGTTCTATTGTTAGACAATTATTTTTATGTGTTACTCAGATTTCATTCATTACTTACCATGGGGCTTCTCTGTGTGTAAGTGAACGTCTTGCTCTAAATATCATTGGCTGTTGGTTTGTTGTGTTAGATCCTGAAATATAAACATCATTTAGGGCTACTAGTTTATAGGTTGCAACCATGATATAGTTACAGAGTACATTTTGAGTTTTATGTTGAGTGTGCTGAACCCTGAAATCATGATAAAAAACTATGAAATTGTGGATTTCAATTTCAGGAATGCCAAATGCCTTATGAATATGACACTAAATCTGTATTACAGGCCTGTAGCCAGGGGGGGGGGAGCGGAGGGAGCGGAGGGAGCGGCCGCTCCTCACCCCTGGCCAGGAATTCTTTCAAAATCATGCAGTTTTCACCATTCTGAGCACTTTAAGCATGATGCATAATGAACTATCAAAAAGCTCCTCCTTGGTAAAACCGCTCTCCTCGGTAAATCCTGGCTACAGGCCTGTATTATTATAAATGAACAAGGGTGATATGAATAAATATAAATAGTATTTGACAATCTGGACTACTTTCTATGATAAAAAATGATACATAGGATATTACGTAGAATGCTGTTGATCTGTTTCTACATGGCTAGTAAAATTACTTTGCCATAATGAAAACACACATTTCATTTATACAAATCCTGGTACCTCTAGCTCATGTTATCAACTCTGAAAATGTTATATATATTTTGTTATGATTGCATTTTTGTAATGATTACCTAATGCTTCCAACTGGAAGTGATTTTTCCTGATTAAGGAAAGTCAATCAAGTAAAAGCCCCTTGCATATTACAGTGAATAATAACATGTGTTGAAACATTCAGGTTTCAATGCTCTATTTAACATAAATGATACCTCTGATGTGGGATATGATTAAAGACAAGAGGCATCCGTTTATGATTAATTTTATAATGTTATTAGGACTTACGGATCAGTAAGCAGGTTGCAATATTCATTTTTCCTAGTGGAAATTTGTTTTTTATGATGTTTGCTTGTTGAACAATTATTTCCTTTTTTTGAAAAATTAGCTGATACAGTTGGTGAATTAATTGCCTTTTAAAAAGAATGCATGTGTCCCTTCTCATTTCTACGTATCATTTTGCTTACTTACAGCGAGCAACTCCTTATTTGAGGAACGAAACGATAACTATAAAAAGTTTCTGGCTCTTTACCCCCAACCCCCCTCCCCTTCATCAAGGAACTGCCGACTGTCTACTTGTAAACAGTCTACAAAGTAGGATGTTTATTTGAAATGAAATGATCTTTAATGATAGCATAAACAACATTTCATAACATAAACAACATTTAATAATTATAGGATATTCTATGATTTTGAGGAATATCATTTTTATCTACGAGGTGATATTGATATCTGCACGAGAGAGCAAAGCGAACGAGTGCATGTATTAATATCACCGAGTAGATTAAAATGATATTCTGAAAAAAAATCATAGGATGTTCTTATTATCCTACACTTACAAGGAGTGTACTAAATGTATAATACAAGGGGCGATCCATATATTCTGATAAAAATGCTCTCATTTTGTGATTTTTTGACATATCCCTCTTATTTTTTCAGAAAATGTAGATTATGTAATTACACATACAATGCTAAAATATTATAGCTATATCTTAAATTATCAATGAGATAAGGTTGCCATGGTAACCTGTATTAAGGGTAGGCAGGTCAATTAAATTATAACATATAAATATCATAATAACGTGATCATTGTAAATGATCATAATCATAAATCATGCATTTTCTAAAAGAGTTTGGTATTGTTACTCTTCACTCTTTGTTTGTTGCTAAACAAATGTTTATATGTGCTCACTATAACATCACAACAAATCACAATAGCATTGTAAGACAGAATGGGCCAATTGACATTACATGTTATGAGACACACCAAAAATCAAATTGTCAGATGAGGTTAATGTGGCTGATGCAGAGTGTGACATTAACGGATACATTAGGGAATACAATTAAATTTCTTTTCTTTTAAGAATAAGTTCAGAGACATACATGGACTTATTAAGTGCATGGGCAAGGTGTTATATCTGCATAAAGCATCTATAGGTAGTATTGTAAAGAGGAAGGCATGGTCACTGTTGAAGATCATCCACAATCTGGTTGCAAGAAGAGCTTGCAGACAGAGAATAATACTATGATAAATTGAGATGTTACTCATGAAAAGATAGCTATCCCACTGTATAAATTAGGGCAAGGGCAACAGGGGTATGGAACAGGGGTATGGAACAGGGGTATGGAACAGATCAATGAATAGTTGGCAATGACTGGAAGATGCGTTTGGTCTGCTTAAAATAGGTACCGAGGAATGATTAAATTAACATATTTATCTATTTTTGACGTTATAATTTAACCGACCTGCCTACCCTAAATACAGGTTACCATAGCAACCTTATTTCAAAATTAATTTAAAATATAGCTAAAATAGTAGCATCGTATGTGTAATTACATAATCTACATGTTCTGAAAAAATGAAAGGGATATGTGAAAAAATCACAAAATGAGAGCATTTTTATCAGAATATATGGATCGCCCCTTGTATTATTGCAAAATGAATTTCATGCCAAATAGAGTCAATTTGGCGGGAAATCAACAAGCGGAGTATATCGTCACAATATCCTCCGCATATTGGGTTTTCCGGAGTATATCGTCACGATATCCTCCGCCCTGAGTATATCATTACGATATCCTCCGGTTATTCATTTTGCTAATAAACATCAAATTTATTTTTTAATGTTATACATTTAGTACACTAAGTGTAGGATAATCCATTTCTATCTTCTTAGAAGTACCGCATTATCTCTAATAGGCACACATACTCCAATAAACGCACGTTTGACTTTTCTTGAGAAAAATAAAAATCATTGGGCGATAATAGGGTGAATTCAATCAATTCACTTACCACTATCATTTCTGTGCACAATGAGACATCTCCTCGAGGAGAATTTGAGAGACACACTGTGCATTTATTAGAGAGAATACCGTAGTTGTACAGGGCATTCAAAAAGTATTGCTAATTTTGTTATAACTTTTGTTATCTTGCTTTTGTCTTCATGAAACTTTCATAAGCAACACATACTGTATCTGACCTTATTCTATCCAAATTTCCGGACAACAGAACTAGTATTGACAAAGTTATGGTTACTATGGTAACCATGGTCACGGGTATGCGGGGCAACCTTAACGGTTTACATGATGAATTATTATTATACATCAAATAAACACTTTGATGAATAAAAACTGTTGATATGGTCAAATCTTGATATTGTCAGTTTGAATTGTATGCACATGTATTATCTAACAACGATGAAAAGAGATCTGGGAGGAATATCGCACCAGAATCTCAATCAGCTGATGTTTACAGTGGACACCCCCTAGCCACACACTTTAATGTCCACAAAGAGCAATATCAACCTATAGGTTCCACCAAGATAATGCCCCTGCTCACAGATCCTCTATTGTCCAAAATACAATAACAGAGCTTGGCATGGAAGCATGGAAGCATTGCCCCACGCAGCACATTCCCCAGATAAGGTCCCACCTGAATTTGCTGTATTCACCCCAGTGAAAAGGTGAAAAAAGGATAAGGCAAACTTTGAGAAACTTGTCAATCACAAAACCTGCCATTGACTTTATACATGAGAAAGTTTCCTGAAAATGACCTACTTTTTGTCAAATTTTATCGAGTAAACACCAAAAACTGTAATTCCCACAGCTTTGAAATCTTCAGAGGACATAAGTTGCATATACAGAACTACTAAAAGTTATTTAAAAGTTCTACTTCAACAAAGTGTCTAGTATTTACAGAAAATTTGACTTTTTGACGTCAAAATCCGCAATTTCTCGGAAACTGGGCGAACTTGGGAAATGGCGATGATAGGTCAAATAGGCATTATGGATATGCATAAAATGAATGTGGATATAACTCAATCCGAATAGTAGTTTTAATTTGTGCTGCCAATGTTGACGGATGGACAGACAGACCAACAGACGGACGGATGCCTGGATCCCATAGGCTCACTGTGAGTCAAAAACAACAACATTTTTTTAAATACAAAACTGACACTGTTGGATGTAAATACTAACGCCATCTTTCTTTAAAAATTTGTTTATTGATCATATCAAATAGAAGTGATGCATCATATAACCTTACACTTAATACTTATGGTGAGAGATTTTCAAATGATTAAAGTCTGTTTTTTCTTGTATTATATTTCAATTAGTGCAATTTCACAACTTCTAATTGATTACACATAGAATTTATCTAATTTCTGACACATGATTGAATCCTCCCAAGAGGTGATATGTAAAAATCATTCCATCTCAGTGAGAATCAAACGAATTCTAAATTACATGTCAGAATGCTCTATCATTTTATCTTTTTATCTTTTAGAACAAACTGACCTGTCTACATGAACATGAACACTACTTCTTTGATTTCACTGCAATGAAGTCTAGAGATAAGATAAAAACAATTAATATTTTCACCCATTTTTTCAGGTTTTTTAAACGATTTTATTGTTTCATTTCACATATTTACCCCTGCTATCAATCAAGTTTCAAATAAAAATGTAAAAATAAGTGGAAAATATCAATAATTTCCATTTTATTCCCATTTATGAAAGTAAACAGAGTGTTTAAGTATTCTCAGATTATCAAAATCAAAAGTGTCCCTAAACAAAATAAATAGTGCCATGGGATGGGCACTGGGCTCACATAACATATAGTGATTTCAATCTAAACTAATATCAATATTATGACTTAAAGCCTTGGTACTACATATGAGAACAAATTCAGTAAATAATTTTCTCGCAATAAAAATGGTGGCCATTTCAAATTTCTCAGGCAGGCATGCAGACAAACAGATGGATGGACAAATGGACAGAGCAAATGCCATGTGAGCTAAAACAAGAAAAGACATCTAGATCATTCCTGTAGGCCTATCTGAAGTTTTGATATTCCTTTTTATACAGAATATAGCCTTGTAACTAGGGGTCTCACGATTGCTCCGATTTGCTCGAGCACTCAAGCAATTAGGCATGATACAAGCGTATCAATACTTAACTTGAATATCGGTTAAAATTCTGTATCGTTTTCAACCTCCAAAAACAGCAAAATCATGTTCGAAAGCAGTTTAGATAAGATTGTATCTTCCCATTTTTTCCATTTTGTTATTTTCCTTGTGTAATGTGGCATAGAATGTATCTCCAATATAAGATATCCGGTTTCTTTCAATGAAAAAATCATGGATGGACACTGGACATTAGTTTTAGGAGGACATTAATAGTTTCATACTGTTTCACGAGTTCGGTGGTTGGTACATTTGGCATCTTGATGTCTTGTTTACCCCTATGTTTTTTAAAAATAATAAAAATATTTGTTATACTCTTATATTGCTCGTATCATTTGTATCGTATCGTGAGGTAAATATCGTTGCTCGTATCGAAATTAAAGATAATGTATCGCGGGACCCCTACTTGCAACAGGCTACTTAGTAAGTAAATGAGAAGATATATGGGTGTAGGGGGTTTTCAGTGCTACCTAGTTCACTAAGCAGCTTGATCCAAGAAAGGATCCCAAAATTGAAACACCTAGAAATGAAGTCACACGGGAAAATTCATATTATATACTAGTATTTACTCACTCATGATGTAGACCATCTCATGGTCCTGGAATGATACGGTTCCTGCCTCTACATTATCACAGAGTCCCTTTAATCTGTGTAGCAGCATATCTCTAGAAGAGTCCAGTATACTCCCCTGTAGGAGATACTCCTGTAGAGGGACTATGCTACTGTTGACAGCTGCAAGGATAGACTCCATGCTTCAATCTGGAGACATATAATACATGTACAGAATTAGTGACAACAAAATCCCATGAAATGAGGACCAAGTAATTAAAGACTTGAAGCGAAGGTTGTGTCCGCCATTTGTGACAACGGTATCTCACTTTGCCATTGTCGGGCTATTCCGGTGTGATATCATAAAGGAATATTCCTTGCCAGACCCTTTCTCTCTTGATATGGTAGCTATCACTGGGTACCATCGAATAATTTTGGCAACGTACCGGAGAACGACATTTTACTAAGAAATGGCAATAATTTAGCGCAACATATTTTTTAACTAGAGTTCTACTTTGATTTTGACAGAAGTAAGTATTCCATGCAACGGCTATTTCATTCATGAGTTTGTAGGAATTCTGTTGGAATCCAGTTCTGATCAAGTACTAAGTTATTGAAATCGGCGCAGTCGGACTTTACTCCGAAAGATGGTTTTTCGATTATAACTTTTTACAACATTTAAGTATAGACTTTTGAAAAAAGTACAGAATAGTCCTTATACTATTGAATAATTCTGTTATTTCTGATTCACACGACTCTGATTTGTTTAATTAAAAAAAAGTTTTAAAAATATTACTCAGGAACGAAACCGGAGCTGGGAACGTAACCGGAGCAGATCAGTTGAATTATATAATTTAAAAAAATAAAATATATGATTTAAAGCATACATATATTAATAAATACGCATTCGAACAATCCCGTATGTTTTTAAATTAGTATATGTGCTTTAAATCATATATTTTAATTTTTTTGATTAAATAATTCAACTGATCTGCTCCGGTTACGTTCCCAGCTCCGGTTACGTTCCTAAGTAATATTTTTAAAACTTTTTTTTAATTAAACAAATCAGAGTCGTGTGAATCAGAAATAACAGAATTATTCAAAAGTATAAGGACTATTCTGTACTTTTTTCAAAAGTCTATACTTAAATGTTGTGAAAAGTTATAATCGAAAAACCATCTTTCGGAGTAAAGTCCGTCTGCGCCGATTTCAATAACTTCGTACTTGATCAGAACTGGGTTCCAACAGAATTCCTACAAACTCATAAATGAAATAGTTATTGCATGGAATACTTACTTTTGCCAAAATCAAAATAGAACTCTAGTTAAAAAATATATTGTGCTAAATTATTGCCATTTCTTAGTAAAATGACATTCTCCGGTACGTTGCCAAAATTATTCGATGGTACCCCGTGGCTATAATCATATATATAGTTTCCATATTTAGCAAAACATGGGAAAATGTTTTAATATGGTCAATATTGATCATTTAAAAATCTAGTGCTTATTTCCAGTGAGCTGCCATCTTTTAAGATTTCTTGCAGGAAGTGATGTCATCAACTCTCAACTTCTATAACCTTGCCCATAACAGTATAGGAAAGTAGCACAAAATCACTTCTAGACAAGTGGTCATTACTTTCTGTGCAAAAATATTTTCAGGGCTTGTCAACTTAGAATAAAAGAAGAGATTTTCAGAAAGTTTAAATAAGATACAAAGTTGAAAAAGAACGCAGCCAAACACGACAATGAAGGCAACAACATATCGATGCTGATCTTAGCAGAAATTCTTGGAAATTAAGATCGTCCATTTTGCAAGCTCGGTCAGAGATCAGACACGTGACACATGATCAGTCATGTGAGCTTGCAAAATGGAAGATCTAAATTTCCAAGAATTCTGCTAAAAGATACAAACAAACATTCTGCTAAGATCAGCATCGATATGCTGTTGCCTTCAGTGTCTTGTTTGGCGGAGTTCCACAATGTAACCTAGCAGGATGGATAGAACAAACTGCTAAGTAGACATATGGTAACATTTCATTATTTTAACCATATGAACTGGTTCGGGTCATTACAATATTAGGACCATTTCTCCTCTAGAAAGTCTGTATTTCAACGACAAATCTGGTGTGTTCAAAGATTTATTGTAAACTGAAAGAGTGGCGATGAATGTTTCTTTTACAAAGCAAACTTGAATGAATGCAAAGGATAGCCCAAAGACAGCATAAAATCCAAATGATTCCATTTTCAGATCCGGCGAAGAAGAAGAATTCATATACAATCAAATGCAGGAGTACGCAGTTGGCCTAAGAATTTTGCTCTTAGTCTTATTGTAATAAAATATCTAGAAATCTGCTTTTAGAAATATTAATTGTAAAACATTGCAATAACTTACGCGTGAAAACAATATATTTTGTTTATCAGCGCCTTTCTAACAGGGGGCTGCCATATTTAAAACTCCCGGATGTAAACACGTTCTAAATAAACTTAGAATTAGTATATATGCTATATGATGTTGTAATGACAAAATTACCACTTCGTGTATTCTGGATATATAATTCTAAAATGTTTTCCTTAAAAATTGCATGCTATATAAAGTATTTCATGTTTTTACACATGTCAATTTGGAATGTGTAAATCATAATTTCCGGTTGGAAATATTTTTCTGATGCAAAGTTTATTTCAAATTTCTCGACACTGTCGACGTGTAGATACAGTCGGTAAGCACCTTGTGATGGCTGCCAACAATGTGGTAACCAATTCTAAAACAGAACCAACTGTTGGCATGATAAGTGAGTATGATTTTATCTAAGACTCCAACTCCACAGAGAAATGTTCTATCACATGACATAGCCTAGGGCCAGGGAACATGTATAAAAAATTGAGTCAACATATGTATTTAAACTGTTTAGTCCACCCACTATGGCTCAGTTGCACAGTCAAGGTTACCACTATCGCTTGGCCCTGGGTTGGATTCCTGGTTCAGACAAGTTTGTTTGTGCATTACATGTACTTATGTAATTCTGGGTGTTTGACTGGGAGGTTTACAACTTGTATAAAAGGCTGTGGTATGTTCCTGTATGTCTATGTACCCGTGCACACAAACGAACACAGGGCTCCTCCAAGGAGGTGTTTCTGGCTCTGCCTTAGAGTGTAAAATGTGGAATATACCAATGAGGTATTGCTCGTCAAATATGGCGGTAACCAAGATACAATGCTGAAATGCAATACAATACGTGGACTACAGTTGGAGACATTGATAAACCTCAACCATCAAAAGTTGTCACAATGAGCTATATTCTAAGTTTCATGTCTCAAACCCTCCCAAGCGGTAGAAAGATAATTCCCGTTCACTCTAAGTAGTACACTAAATGAATCCAAAGCTTCATACCTGCAAATGATAGATAAATTCCATAGGCAAAGGCCGATAGGAATAATTTTTAAATAAAGATGGCATGGTGGTCGATCTTTGTTTATTTATAAATATTCTCTTAGAAAAAGATAATACTGGATTCTGTTGGTGCTGCCATCTTTATATCGGCCCAGAACCTATGATAAATTCCTACCAAATCTAACGATAAATCGCCATGTTTGTGTCCCAAGGAGGATTGACTCCCAGAATGCAACATAAGTTAACCTTATTTACTCGTGACAGGTTTCAAAATGGCGGAACAGCATTTTGAAAGCTGGCACATGTCATGTTGCATTCTGGGAGCCAATCCTCCTTGCGGCATATTCAGGCTCCAAAATCACCTCAACATTTGAAGAGTCGGCATTAACATGTGAATATCACTTCAAATTTTTAAGTTCATATTTGTCATGGACACAAATTCCACTATATTTGTACGTTCCGGGACAAGAAAATAGAGCACTCAATTCACTGAGGTAAGAATTTATGACACATGTGACAGAATGTCTTTTTCATAGTGTAGTAATTGGCTCACACAGTGAGCTATGGGATTGACCAGGCGTCCGTCCGTCCGTTGGTCCATCCGTCCGTCTGTAAATTGAAAAAATGGTGAGGATTATAATAGATCCTAATTTACCCTTAGCCCCATCATAATATCGAAACGGGGATATATCAGTATTTTAAACAGTTAAAATACTAATATGAATATTACATTTTTATGTAATTTTTTAAGTGTACATTCCTTCCAAAAGATTTTTTCATTTCCTCTGAATGTTTAACTACAAGATCACAGAGACCCTTCTCATACTTTATTTCCCTGGTGTTGGTTGTTTGGAGTGACTAGATAGTTTGCACTTTTAATGCTCTACTTGCTTTTCCTGCTTTTCCTCGTTTTCCTCTTTTCCTCTTTGCATGCTTAATTCCCTTTGTGGTTTGCACTTTCACCTTTTATTGACTTTGTGTACCAATATTGATGTGGCTGAGTTGGAGTATTTTGGTAAGTGGTCCGAAAATGACTTTAAACTGTACAAAATTTTTCCGGTTTATACACATGGTGTATAGTCTAAATAGTCCATTAATCCCATACCCTAACAGGTTAAACTTTTTTTTTTTAATAAAATATATATACATATAATTTTTTAAATAGTTTAAAATACTGAGTAAATGGTATAGATATATGAATAGAAAAATAAAAAATGAAATAAATAAAAAATGTTAACTATAAAAATGGAAAACAAATGAAAAATGTTAACTATAAAAATACACCGTACACTGAAGCGTTCATGGACTTGTTAATATAGTTCAGGGACCCAGTTATGTCTTATTTATTGAATCCATGCAGGGAAGGGGAGTGTTTCCATGGACTAAAACGTTAAACCCACCTATGCCCAGTCACAAGCCTGAGGAACCTGCTTTTATATCTAATGTGGATTTTTATCTTACCAATCATGACTTAAATATTAATATGGGTATTTCCTATAATTAATATATACTGGATTTTAACTTACCAAATATGACTTCAATATTAATATGGGTTGAAACCTATAATAAATTAAATACTGGATATGACAAATAAATAAAATCAATTATAATCTACCTACATGATGTAGATATCCAAATGTTGGTCTGAATTTATCTTTGTGGAAAGATTGTATGCTTCAGTTGCTCTTTAACAAAACATGTGGGACAGTGTATCTATATATTACAAGACGTCCGTCAACATTGGCCGCACAAATTAAAACTGCTATTCGGATTGAGTCATATCCACATTCATTTTATGCATATCCATAATGCCTATTTGACCTATCATCGCCATTTCCCAAGTTCGCCCGGTTTCCGAGAAATTGCGGATTTTGACATCAAAAAGTCAACTTTTCTGTAAATACTAGACACTTTGTTGAAGTAGAACTTTCAAATAACTTTTGTCCTCTGAAGATTTCAAAGCTCTTGGAATTACGGTTTTTGGTGTTTACTCTATAAAATTTGAAAAAAAGTAGGACGTCATTTTCAGGAAACTTTCTGATGTATAAAGTCAATGGCAGGTTTTGTGATTGACAAGATTCTTAAAGTTTGCCTTATACTTGATCATTTCCTGTAATAAATTACATCATTAATAGATTTAAGCATTCCCTACATATTTCTCAATATATGTCAGCATCAAATTTTACCGTTTTTGAAATATTTGACGTCAAAAACAGTAAAAATAAGTTATTTTTCAACTTGCTTCAATTTGACCAACTTTTTTTTTGAAAATCATCTACAAGTTGCCAGGAGTTCAAATCTGACATTAGTTTAGACATTAGTTACTTGACCTTCAGTGACCTTCGAAAGGTCAAAAAAAGTTGTTTTTCAAATTGATTTTTGGATGTAAATTTTGGTCAGCTTAATCACAAAAGACCTTACTGAGCTCTGAATAAGTAGAATTTTCAAGGTCAAAGGTCATCAAAGTAGGTCACATAACTATGCTATCTAAGTTTCTCAAAGTTCGAGACTACAAATCCAAATCAATATTTTTGTTTGAAAGTCAGGATATAAATTCCTCTGAAGGTTCCAAACTGTGAGCATAGGACCGTGGGTCCTTCATATCTTTATTTATGTTCACCACTTTATGTGAAAAAAAACTTATTGCATTATGGTTCGATTCACTTATAAAGCTTTGCCAAGTAACCAATTATCACACACAAAAATAAAGATCAATCCTTTGTTCAACTTTTGTGCATATATATTAAATTTTACACTGATCACCTTTAGCTTTAATGCACCTTTGAATGCGAACTCCCGGCATTTCAAATTTTATCTGGACCCACCACCATCTTGTTTTGAAGATGCAGTGGATGCCAATAACGACCCATTACATTAAAATTTTCTAATGATTTAGGGTTTAAGTGATACCAGGAGTTAAATCAATAATTAATATGATTGCCGCTAATCGTAAATGTAGTTAGAATCTACGAAAAGTTTTTAGTTTGGTTAATCACTAACCGGAAGTTTAGGATTTTCCATGACACAAATAAAAACGTTATCTCAGACCACATTTGAACTATAAAGCTTTATTATGCCAAGCACATCTACTGACATTATTCAGATTTTAGATTTGGACAAAGAGTGCACTAATGTACCTAGAAAGGAGTGTGAAAAATATTTTTTTGTAAAATGGCAGTATGGCAAGTGATTTTAGTCAGTCATATATTGAACCATGAATACTTTCTGGGCATAAATACAGTGTTTTTTATTACAACAATATGTTTCCTTTCAAGTAAAGTACCCATGGTGATAAAAATATCAATTGAACAATTTGAAAATTTATAAATAGGGACCCCATGTCAACATTTTTTTCAAAATGTTGAACCTATTTACTCAAAAGAGGATCTTCTTTTTCTGGTTTTTATTGCCTGAAAAGATTATTCAACAATGGGTCTAAAACTTCTTCAAAAGTAGAATGGTATTGAAAGTCTAGTTTTGAAGATATCAATTTTCGATGACCAAAATTATGCTGAAAACAATAGATAGCACGAGTTTTCCCTATGGGAAAATAACATGGGATATGTGGTTTTTAACTTTAACGGATTTCAATACGCATCCCGTTTTCAGAAGTCGTTAATATAGTGTAGAAGAAACTTTTGATATGTTTAAATTGAGAAAAACAAGATCCTCTTTTTAAACAATGAGCCTAATATTTTTTTAAAAAGTGCAAAGGTGGGGTCCTAATCCATAATTTTTCAGAGAGTTAGAATGATATTTTACTATTCATGGGGACTTCACTTGAAAGAAAATATATTGTTTTAATAAAAAACATTGTATTGATGTATAAAATCACTTCCCATACTGCACATGGACCTTTGTTTTTATACAATTTATACATCCATGAGCTAACTCATGATATTTTTCTTTACTGTGAGTCAAATGCTTGCCTTTTTTTATGGAAACAGGCCTCAGATAGAATATTTTTCTACAAATTGTAGGCTAGATCTAGATTGATTTTATGATCAAAAAGTTATCGAAAAATAAGGAAATTATATGATACTCACTGGGTAACTAATTACCAGTATTGAATATATTTTATTACCCCCTACGTTTATCCGTTGCTTGGACAGTATTCCTGAGAACATTCCGAGAGATTGCCCATATGATTACAATATGGGAGAAAAATTCTTAAGGTCTCTGGGTAGTAGACCAGGATCACAATGGTCATGGTTAGAATGACCTCAAAAATGATAGGCCTAAAATACCTACCTCAATAAAGTCCTGAGTATTTAAGAATTCTTCTTATTTAGTTGAATTACCAATCGTATGGGTTAATTTGCAGAACAGGGAAATTTTTGTTTTGAATAGCAATATTTGCATGTTATTTAAAGGGGCAACAGTGCCTGTAGAGAGGAAATAGGAACATTTTAACTTTTTCTGATCTATCAAGGCAATATTTTGGCTTAACATCTTCTTTGACATACCTATTTTCTTAAAATGTGTGGATAAACTATCAATTTCAACATTAAGAAGTGTAAATTCAATTCAAAGCTTCGAAAAGGAGAAATCCACTTTAATATCTTGAAGATCAACCATGTTTCAAGAGCAATATAAGCTGAAATAATGTTTATCTAGGGAGTTTCTTTGTAGATAATAAAAATAGATGTGATATCCAAACTAAATATATTTTGACACTGGTCCATGATCTTTGAATGGCCCATCTGCACTAATTGTTGCACCTCTTATTTCCTTATTACTTATTTCAACCATCAACATTTCTCCTAATGGAACGGCTCTGCAGCACCAGAGCCAGATGTTATTATGGGGATTCCCCTTCTAAAACCTATCTTATCTTGAAAAGAATTGTGATCTTTCTCCATGAAACACAAAAGTTTCCTCACTCTCCTGATTATATAATTTGGGATTCAACTAGTGTACATAAAATTTTGAAATACTCAGGAATTTATTGAGATTGGGCGAAAAAAAGTTACTAATTTTCAAGAAATGCAAGTTTAAAGTAAATTTTACAAACACCAATGAACTTACTAATTTGCAACTTTATAAACTTTCGAGGAATAAACCCCTGGATGATGAAGGAATGATTTGAGAATATGTTAGGATGAACTTTTACAGGCCAATACAAAATATTGAAAGCCCTTCCATTAAGTATTTCTAAATTATTAATATTTTCCAGTAATTGGAGATGAGATACTTAAGGGCCAAGTGAAAGACAGTAACTCCCATTACCTTTGCAAGAGACTTTACAGACTTGGAGTAAGAGTGAAGAAGGTAAGCCAGAGATTGCGGTAGAATGGTTATGAAAAGAGCCGATAATATCATTACTTTGAAGAATCATTGGACATCTATTGTTGCCATACCAATGTGAAGAACAATAAGAATGCAACTAATATTTACTGTACATGTACATGTCAAGTTATTCTTAATTAATTTGAAGATTAATCAATTACTTTTTTACTAATTGTTCAAGTAAAAAATTCAAGTTCATTGAATTTGCTTGTGACATTTTTCCTTCACCAAATTAAATAATTAAGTCTGTGACTTTCACGTACATCTGTAATATACATGTATGTATATTAATCAGAAATACCAGATTGGCAATGGCTTGGCATATTTATTTCCTTAGATATCTGTTGTAACTGATGACCTAGATGAAATAGCCAATGAGGTGAAAGAATTTTCTGCCAAGTACACCCACGTCATCACATCTGGGGGTATAGGACCTACACATGATGACCTCACATTTGAAGGTATACTTCATTGTCCACTCGTACTGTTCATTTCCCATTCATGTTACCATCAAGTTTATTGCCCATTCATGATCCATTATCCACTCATACTGTTTTTTCCCTCACTCACGTACATGTAGTTCTTTTCATTCATATACATGTAGGTCATTTCTTACTCATGTACTTCATTGCTTACTTATATAGTTCATTGCCCACTCATGTAGTTCATTGCTCACTCATGTAGTTTATTGTCAACTCATTTTACTATCTTTATTGTCCACTTATAATTTCGTATTCACTCATTTAGTTTTTTACTGGCTCATACATTTATTAACTCACTCCTGTAGTTCCTTGCCCACTCATGTAGTCCATTTCCCATTCATATAATGCATTGCCCTGCAGAAAGTACAATTAACCAGAATATAAAAAATAGGTTTTAGGTCACCCAAACTAGATTCATACAAAAACAATTTTGAAGTCAAAACTGAGTTGAGAGATATCTTTAATTTCTTTAATTTTGAGGTGGGCAAAGCTGAAATAAGAGGTCTTTTTCAATGAAATATTGAAAAAACCAATTAAGGTGCCATGGAAGTTAACAGGAAATGACAAAACAGGAAGTGACAAAGCCATGCTGGATTTTGAAAATTTCTTGAAGCAAGATATCAGAGTTCTGTTTGGACCTCTAGTCAGTTTTACGAGTTCCACATATCATTTACATGACTGGGAACACAAAGGAAATGGTCAGAATGACCATAAAAATGATGAAATAACCTTTTCAGCCCTCTGAAAATGTGACTGAAAAATAGCTAAAAGTAGGTGTTCAGGAAAGGTCACTGAACAGAATCTTTCGATTTTTTCAGAAAACGTGTCCAATATATTGCTCTAAATGATACAATCTTTGAAATTTTAAAAAATTGTCTGAAACATTAATGGCTGTAGTAAAAAGGTAAATCGATCAATTTTCGATTCAGTTTTTTTCATTTTTTTCTTTTTCTAAGAATGATATCAATTTTTTTTAAATTGTATCATTTTAAGCAATATATTGGGCAGATTTTCTGAAAAAGTCAAAAGATTCTGTTCAGTGACCTTTCCTGAGCACCTACTCTTAGCTGTTTTTCAGGCACATTTTCAGAGGGCTGAAAAGGTTATTTCATCATGTTTATGGTCATTCTTACCATTTCCGTTGTGTTCCTGGTCATGTAAATGATATGTGGAACTAGTTAAACTGACTGGAGGTCCAAACAGAACTCTGTTATCTTGGTTCAAAAAATTTTCAAAATCCAGCATGGCTTTTCACTTCCTGTTTTGTCATTTCCTGTTAACTTCCATAGCACCTTAATCAAACTTTTTCTAGAAATAAGTGTGAATTATTATGAAAAATAAAAAGGTGCTGATTTTATGCCTACCTGGTACAAACAAAACTCAAATGTTTACTGAAAGTGTGACAACTAGGTTTTTGTGAAAAGGAAAAATTTAGACAGAACATCCGAACCTCATCTTGTGAACTCTGGGTGTGGTTTAGTAATTTAGTTTATAATCAAACGAGTGTTTAAAATACATATTTATGAAGTAATTTCCAAGTTAAAAAGTCCAACAGTTCGTGAAACGTTATGTAGATTTTACAGGTACATTCAGCATCAGGAATATTTAAGTTTTAATTAGTCAGGGTGCCATTAACAGAAGCTTCATAAAGTTAAGAATTCGTAAAACCCATTGTTCTCTAACTGTGACCTCATTATATCCATGGTTACAACAATTGATTTACGAATTCGTAACTTTACTAAGTTTCTGTTAATGACCCCCAGACTCAGAATAAAATTATGCTTTAGTTATAAGAAAGTGGCAGTCTTCAGTTTCAATATATGCCAAAAATTCAAAATAATTTGGTACTTTATTTCATGCCTAAAACTGCTCTAACATGGAGATAAAACAAGAAATTGTTGGTATTGTGAAATATCACACTTAGTTCAAAGATCATTAAAACAACTATAACAATAAAAATATAAACTAACATGATTTCATAACAAATTAGGTTATGGAATGACATTGCATTTAGAGACATATGCGAAGCGAAATAATTACACTGACATATGGAGTCAACTATGACTATGTCTCAATACAGAATCTTTGGATGATCAGTCAGGTATACTGTCATATAATCTGTGATGTCATACATCAATATATCCAGTAACTTAGGAGATTGGAATACATGAGAATGGACTACAAATGTCTAGATTCAGTAGTAATGAAGCAGTATTTTTACATTTTATGCCTAGTGATCATTTTTTTAATAATTTCTGAGTAGATTATTAATTTTATATACATCTATTATTTATGCATTTGGTCACAAACAAGATTGACAATTGGTATTTTATACAGGAAACAGGAGAACATTATTTGCTTCCAGTGTAATATAAATTCAGTACAGAGTATGTATGCACCTTTTATATATGTTAATTTTTATTTTGAAATACAGCCAATATCTTCAAGAGATTTTTAATTTGCAATGTATTCGTTTCATATTCTAGGAGTTGCGAGAGCGTTTGAAGAGCCAACCTATCACCATCCAGAGCTTGTGAAATTATGTGGTAAATTCTTCGGAACAACAGATGTGACATCACCCAAGTTAAAACTAGCATTGGTGAGGTTTCCTTTATATTATCTAAATAACACAAATAACCTTGTTCATAAATAAACCCTAAATCAAATAAAAACTTATTTATTAATGACATTCAGTGATGAAGTGGTGTACTGTTGAATGGTAAATGTTTACGCTTCAGTAGTCACTGATTTCAAGGACTAAGAAGAGCATACAGTTGAATAGTACTCCAAACAGATAGGATGTGACATGAAATAATTACGATCTTCATCTTTTAATATCTAAAATTTAGTCTAAGTGGTATCATATTCGAAATATACACAAAATTACTTTAGTTTTAAACACTTGAACTGTATCAACTTGGAAATTTAATTTGGTGATGTGATAACTACAGTCTAGGTTTTAACAAGGTTTTAGGTTTTAATTTAAAATTCGACGATTCCATAGACGATTCCATAGGCTCACCATGTGAGCAAAACAAATGCCATGGGAATCACTGAAATCATTTGTGAATGAATTTTTAAAACAATTTGTCTGGGGTACTATTCAACAACAGGATATTGCATACTACATATTTTACACTTAGTTAAATTACAGATAATGCACAATTTATTATAAGGTTAATTTGATTTCATTCTCAACTCAGTAAACAAATAGCAGCAAGTAAGAGAAGCCATCATTGAAAAGAAATAGAATCCACACATATGTGGGAAATAAAGATACAATCATTTATCAGGCCCGTAGCCAGGATTTACCAAGGGAGGGTTCACTTTTTATCGCACTTTGAAAAAGTGCTATATTGTCGTCGTCTTGTGCTGTTGGGCGGGCGGGCGGGCAGGCGGGCGTGCGGGCGGGCGGCACATAAACCAAATCTTGTCATCAAATTTCCAGGATAACTGCTTACCTGTTCAACTTAAAATTTTTACAGATGCAAGAGCAGACTAGTACCTAGATCTGGTTAGGTTAAGGGCATGCTGGGTAAACTATGTGGCGGCCATTTTGAATTTTTCAACAAATCTTGTCATCAAAATTCCAGGAAAACCACTTAACCGTTCAACTTGAAATTTTTACAGATGCAAGAGCAGACTATTGCCAAGATCTGATTAGGTTTTGGGTATGCTGGCTGAATTACATGGTGGCCATTTTGAATTTTTCAATTTGGCGGCCATTTTGATATTTTGGCCAGGGGGGGGTTCGCTCTAACCCATCGAACCCCCCCTGGCTACGGGCCTGATTTATAGTTCTATTATTGATATAAATCTTTAACCATATGCATTTCATTTATGAGATATAAGAGCCATCATATCCTATGAAGATAAAAAAGATTTTTGGTTCAAGACGGCTGATCTTTCATACAGGGGTGATCATAAAATTTTCAAGTTTCTGAATTATACCAGGTGCCTAAATCAGCCAAGACGAACTATGGAATAAACAAACAAACTGGAGAGCAGCTTATTTACCCGCTTGTCTCAGTACGGAATGTCTATGTGTTCCCAGGCGTCCCACCTCTTTTAGAACGAGCATTCGATAGTCTTGATGTAAGTTTTTTCTGTTATACTTTACGGCTAATCAAGATTAACAATTAAATGAAATTTGAATCATGGGCTTTCAACTAGATATAAATAATTTATACAGTAATTAAATATAAAACATCATGTAAGTACATATGTACAATATACATGTAAATAATATCTTGTCTCCCTGGCTAGACCTTACTTATCTGTAATAATTTTGTCTATTATACATATATGTATAACATGTAGACTTAAAGAATCTAATCTTATCATGTGTAATATGGACATACACATGTACAATACGCTTAAATACCTACATGCTGTATGAAACTCTTTCAAATTATTTTACCATGTTCATCCTATTTCACACTTTTTCACAAACACCTGAATTAAACTTTTGATTTTCAAACATTACTATACATTTTAGAGCTCAGACAACCTGTGTGGGTATTTCATTCCCAATTAATCCCCCTGGGTTTTAACTAGTAAATTGAAGCCATATATTATGGTATTTACACTTGTTCACACTGATTTTGTTGAAGGAGCTGTTTCTAAACCCTGGGACAATATTTCACACAAAAGTTGTATACATCGCCAAGGATGAGGTGTCCATTACACCAATTCTGAACCAAGTCAACGATAGATTCAAGAAGGACGTCATATTAGGCTCGTATCCTGACTTCTACAACAGGTATAATCTAGGCTATGTGACAATATATTTGCTATTAGCTGGGTGGATATTTGTTGTTATGACATTATATTGCATTACTTGTTTCTCAATTGTTCAACAAATCGCTGAACTATTCTTATACTAATGGACCGAAACATACAATGTATATTATCATAAGAACTTGCATATTATTTCTAATCTGATTTTCTATATATTAAGATATCATGCTATTTTGAAATGAGCTAGAGCAGGGGCTTTGATTGTGATTAATAGGCAAAATGATAGTAATTAAATATTTTAACATGGAAGCAGTTGCAAAATTCATTGTTTTGCAAAATTTATTGTTTTTTAACAGAGTGGAAAATGATAAAATTAACATGGACCCTGTTCATTATATTCAACAGTTTAACCTATTGAAACATGGCACTAATAGTAGGACAGGCCATAACCTATTTTTATTTTTACAAGACAATTTTAAAAAACAAAGAATAAAAACTTTTGTGATTTTCAATATGAGAGAGCTATAGAAAATCACCCGTTGCCTGATGGTACTGAAATCCCTACAGATCAAGGTATAATATGTGCAGTAGAAATGTGCCTATTACAAGTATGTCAGCTATTAATAAGTATTCATTTGAAAAACATCAGGATCAATTGGACAACAAATATTGAATTGAAAAAAAGATTTCAAGGTGTTAAGTTGAAAGAGATGTTCAAATAGACAGGTTTTCGCTGTATTACAGGCTTTTCTCATATGACTAACCAAGATACAGCCATCTTTACCCCATGCAAGATATTGCCATCTTTCATCCTAAAAAGTCACACGTGTAAGATGAGATTTACTTGTGACATCACTGGTCTATAAACATCAACAACATAGCAACAAATACACTGTTGCTAAGAGTATCCATGCTCATTCTACAAAACTAAGCTGTGACGTCATAACAATGGAGCTTTGTTGCCTCGTGTATCCATGTATTTTCTACAATATTGTTTTGACGTCATAACAATTGAAAGATGAAGTTCCATTAATCTGAAGCTATTTTGCACCCAGTTTTGTCATGAAAAAGTGAAAATAAAGCATAATACAGAGTCATATGAGAAAAACATTCGCTTTGATAATGTTTCTTTATCTCGTCTGAGACTCGATAAAGAAGAATTATCAAAGCTCATCAAGAATGGACGATCTTGCACAGGTACTCATATAAGAACCTCTATGTATACAGGCTTTAAAATTATAATTTCAGAGAAAATCCTGTTTGATTTCTTTGGAATAATTTTAATCGTTCCTTCAAGTTTAATATGAAATAAACATGGGAGGATTTTCAATCTGTTGCCTTTAAGTGAACATCCCATAATGTATCAGGGTATGATAACAAATACAGATAAACATAATGTTATCTAATCAAAGTAAAGGTTGCATTATATGCTACATGTATATATCTAATGCTATCATTTATTTACAGCTATTACAAAGTGAAACTGACTTTAGAGTCTCAGAATATGGAGAAACTATCTGAAGCTAGGCAGTATATAGAAGACCATATTGGAAAAGGTAAAAACATTTATCTTTTTTGAACCACATGTAACATATTTCTGTTTGCTGAGCTGAAAGAAAGTCAGTGGGATGCGTTTCAATTGATGATTGATCCAGCGTTTGTCTTGCCAACTGTAGTGAGGGCAGAGCTGCTAAACTTTAAAATTGTCTGACTTATATAGAGGCCAGTTCAGAACTTAACTTTGTGCTCGGAATAATGAGTTGCTGATTTGGGTTCAGTCTTAAGCGAAGTATTTCCTCTGTGTTGCATTGAATCATTATACAAGGGTGACAATACTCAAGATTATCTTAGATGTATCAGTCCTCAGATATCTTCATGTAAAATGATTCAACAATGTTGTACATTTCAGAGCAGTTGGTTGATTACGATCCCCATCCATTAGAGGATGCCTCTGAAAGGATATACAGAACAATAGAAGGCTCTGGAACTGATCCATTAGACATAAAGATCAAATCGGCAATAAGAACTATAGAAGAATGCATTGAAAAATACAAGTAAGATAAGTTCGATTTTAATCATTTTTGGAAGAATCGATACAGGGAAAATATTAACCAACTCATCCTTTAATATAAGTTACAGATAATGTCTTTCCCCACATTGAAATCTCTGAGGTGCAGCACTTCCATAACACAAAAATGCTCCTCCATTATTTCTGTGTGGCAGCTAAAATCCTCCTTAAAAACATAAAAATCCTTAAAATGTTGCACAAAAATTACAAAATCCGAAAATGTTGCACTAAAAATTACAAAAACTGAAAATATTGCACAAAAAATTACAAGATTTGAAATAAAGAGACAGCAAAATAAATCCCCCGCACAAAAAAATCCTGGGGAGAGCACTGAGTGTGAAGATTTGAATCCTCTGAGTTTCCAATTAGTTGTGGATGAAGTATGTTTCCCTGTATATGGAAAAATATGGATTTATGTTAAGGAAAAAAATATTTCCATTTTTGAGATTTGAACCCAAGACTTCCTGGTTGGACTTTCATTGAAAAATGATCTGGTGATTTTAATTTAGAGGCTTTTAGTGGCTTTTGGCGTCCCCATTGCATGGTCTTAAATGTGGATGGTAAAAGTGCTGGATAGCATCAGGGGTTCTTTAATTGGCCCCTTGTCATTGAGACAAGGAATCAAATTAATTCAGTTTCCAAATGTGAAATGTGCGAAGTAACCCCTTAATTTGGCCAGCACAAAAGTACACTCTAAAAGTAGGACTTGATGATGATCAACCAATATTGTTGATTTTTTAGAATATCAATTTTGTTGTTTCCTTGGACTAATCCTAATATTAATATTTTCTCTTTATTACGTGTTGCATTTCATTTCCTATAATTGCTCGATTTATTCATTATTTATTCAGCACTATTGACCTTGATGTAAACAAACAGTGCTGCCATCTTTCAATATAGAGAATCTTTAAATGGATATAGAATGGATTAAATAGAATACCCTTATAATCCACCTTGCATTGCAAACTAAATAAATAATTTCCAATATTTTGTAAATGACTGTACAAAAAAGAACACCTACAAAACTCTGGATTATTGGCAAATGATGATACAAACTAACGCTCAACACAAACCATTATAAGAATAAACCACAATTTTGTGGAATTGGGTCTGTTACAATGAACATGAGTAATATTTTAAGTTGTATAATATGAGTTTAAAAATGGGGTGTCTGTTATAATTCCATATTTATGTACATGTGCTGTATTTCCAGGCTCTCTGAGGTCTGTGTAGGCTTCAATGGAGGCAAGGACTGTACTGTGTTGCTACACCTTTGCTATGCTGTTATAAAGAAAAAATATCCTGAATTTAACGACAAAATACAATCACTGTATATACGTAGAGGGCTACCATTCCCTGAACTAGAACAATTTATAGAAAAAGGAGTAAAAACGTAGGCTTTTCTTTATTTTTACAATACATGTATATTGTAGATAGATATCAAGATTTTGAATTCAAAGGTGAGGATACAAGACATGAGTACTTTAAATCATCCACAGTCCAAGATACGACCAATGATACAATACATTATAGGTAAAATAGTCTGGGGGTACAGGGGGAAGGGGCTACAGCACTGTAACTGAGGTCAAGTAAGAGTTGAAAGTCTGTTGCTGAGAACTCGATCAGATGAAATACAATAACTGTATGATGAAATATCGCATGAGAAAATCACACGCAAGAGTGAATATCCAACTATCAAGCTTACCTGTGTAGTTAAATTCAGTTGTTAGGTAATATGCTTCAAAATAGAATGTTGAATCTAAAATGACTTGACTATTCCATATGTTTCAGTTATAATTTGGACTCAATAAGCTTACTTGGTAGAATAAGAGACTCACTTGGTGAGCTGAAAACATCCCACCCTCACATAAAAGCTGTCCTTATGGGTACCCGGGCAACTGACCCTTATTCAGGTATGTAGAGAGTGATCAAGGTATACAGAGTGGGATGATGTAGTCGTTTTAGATGATGATCTCCATTACAGTTGAAAACAAGGTACCCTGGTTGCTTGAAATGGTGTAATCAGTCCTTGGCTCTATTAGCATGTAATTTCTTACCTTTTCCTGTAAATCTAAAAACTTCATACCTTTCACTAGAAGATACAGAGCTTTTAACTTGTTAGTGTAATATATATTTTATTTCAGAGCATTTAAAAAGCTTCAGTATGACTGATGCTGATTGGCCACAGTTCATGCGTGTTAGTCCTATATTAGACTGGTCATATAGCGATGTTTGGACATTCCTACGCAGATTTAGTCTTCCGTACTGTATACTTTATGATAGAGGGTAGGTATTTAAAGGGGCAATAAGGACTGTAGAGAAAATAGGAAAGTTTTTTCATTTTTTCTGAGCTATCAAGGCAACATTTGGTTAACCATCTTCTTTGACATACCTATTTTCTTAAATTGTATGGATAAATTATCAATTTCAGCACTATATAACACTATATATGTATGCCCATGTATATACAATATATATTATTTCAGAGGTACCATATATGGCAATTTTCAAAATATCGTCAGTATTATAGTGCTTTTTGCCCCAGTATTGAATGAGTTAAGAAGTGTAAATTCAGTTCAAAGCTTCAAAAAGGGGACTTCCACTTTTATTTTTTAAGATCCACCATGTTTCAAGAGGAATATCAGCTAAAATAATGTTTATCTAGGGGGTTTCTTTGTAGATGATAAAAATAGATGTTAGACTTGATGATATATCCAAACTTAAATATATTTTGACACTGGTCCATGATCTGCACTAATTATTGCACCTTTAATGGGACAGTTCTTCACTGTAAACTGATATGATAGACATATGCTGCCTGGGATAATATTATTATTGTTATATTTAGGATTTTGAAACTACTCCAGAACTGAAAGTAATTCTATTCAGAAAAAAATCATATTCAATTACTTTTATAGACAAGCATGTATGTTTTATACAAACTGACTGACTAATTTTACATATGGCCCCTGAATAAAGTTTGAAATGATGATTAGTAACCCCTAATAATTAGAAGTAAATACTGTGACTAGGTACTGAAAGCCTGCAATGAGTTTGGGGAGTTTTTTATCTATCGTAGGATGGAATGGAAAAGCTCTACACCCACTTATTATATATATCAGATATTGACATTTCAATGGCCTCTAGGTCAGCAAAAAATCACATTACCATACAGTTTTTATGTCACCACCAAAAGTGGTGACATATTGTTATGGTCTCCGTTTTTTTGCGACGGCGTCCGGCGGTTGGCGGTTGGTGGTTGGCGTCCGGCGGTTGGCGTCCGGCGTCTGTAACAATTTCTTACAACTTCCTATAACTTAACAAATACTGTTTAGACTGACTTCAATTTTTTTCTAAATCATCTACATGTTCTCAGAAGTTCAAATCTGACTTTAGATTTGACATTTGACCTTCAATGACCTTCTCAAGGTCAAAAAGGTCTTTTTTTTCAACTTGCTTCACATTGACTAAATTTTTTTTCAAAATCATCTACATGTTCTCAGAAATTCAAATCTGACTTTAGATTTGACATTTGACCTTCAAATCTGACTTTAGATTTGACATTTGACCTTCAATGACCTTCTCAAGGTCAAAAAAGGTCAAAAAGGTCTGTTTTCAACTTGCTTCAAATTGACTAAATTTTTTTTTCAAAATCATCTACGTGTTCTCAGAAATTCAAATCTGACTTAAGATTTGACATTTGACCTTCAATGACCTTCTCAATGTCAAAAAAGGTCAAAAAGGTCTGTTTTCAACTTGCTTCAAATTGACTAAAAAAAATTTTCAAAATCATCTACGTGTTCTCAGAAATTCAAATCTGACTTTAGATTTGACTTAAGATTTGACATTTGACCTTCAATGACCTTCTCAATGTCAAAAAAGGTCAAAAAGGTCTTTTTTCAACTTGCTTCAAATTGACTAAATTTTTTTTTCAAAATCATCTACATGTTCTCAGAAATTCAAATCTGACTTTAGATTTGACATTTGACGTTCAATGACCTTCTCAAGGTCAAAAAAGGTCAAAAAGGTATTTTTCATCTTGCTTCAAATTGACTAAATTTTTTTTCAAAATCATCTACATGTTCTCAGAAATTCAAATATGACTTTAGATTTGACATTTGACCTTCAATGACCTTCTCAAGGTCAAAAAAGGTCAAAAAGGTCTTTTTTCAACTTGCTTCAAATTGACTAATTTTTTTTTTCAAAATCATCTACATGTTCTCAGAAATTCAAATCTGACTTTAGATTTGACATTTGACCTTTAATGACCTTCTCAAGGTCAAAAAAGGTCAAAAAGGTCTGTTTTCAACTTGCTTTGAATTGACTAAAAAAAATTTTCAAAATCATCTACGTGTTCTCAGAAATTCAAATCTGACTTTAGATTTGACTTGAGATTTGACATTTGACCTGCAATAACCTTCTCAAAGTCAAAGAAGGTCAAAAAGGTCTTTTTTCAACTTGCTTCAAATTGACTAAATTTTTTTTCAAAATCATCTACGTGTTCTCAGAAATTCAAATCTGACTCTAGATTTGACATTTGACCTTCAATGACCTTCTCAATGTCAAAAAAGGTCAAAAAGGTATTTTTTCATCTTGCTTCAAATTGACTAAATTTTTTTTCATAATCATCTACATGTTCTCAGAAATTCAAATATGACTTTAGATTTGACTTTTGATTTGACATTTGACCTTCAATGACATTTGACCTGCAATAACCTTCTCAAAGTCAAAGAAGGTCAAAAAGGTCTTTTTTCAACTTGCTTCAAATTGACTAAATTTTTTTTCAAAATCATCTACGTGTTCTCAGAAATTCAAATCTGACTCTAGATTTGACATTTGACCTTCAATGACCTTCTCAAAGTCAAAGAAGGTCAAAAAGGTCTTTTTTCAACTTGCTTCAAATTGACTAAATTTTTTTTCAAAATCATCTACGTGTTCTCAGAAATTCAAATCTGACTCTAGATTTGACATTTGACCTTCAATGACCTTCTCAATGTCAAAAAAGTTCAAAAAGGTCTTTTTTCAACTTGCTTCAAATTGACTAATTTTTTTTTCAAAATCATCTACATGTTCTCAGAAATTCAAATCTGACTTTAGATTTGACATTTGACCTTTAATGACCTTCTCAAGGTCAAAAAAGGTCAAAAAGGTCTGTTTTCAACTTGCTTCAAATTGACCAAATTTTTTTTTCAAAATCATCTACATCTTTTCAGAAGTTCAAATTTGACTTTACAAGTTTTCAGAAATTCAAATCTGACTAGAGTTTGAACTCATAATATTGTGAGCAACTAGGTGGTGACATTTTGTCATGTTAATGCCTTGTTAAAATTTTGATATTCATTGTTGATCATTAAGATCATGAAAAAGTTGAAAATTATTTCAAAAATTGTAAACATCCACTGAACATGCTTAATAGTGATTGCATAAATTTTTAACTAGTGTATCAAGATATTTCAATTTTTATTCCAGATATACATCTCTGGGGAGTATGGAGAATACACATCCCAACCCTAAGCTGGCCTGGAGAGATGAGAAGGGGATAACACACTATAAACCAGCATATCTACTAGAGGACTGGCACACTGAACGTGACGGCAGGAATTAATAATGGACATACGTGCAATTATTAGTATTTATTCTTATCGATATAGATGTAAAAGACAGTTGTACATTCGACATAGTAAATCCATGCATTTTTATCTCATAGTAAATAAACTATGAACATTTATAATGATAGGAATATGGTAATTTCAATATTGGTCGGATTTTCCTAGACCATAGTACCATCTACTGTGATCAAAAACTACAATTGACTGTTCACTTCATATACCATACAGGATGATGTAATAGAGAGAATCTTCAGACTTCTTTATCTGTAATAAGAAATATTCTTTTGAGGGATCTCTATGGGTCTATTTCAATGAAGGAATCCGATTTTAATCTAACTTGAAACCATGCATTTACCTTCAATACTCCAGTACAGATGTTTCATGCACTGAATAGATTCACTAAAGCTTGACTATAGTAGGTTGGAAAGTTACAGATTTTAAAGTTGGAATGATGAGGGTAAACAACTTGTTCTAGTAAAATTCTAATTTGATATTTGCTCAAATAAAGTATATTGTTTCAAATACGTATACAAGTTGTAAACAAACAAAGACATCTTAAATATAAAATGTTTATATTTTATATGTAATATATATATTTTTTTTTGTTTACATTTACAATGACATGTCATTTCAATATTTGACTTAAACTTTAGGAGAAAAGTTAGCAATCATAAGGTAGAATGATCCTATCATTGCACAAGTGGTTTTATATAGGTAATCATCCTCCAAACGCACATCCTCCTAAGCAGGTATCCAGAATCCGTACCTCCTTCTTCCCCCTGCTATAACCAATTTGGAATCCCCCAATTAAACTGAATCATGTGATCTAATTATGCGCAATGACTAATACATGATTTCTGTCGCAGTGTTGCGACAGCCAATCAGATGGCGAGTTCTTAATCGGGGGAAATGCTTATTCTTAATCGGGGAAATGCTAACTACTTATCGCAGGGGGTAAAAAGAAAGAATATATTCTGGATTTTGAAGCCCTATGATCGGAGGATACCAAACGCAGGGCTCAAGAGATCATCCATAACATTCCTTCCAGGAAGGAGGTACAAGTTCTGGAAGCCTGTGTTTGGAGAATGAACGGTAATAACCTTACTGATTATTGTTCTAATAGAACAAGACTATTGGAGATGAGGATGTATCAGCTATTAAGGATTATCTTCAAAAGAATTCGGACTGTGCAGGAATAAGGACCACTGCCTCTATTTATTTCTCACCAATACAAAAATAAGCATTCAAAATCACTCATACTGAATATACGACATTGATGTTTCTATTCTACTGACATCATTTCCTGTAATATGCACACTACACGTTAATTTGAAGCCTGAATTGACACAAACATGTTTGTTTGCCCTCCATGCTTCCTCGAAATAAACTTTGCATTATATACATTTAGAAATATTTGTAATTGAATTAAATATTTGTGGCAAAATGGTTATCTAAATAGTTTAGGACATGGGTAACTATTTTGCAGTGATAGTGATCAACATGGACAGGCAATTATAACAATAATACTATACTTATTAATTCCCTTGTGATAATTTAAAAAAATACATGTGTAAACAAAGACACAGTAATAAATATCACACTCTGAAGAGAAAAATGGCCACCAAGTAATTTACCCAGCATGCCCAAAACCTAATCAGATCTTGGCATTATATTAGTCTGCTCTTGCATCAGTAAAAATTTTACATAGTAGCCCGGATAGAATTGTTCAATGGTCACTTTTTCTTTAATAACTTTTTTAATTTTCAGTATTATGAAAATCTGATTACATATTTGAAAACTAGAGTAAAATTCTAACATACAAAAACAATATTTAAGGAACATCTCTTAATTTATTGATATTATAGGCGCTCCTAGTATGAGTGACGCAAATACATAATTCACCATTTTGTCTCATATTTGTTCAAAATGGCGGCATATTTTGTGGTTTGAATGTTCAGTTAATGTTCCTTAAATATGTTTTTTGTATGTCAGAATTTTTACTCTAGTTTTCAAATATGTAATCAGATTTTGATAATACTGAAAATTAAAAAAGTTATTAAAGAAAAAGTGACCATTGAACAATTCTGTCCGGGCTACTGCATTTCAGCATAGCGATATTACCTCATGAATAAAAGCTTTAGGTATCATCGGAATGGAACAGGTGGATGAGTGAATGTTAAGTTGTTTTTGCACTAGTGCATGTCAGAGTGGCGTTTAACTTCATTCTGAGTTTTGCCATGAAGAGGTTGATTTGAAGTTTTAATGGTGAAATCAATCAGTTTTGCTAAATGTTATCTAATAATTTTTTCTAAGAGTCTTAATGATCTCACTTATCAATCTCTGAGATATTCAGATGTTTTGTCACAGTTGCTTATTTTGGAATCCATTACCCAACCATCAAAAATGGTTTGTCTTTTATCACTGTGTTTTCACCATGTTCATAACACCATGCTGCTACAGCAGCTATTTTGCAACAAAAACAAAAGTGGCAAGCTCGCTTCCTTATAATTTGATATTATCGTTCTGTTGCATCGAGCAACGCAAAGAATTCTAGTAAAACAGATGAATGGTTTTCTTGGAAGTTGTTGGCATGATTTATGTGCACCCACCCACCAGCATGCATGCATAAATGCCCATCACCACAAGATATGACAAGATAGCACCTTTTCAAGAGGTGATAAAACATATGATGGCAAAAAGCCATTTAATGATTAATGTTTTTTCTGAGCCTCACATCTTTCTAATGGTGTGCAAAACTAAATACACGTCATTCAATAAGTAAAGGTAATTTTGCTCTAAAATTCAAAGGAATATCATTATATCTATAGTCCAAATTTACAAAGAATGGTAAATAGTGAATGAAATATATAATGCTACTCTTGTGGAAATGTGGGTTTTAGAGCAAAATTAGCTTTACTTATTGAACAACCTGTGCTTGAATGTAAAGCAAATATTGAAAAACATAATAATAAATTATTACATACAAGTTTGCATTGAAAGTTTCTTGAGACATTATCCTACATGCATTTTTGAATTTTGTTGGTTTGGACTCAGAATTAAAAATGTTCTCTATCCATGCCCACATGACAGATTACATAAAATGTAATTTAAAGATTGATTTGAGATTTGATCAAAAATGTAAAATATTTATCAGTTTATCAGGCTTGCATCAAGTTTTTAATGCTCTCTATGATTCTATTAATTCCCTTAAAGCAGCAGTATTTTATGCACACATCATAAATAGAAAAAATAGAAATAATGCACGTTATGATACAGTTCAATTAAGACACATATTGATGTACAGCAAAAACCTGTCATAACACATTTAAGTACAGCGTGAGCCAAAAAAGAAACCCAAACAATTGTTAATAACTCAGTCATTTAGCATGGGTTTGAGATCATTTTTGGCAAAATTAAGCCATGTTTAATGTTCTTTCATTCTTCTAAGTTTCATTGGTCTATGACCACTGGTCACAGTTTTATGGCCAATTAGAAAACATGCTCAAAATGCCGGGCTCATCTCTGGAGGCAAACTGACTTCACTAACTAAACGTTCACAGATATCTTGTGTAATTGCTCTCATCTTCCTTCTAGTCTCTTGTTTCAACTCACTGTAGACAGGGGCGGATCTGGGAATCAACAAGGGGGGGGCCCAAATTTCAAGTCAGAGGAAAAAACGTCCGCGCTTGAGCGGAAAAAAATTTTGGGCCCCTAAAAGCCAAAAGTGGGCCCAAATTTTGAAATTTTGAGGCTCGTTTTCTTCAAAATTTCTTCAAATTTTTCTTCAAACTTTTTGGGGCCTGAAGGCCTTTTTTGGCCCTAAATTTTTTTTTGGGCCCCCAGGCCCCCCCCCCCCCCCCTAATCCGCCAGTGGTAGACAATGAAGAGTAAAACATGTAATAAAATACATGAAGCTCTCAATGTACAGTAATACATGTGATAAAATACATGTAGCTCTCAATGTACAGTAATACATGTGATAAAATACATGTAGCTCTCAATGTACAGTAATACATGTGATAAAATACATGTAGCTCTCAATGTACAGTAAACATGTGATACAATACATGTAGCTCTCAATGTACAGTAATACATGTGATAAAATACATGTAGCTCTCAATGTACAGTAATACATGTGATAAAATACATGTAGCTCTCAATGTACAGTAAACATGTGATACAATACATGTAGCTCTCAATGTAGAGTAAAACATGTGATAAAATACACGTAGCTATCAATATACAGTAATACATGTAATAAAATACATGTTTGTTTCAATGTACAGCAAAACATGATATTTGTGATATTAAGGATGTTCCCTGGACGAAGTTGAAAACGATGAACACCAACCCCTAATTTTTCTTTTCAAAATGTGAAGTACATAGCATAACTAAGTGTTTCTGTGAGTTTAAGAAAAAGTTAAATATTCAAAAGTGTGTTTTGGGGTGAAAACCTGATTTTTAACATGGGTTTCAATGAGAAAGTGCCACGCCCACTTTTGTCAAATATTGACACTTTAGAGGCCTCTTGCTCAGAAAAAAGCACACTAACATATGGTTTTTAAAGTTTTAATATTCTTTGTTGCCCGTGAGAATCCCAGAAAACCATTTTTGAGAAAAAGTTAAATACTATTGAATATTTTCCTATCTGACCAGGGAACATCCTTAAATGGGATGTACAGTAAAACATGTGATAAAATACACATAGCTCTCAATGTACAGTAAACTTATGTTATATAATACATTTATGTTTCAATGTACAGCAAAAAGTGATATTTGTGATATTACACGTAATGTAGAGTAAAACATGTGATACAATAAATGTATCTCTCAATGTAGAGTAAAAAATGTAATAACAAGAACACAAATGTGTACAATATGTCCCCACCAATGGGTGATCCCATGAAATGGTTATCCTGAAAATGAGTAGACAAGACTTTACTGACACAATTTGAGGACGGAAAGTCCAAAATGGCCGCCTTAAAATTTACCCAGAATCCCCAAAAATTAGCTAGTTCTAGATTTTCATACTAAGAACCACCCCTGAAAATTTGAAATTGATCCGTCAAACAGTTAAACAAGACTTTACAGACAAGATTTTAGGATGGAAAATCCAAAATGGCTGCCTTGACATTTACCCAGAATGTCAAAAAACTAATCAGTTCTAGATTTTCATACTAAGAATCATCCCTGAAAATTTGAAATTGATCTACCAAACGGTTCACCTGAAAACGCGTAGACAAGACTTTACAGACAAGATTTTAGGACAGAAAATCCAAAATGGCTGCCTTGACATTTACCCAGAATGCCAAAAAACTAATCAGATCTAGGTTTTCATACTAAGAATCATCCCTGAAAATTTGAAATTGATCTAACAAACGGTTCACCTGGAAATGCATAGACAAGACTTTACAGACAAGATTTTAGGACGGAAAATCCAAAATGGCTGCCTTGACATTTACCCAGAACGCCAAAAAACTAATCAGATCTAGGTTTTCATACTAAGATTCATCCCTGAAAATTTGAAATTGATCTACCAAACGGTTCACCTGAAAACGTGTAGACAAGACTTTACAGACAAGATTTTAGGACGGAAAAAACCAAAATGGCCGACAATAAAAAAGTGATTACGAGTTTTTGCTGATTTCTTTTTACAAAATTATCACATATAACTACTGTTAACAATAACATAGGCTTTTTCAACAAAGTACACCTGGAATTATTTATAAAGCTACTAAATAGTTAAAGTATGAAAACTCAAAAACACCATTCAATATGATACAAAGTATTATCGCGCGCTAACTTTTCTTCAGACATTCAAAATGGCTGACATGACTGGGCTAACAGGTCCAAAACCTAATCAGATGTAGAATGAAGTGAGCTGAACAAGATGTTAAAGTTTTAAAAGCAACTGTGAAGCCGTTTTTCTTAAAGTTTGCAGACAAGGATTTTAGCATTTGATCTCAAAATGGCCGACAGGAAGTAGCTATCGAGTTAATTTTCTTTCATCCACATCTGTATGCACTCACAAGTACCTGTAGCGGTTTTGGAGAAAACTGCTGGACGTACGGACGGACAGACAGACAACCAGACAGACGGACGGACGGACGCGCCTAGGACGACAATATGGCCCCACACTATGTGGTGGGGGCATAAAAACATGTAGCTCTCAATGTACAATAAACATATGTGATACAATACATGTATGTTTCAATGTACAGAAAAACATAATACTTGTGATATTAAATGTGATGTACAGTAAAACATGTGATACAATACATGTAGCTCTCAATAAACAATAAAACATGTGAAACCATACATGAAGGTTTTAATATACAGCAAGACGGGACTTATTTGACACCCTGTATATGATGTACAGTAAAAAATGTGATGCAGTACATGTAGCTTTCAATGTCCAGTAAAAATGTGATATAATACTTGTAGCCATGTAACAATATGTGTCAGTATCAAGGGCTACAACCCACACTCCAATTCTACCACTGATCCTAAACTTCATCCAGAAATCCTGATTTAGGCAATTTTATTTGGTACTCATTGTTCACTTACTCTACTCTTTTGTTACACTGAGTATATATGACACAATGCGTATATATTGTACACTGGTATTATCATTCATTTTAGAGATGCACTACAATTTAAACATCTTGTAACTCTGCTCCTTCTTGCCCTGAGTTTTGATCAGGGCTTCTCATTAAATAGCTCCATATAGTGCTCCCCTCTACAGCTCTCTGAAGTCTCTCAGTACTGTTTATCATAGTATCGTCTTCAGTTATTTGATTAAGGAGAGCTTGTTGTGGACCAGGGGTGATATCCTCTGTGGTTGCCTCATCTTTGCTGGCCTCACATTTTGCTTTATGTTTGGCTCCACAACATTTGTACAAGTCACAGTCTGAGCCACATTGAATGAGACATTTATCAACTTGTTGCCTATCTGGTTCATCATGCCAAGTCTGGAAATACATATACAAAATAATGTTAAATGTAGGCCTACCTACGTTTATTTATAGAAACCTAAACAGAGAAGAAATGGGTGGATATAAGCTATAAGGGCGGATATTTTAAATTATTTGGTTATCAAGTGTTTAGTGAACCAGTGTTCAGCACCTGTAACTAATGGCAGGTGGTGACATTTTGCATGTTAATGCCTTGTGTATGGATTGTATACCCCTTTGATTACATATGCTTCACCTCACTGATTACATATGCTTCACCCTACTGATTACATATGCTTCACCCTACTGATTACATATGCTTCACCCTACTGATTACATATGCTTCAGCATAGATTGATTGTATGATTCACCTCTGCATGTATGTGTAAGTTAGGATACCATGCTAAAAATTGTTATAATCATAACATGAGTTTAGAAAATGGCCATAGGGTGTTTATACGTTTGATAATATCAAGAAATATGATAAAGTTATCTCACTGAGACACCTTGTTCGCTGGGGTTGCTAGGGTAAACTGCTTAGTACATAATCCTTGAGTGACATTGACCAATAATATAATGCACGCCTATTTCATAATCTTAATTTTTAAGAATTTGATCCGATAATACTTTTATAAAGATTTCAATATCTCAGAGTTGGGGCACCCTTTCAACATTGTTCAAACAGGACCATTGTGATAAAAATTATTGTTGAACATCAAGGGAAATAACAAGAAACAGTTAATTACATACAAGTTATAGAGATTTTGTGAATTCTTAGAAATTCTAATAACTTTAAAGTTCAAAATCAAAAGAGTAAGAAAAACAAATCGTGTATAACAAAAATGGAACGATTTTGCAAGAGCTATGAATAGTTCCAAAAACGATCAATAACTCAAATCATAATCTATTGTCAAGAATAAATAAGTCGCTGCTTGAAGTCTGATAAGCCTTACGCTCCAAGACCAACAAGGCTTAGTGCAATAACAATAGATGGTTTCTATTTACATGAGGAGCATTTATTATGAATCGTGTACAAGGAATCCAAGGGTGCATGTTTTAGGATTTGATCATAAAGTTTGATATATTCTCTAAATTCTGGTAAGTGTTTAAAACAGTTCATGTATACTTTTGATGCTATGAATTTATATATTAATGTGAACTGACTTTTGTTAACTGAATATGTTTAATTGATTGAATATTCCTTATAACTTTTTCTCACAATGAATACTGTAACAGAGAATTTCTCACAACAGGCAAAATTAATAACATGGAAAAGTTGGAAAGTCACTTAAAACAACAGGCGATTCTATGAAAACAACCAGTGAAAATTGCCTGTTGTCTGCTGCTAATGAAACCCCTCTTAACCATATACATTTTATTGAACTAATAGAAACTTATTTTTCACATGAGTAAGAAAACAAAAGAGCTAACTAAATCAACATGATAAATATAACATGTTTAATTAATGGGCACAAAATAACGAACCCATTTTCTGGATATACTTTTTAATTGAGCTGGAAAAAAATAAGTGCATAATAACCTTTTATGAATGAACTTTTGCAATCCAGTAAACAGTGAAATTAAGCTATACAATTTCCCCAGAATACTTTCTTTCGTTATTTGATGATCAACATAATTTTGTTTCAGTGCATGTAATCCTAGACCCATGGAGACACAATCAGACTTACAGACACAGTATCAGGCTTACAGGCCTTACAGCCCACCAAAACAGACTCAAAATGACTTCAGACCTTTCTCAAGACAGAGGTAATTATATCCCCTCTAGGATTTGATGTTTTTTTGTTCTAACATCTCAATAAATTAAAAGAAACTAATTTTCTTAAATATACATTACATATAACATGTGTTCTTTTTGATACAAGTGTTCTTTTTAATACAGGACCAAGGCCTACTTGTTTCTTTTTACAAATGATCTAACAACATTTTTAAATACAGGACCAAGGCCTACTTGTTTTTTATAAATAATCTAACACATTTTTAGTGATAACAGTAAAGTAATAACATGTGAATAACATTTTAACAAGTACTTCTTCATACATAAAACATGTTCACTGTTAACTATTAACTTACCTAATAACACATGAATCAATGCTCTACATTGAATACAGCACAAGATTGTTACTAAATGTGTTCACCTGTGGATGCAATTATTAATTAATTCTTAATTATAATTTGAAATAAGCAGAAACGTGCAATAAATAATGAATGAACTATTGACCTCTCCAGAGGTTGACTGTAACATTATTCTAAATACGCACTCAAGAGAGAAACAAACAGTTCCTTCTTCAGAAATTCACTGAAGTTTGGGAACAATCAGATGACGGGAAAAAGATTTTGATATTGTTTCCATTATAGTGCTCTGCAGTTACATATCACAATCGACATAAATATCATTTCAGAGTTACTGGTGATCAATGGAATTTCAATTAGTCACCTTGGCAACTGTAAATTAAAACACTAATATTTTCTTTTGAGGCATTTATTGCTAAAGCAATCATAGCTGAGCTATTTTGTTACTAACTGTTTGTGATATGGATATGGTCCTGGAAAGTAATCAATCCAAGCTAATATACAATCACGCAGACAGAAAAATATTATTCAGAATCTAGTTTTCAATTTATGATTCGTGTCAGTATTCATTTGTCAATTTGGGTTTGAATGTGAAAATTCAATACAAGAATAGAACAAAAACACAAATGTGTACAAAATGTCCCCACCAATGGGTGATCCCGTCAAATGGTTATCCTGAAAATGAGTATAGACAAGACTTTACCAACACAATTTGAGGACGGAAAATCCAAAATGGCCACCTTAAAATTTACCCAGAATGCTAAAAGTTTTGTCAGTTCTAGATTTTCATACTAAGAACCACCCCTGAAAATTTGAAATTGATCCGTCAAACAGTTAACCAGAAAACATGTAAACAAGACTTTACAGACAAGATTTTAGGATGGAAAATCCAAAATGGCTGCCTTGACATTTACCCAGAATGTCAAAAAATTAATCTGTTTCTAGATTTTCATACTAAGAATCATCAATGAAAATATGAAATTGATCTACCTAACGGTTTACCTGAAAACGCGTAGACAAGACTTTACAGACAAGATTTTAGGACAGAAAATCCAAAATGGCTGCCTTGACATCTACGCAGAATGCAAAAAAACTAATTAGATGTAGATTTTCATACTCAGAATCATCCCTGAAAATTTGAAAGTGATCTACCTAACAGTTTATCTGAAAACACGTAGACAAGACTTTACAGACAAGATTTTAGGACGGAAAATCCAAAATGGCTGCCTTGACATTTACAAGATTTTCTCGCATATACGTAATCGAAAGTAGTACACTTATACGCCCATGGGCGAAAAATAAGAGGTAAAATAACAGACGAAATTACCCCTTCTTTCAGTTATGCGCCCAGGACTTATATGCGAGAAAATCTGGTACCCAGAATGCCAAAAAACTAATCAGTTCTAGATTTTCATACTAAAAGTCATCCCTGACAATTTGAAATTGATCTACCAAACAGTTCACCTGAAAACGCGTAGACAAGACTTTACAGACAAGATTTTAGGACGGAAAATCCAAAATGGCTGCCTTGACATTTACCCAGAATGCCAAAAAACGAATCGGATCTAGATTTTTAAACTGAGAATCATCCCTGAAAATTTGAAATTGATCAACCAAACGGTTCACCTGAAAACGCTCAGACAAGACTTCACAGACAAGATTTTAGGACGGGAAAATCCAAAATGGCCGACAATAAAAAAGTGATATGACTTTTTGCTGATTTCTTTTTACAAAATTATCACAAATAACTACTGTTAACAATAACATAGGCTTTTACAACAAAGTACATCTGAAATTATTTATAAAGCTACTAAATAGTTAAAGTATGAAAACTCAAAAACACCATTTAATATGATACAAAGTATTATCGCGCGCTAACTTTTCTTAAGACATTCAAAATGGCTGACATGACTGAGCTAACAGGTCCAAAACCTAATCAGATGTAGAATGAAGTGAGCTGAACAAGATTTTAAGTTTTAAAAGCAACTGTGAAGCTGTTTTTCTTAAACTTCGCAGACAAGGATTTTAGCATTTGACTTCAAAATGGCCGACAGGAAGTAGGTTTCGAGTTAATTTTTTTCCATCCACATCTATATGCACTCATAAGTTATCCATGAAAATTTGAAGGTGATATCTGTAGCGGTTTTGGAGAAAACTCCCGGACGTACGGACGCGCCTAGGCCAACAATATGGCCCCACACTATGTGGTGGGGACATAAAAATGGGCCTAATAGATAAAAGTCAAGAATTAGACTGAAGCTAAAACTGAAGCTCACAAACAAATAAAACATCTTAAAAGTTAAAAGGGCTCACTGTTTATTTTAAATCATTGCCTGTAACTTTCATCATCAATAGGATTTCCGTAGTATTTTTACAAAACTGGTATTTGTATGAAAGAAGCTTTGTATGAGTCTGTTCATAATGTAAATAGCATGCCGTTATGAATTTTTAAAAATTGATGAACTTTTGAGACAGAGCCATTTTGAAGTGATGACATCCTGTAATAATCTCCAACTTTTTTTGTGGATGGTGTTTGGCAATTCAGCAATAAGCATTTTATGTCATCTGTAACAAATTCTTACCGATAACAAGTATTGTTTAAACGGACTTCAAATTTTTACCGTGAACATATATACTGTTATGGGATCCAACACATTTCTGCCCATATCTCAGTACTGTCAACCCCCAAAGATAGAGGGACAGATTTTCTAGAAAAAGTGCCCTAAATTGCGGGATTTCGCGGTACATCCACCTAAATTTGCAGGATGTCCCGGGACATTCAAGGGATTTGCGTGATTTGGACTAATGTAAAAGCGTGTAAAAGTACTTAAATCAAACTCTCAGATACTGATTAATCAAATATAATGCACCGTTACATTGTAACTTAATTAAACGTCAACATAACTTCACAAAATACGCATAGAAATATTATTAAACTTTATTGTAATTTATCAAAAACAAAAACCATGCTTCAGGTGTGAGTATCGTAATTTAACAAGAAATTCAAAAATTTGGAACAATACTTTGCACTTCTGGCGTCGTGACCAACTATATATGAAACGCTTACCCCCATAATGTTATATATCAAAATGTACCTTTCATATACTGTAGGCATGGGCTTTCAATTGAAAGCCCATAATGTTATATATCAAAATGTACCTATTCATATACTGTAGGCATGGGCTTTCAATTGAAAGCCCATGGTATAGGGGTTCGAATAATCTACATCAAATTATAGGGAATGAGGTTACTTTTCTAGATAGGGTTTGTAGAAAAAACCGGGTACCGGGTAGTAAATCCTCAATGCTGGGTTCAAACTTGGTACCCGGTCGAAAAAACTGGGTACCCTAAAAACGAAATATACGAATATACAACATAATTAGATCATTAGAAAACGTGTAAGATTTGTTTTGAATTTACAAAAATGTATGTTACTTCCTTCAAAATTGAGCTAGAAGCTTCAAATAAAAAGCATTTTAAGCCTCTTTTCTTCCTCTATCATCATGGTCATATTTCCATTGGTAATGAAGGGGGAGGGGGGGGGGGTGCGATCGCACCATCACACCCTCTCCTGGCTACGCCAATGACATTGTAAGACGATTTGAATAACAAGGCAAACCAATTTTACTCTACTTTCAATAGTTCGTATGTTGGTACGTGAATTGTTTTTATTATGATTTAAATCTGTAAATTGCTATCGTTGCTTTAGCAGAGAGGTGACGTTTGTTAATTTACATGATGCAATGTGTAAGATTTTGATTATTAATCATAATTTAAGATATCCCAACTGTCAACAAAATCATACTGAATTGTCCACTAAATTGTTATGTCTTACAATGTCATAGGCGTAGCCAGGAGAGGGTGCGATTGGGCGATCACACCCCCCCCCCCAAAACCAATGAAAATATGGTCATGACGATAGAGGAAAAAAAGAGCCTTAAAATATGCTTTTTATTTGAAGCTTCTAGCTCAATTTTGAAGGATGTTACATACATTTTTGTAAATTCAAAACAAATCTTACACGTTTTCTGATAATCTAATTATGTTATACTCGTATATTCATATTTTTTGTTTTTTGGGTACCCGTTTTTTGACCGGGTACCGGATACCAAGTTTGAACCCAGCATGGAGGATTTACTACCCGGTACCCGGTTTTTTCTACAAACCCTTTCTAGATTTCAGCGTCCATTTATTATAACTCGCGTTTGCTAACATTTGCTCAGTTCTGAGATGAAGGCCACACGGATAGTAAAAAGGCCAACACTGGAACTATTTGTGACCTACATCCCTATTGTCGTAATTTAAATGAAAGTTGAACCCTTCCTCTTTATTTTGATACCAAACAACAGCATGCTAGGTACTTAAAATTAGGTAAACTTTACTCCTCAAAAGTGCAAAAACTTAGCTTCTTATATAAAATAAGATAATCACAATATAGGGGATTGCAACAATTTCGGAAATTCGCGGAGGTCGAAAGCCACATTTGCGGGACTTCGCGGGACATTGCGGGACACGCGAATTAGCCTAATTTTGATCGAATTCGCGGGATAATCCCGCCATTCGCGGGACACTTGACAGCTCTGATATCTGTTACCATGACAACAAGTGGACTTCACATTTTGTAGTCATTTCAAATGATTAAGTAGTGTAACAAGCGCTGTTAAGACTATAAATTTTTACTTATTGGACTTGAAACATTTTGTTATCATTTGCAATAATTTTTTACATTTTACAAGTTGGTGACATTTTGTTTGCGTTGATTTAAGAAGTAGTGTTCACATGAACTTGAAATTTTTATTGTCAACACATACAGACATATAGACATTTTACTACTTTTAACATAGTTTTGGCAGTTTCAGTTACCATGGCATATAATATATGTTACCTCGGAAACAGAAAACACTTCTCACATTTCTTACACTCTTAAGAATAACTAAGTTAAACAAGGTAGTAACATTTTGTCTTGTTAATGACTTAAACTATATGCAGCATCCATGGAACAGATTCTCATTCTCAGATTTTGTTTCAGACGGCCAAGGACAGTTGCGGGTTATATGGGGATAGGTTTAGGGGAACCAGATTTTCAGCGTCATAACGGGTATGAGCACCCTAGAATAAATAGTGCTTTTTAAGTTTTCTAGGTTGTTTCTTTACATCTATTGCAATGGAAACAGCATATTGTAAATATTTGTTTACTTTATTTAATTGCACAATAGCTAAAACTTTCAACTTACAACTATTAAAGGAGCTGGGCCAAAACATTAAAGAGGAATAAGTCCCCATTCTTATCCTCCTCGTTTATTCATTGCAATGATGCTACTATATTGCTAAATATATGGTAACTAAATTGCTTATGCATTCTACAAATGACACAACGATATCTGACTCAGTCCTTCATTAATGTTTAGCTATTGACAATTCTGTGATGTTTCTTTTTTGTTAATATGAAAAACATCAAAAGACTATGGCTGATTAATTCTCTTTCTGTTCTTGATGTAGAATGGCATTTCTTTGATAGCTCTTTAGTAGTAAACACTTTAGCTTAGATCTTTAATAGTGACAATTGGAGCCCCTTAATAGTAACAGTCTCCATCCAGCATGTAAAGTGTGTCATATGATCGAGTTTATCTTTTGAACTGTGTTTTAAGCTCATCATTGACTATGTATTTATAACCAAAATATTCATGAATTGAACTAAAAAAAAGAATTTCATATTTAATTATTAATCTGATTAATTCTCTCATTCTTTTCTTAGAATTCATTTCAAATATTGCATGATTATCATATATCTGTGTTTGAAGTTACATTTGGTTTATGCATTCCAGGACGTCATATTCTGGTATGAACCAGTGGCGTAATGGTGAAAAAGGTATGCGTGTCCCAGAAACCATCAGTGGTACAAGAATTCCTCTCACAACATCTGATGCCAATTGGCGAAAAACTAAATCTACAATAAAAAGGGTAAGTTACTTAATGTACTTCTACTTAATTTGGTCCTACTTATTTTGGTGGATTTGCTGTTTTGAACATTTTGCGGCTACTTAATTTGGCAGACTTACAATAATGAAATGTATATACCATACAAATTTTCAATTGAAATTTGAAATCTTGAATTTAGCAGCCACTTAATTTGATGGATTTTGACAATTTGGCCAGCCAAATTAAAATGGCTACCAAATTAAGTCAAAGTACAGTACTAGCTAGATTTTATTTGGATACATTCATAACTTATCATTCATTTTGAAGATGAACAATGAAAAGGTAAATTGAAAGAGGCCAAGTTATTACAATCTCAATACATGTACAATGTATAAACAAAACTATTGAAAATCATTATGTAAGTAAAGATTCGGAAAAGGTACTTTGTATTACTACTTTATGCTTTCTATTGTTTCTAGGATGCTGGCTGGCCTATCACAGGAGGTGATGTACTGAACTCAGCCAGAGAGGCACATCCAGGACTACAGTATGACAAGGCTTACTATGATCTAATGCAGAAAGTGGCATACAGATATCCCAACCCTGGGCCACCAAGGTTTGTTGCTGAGGCCATTTTATACTTTAAAATAATTCAGTTTTAAAAAGCACCATTGGCAACATTCGAGTGACAAATAAACTAATGAGTAAATATTGTCATTTTTAATAAAACTGTTACAATATTTTTCAGGGAGCGAGCGGGCCGTATAGGAGGCACATGGCGTCATATCAAAGAGGTTCAAAGTAATGGTGAAAACAGAGTAGTGTTTGTAGATGGACTAGTCAGAGTATATGACACTCAAAAAGTCAACAGTCATCTGTTGCATTCTGGGATAGCTCCTACTGCCAAAATGGCAACCCCAATATATACTGACAGAAGGGATATAAATTTTAGAGAAGGATTAGAAAATGAAATACACAGAGGTGGATATAAACCATGGTATACAGAAAAAGGTAAGCAAATTAAACTTTTCTCAAACGAAACTGAATACGTCACACGTGACCAATTAAACAATTTAGGAATGTATAAGATCATAAAACCTTCATTTTGAATAGCTTAGTTTTCTGTGTCTTTGTTGTACGTGGTTTATTCATAAGTGATTGCTCTTCTTATTTTTATTGTCACATCAATCTGTAATAGAATAATTAATTAACAGAATTATTCCTGTATTTCAGTTCCAAGAGTACAAGATACAGGACTCCGTAGTATGGGACGTATGGAAAACTACCAGGACAAATATAAAGGATTTTATAAAATGAATCCTACACCAACAAATATCAGAAGTAAGATAGCGATCCAAGGATTCTGAAATATAAAATGACCAATCAGTGAAAACCATCAATGAAGAACCTAACATTTTTTACAATTGAGCGGCAGTGAATAGCAACATATAATCAAACATTTTTGTTGTGTATATTGAATCTGATACCTGGCATTATTGATCTATTTAGTCATTTTGAAAGGATCAATTGCCTTATGCTTTTCATCTCTTACATCAAAAAGAGAGCCATCTAGACAGTGACATTCTCCTTCTTGATTGAAAAATATCCGGACATAAGATATGTAGGATAATGACATCACATGTCATCTTTTCAATAGACCTTTGGTTCGTTCACATGCAAACTTAGAAATGTGAACCTGTTAGTAACATTGGTAGATGTATTAGTATTTCATCTCAAATTACAGTATTACACGTTACAAGTATTATGTATTAATACAAAAATAAAAATTATTAAATATACACTGTATAACAATATTTTTGAAGTTATTTATTATGGATTTTTATTCCACTACATATAAATGGCAATATATATACAGACAAACAAATATAACATTTGTAATAATTAATACTTACATACTTAAAATAATTCTTGTAGATATAACTATTTCTGTAAATTACCATACATACAGGGTGTCCAAAAACAGGACTACAGAATTATTTAGTTGAATGAACTAAATAATTTTAAAATTTCAAAGCAGAATATGCAAGATTGACCTAGTGAATCAACTTTACTTCAGTCCTGTTTTTTGGACACCCTGTACTTTGTCCAATGGCTTTGAGAACTCTTGATAGCTCACATGAAATTCAGAGGATGCAACAGATGCAATAACATGTAATACAATTACATGTAATTTAAAAATCTTCAACATAAATTACATCAATAATATCAAAAACCTTTTGATCAGAAAAAAATTTATGTGAGGTTAATGACGTTTATTTTTAGGAATGTCACGGTTTCCCAATATTGTCCCGTCCCTCTGGACTTCGGTCTTGGGACGGGATGGGAGTCGGGACAACCCCTGTGTACCGAATATATTTCGGCCCAAGATATACTATTTCTCCTATATATGTTTTGCGCAACTGTGCAGTTCTCTAATGTGACATTAAAAAAAGATCCGGGCATGAGCAAAAGCGGAAGTAGAAGGAAAATGTAAGTTTTTTACTGTGATAAACTTTAGTTAGTTATGTTCTGTCCCATCCCATCCCGAAATGGATGATTCCTGTCCTATTCCCGAAATATTTTTGTCCTGTGACATCCCTATTTATTTTACAATTTAATTGTGTCATATTTACACACTAACCAGCTATTAGTGGCATTTAGTGAGCTCTATTCTATGTGAGGGAATCTAATATTCCTAGTCCCCATTTACAATAGAGTTTTATACAGTTATATTAAACTAACCACTGCATATGTATATATTTATATATATGATACGACGTCAGATACTGTACATCGCGGCATTTTACTGCATTTTTAATGCGTACTTACTTTTAAAACCGCAATAGCTCGACAGCAAAATCATATTTTTCTACAATTTTTCGTCATCAGTTGAACAAGTATGTCCATGAAATATTTTGCCTATCAGAATTCCAAATAACTGCTTTGGGACTTTTTAAATGAGAATCACGCAAGCCGTATTATGCGACTTTCTATGCTAAAACCGGGTGTCGACTGTAACATTTTGAAGAAAAGTGATTTTAATTTTAAACGAAAAATGAAGATAACTTTTTCATTTCCCAACGGATCTTTCTCAAATTTTCACAATATTTAAATTCACCATTTTGGAAAAGACAAACAGATTCTGTGTGATGACGTCATAATATAACAATGCTAACTTAACGCTTATATTTATGCAAAAAAAGTGTCGACAGGCAGAATTTCGTACCAACAAGATATATATTTTGATCAATTAAACATTAAATCGTTTGAAAGGTGAATTATTCTTTTTTGATTCCTGAAAGGCATATCATATTCTATATTCTTATCAAAAAACTATATCATTTCGATAAAAATTCAGTCTGTAAGAAGTATAAATTGAAAGAAATATGAATTGAAGCCATGTGAAAAATTCACAAAATTACGTTTCATTTTTTGAGTTCAAATATTTCTAATTAAGGGATAAACATTCAAAACTTTCCAATGTTTCAGCATGTTCTTTTAATTATACCCCTTACTACATACAATTAATTTCATTTAATTTGAACCAGTATATATTGAGATAGACATCGTTTTATCACCGCAACCCCAAGTGAAGCCTTTACAAAATAAGACGTTACGCCGTTAGCGTATCATATGTTCTCCTTTATTATTCATTGCTTTAAATAAATAAAACTAAATATTCGAGTTAAAATAAATTACAAATAATGCATTTAACAATCCTTAATATCTTCCCGTCTGTGTTTATCAGTTGAATATGACAAGGGGCATTGTGAAAGAGTCTAGAAAGACGGTGCGACAACGAGAGCGCAGGGCCGAAAAGCGCGACAAAGAAGAAAACGGGTAGGGTTTGAAATGTCTACTTTCTGGTGATTCTAATTCTGTATATCGTGACACAACCTTTTTGAATATAAAATTGTATTGAAGCGCACATTAATCTGAACAAAACTTGAAGTTTTTAAGAAGATTCCACGAATATTAAAACGTTTGCAATTACTTGGAGGAGCATTGCGCATATTTATCGCGTAAATCTTTGCATTTTGTCGGTAAAATGAACAATAACACTGTTACGCCGTGATGTACAGTATCTGACGTCGTATCATATATATTTTTACATACATTTTATACCATTCCAGTTTACATCTGGAACTTCAAAACATTCAAAATATTTTGAAACAATTGAATTTAAATAATTTGAATACCACTGTACTGTAAAATGTTACTTTGCATACTAATAAAGCAAAGCCTTTTATACATAAATAAATAAACTCTTACAAAACACTTAAATAAAACTCTAAATTCAAGAAAACTCTCAAACAAAATACACTGTATAATTAACAATAAATCATTGAGTTTGTATGTTCTACGGAATGATCTTCATCCAAGAAGAGTACCAAGCTGAATTATACGTAGTATTGTATTGTATTTCAATAGAAACAACACACATTAACTGTAAATCTGTTTTAGTAATTAAGGTCATTTACCTAATATGGCTTGTGTACATGTATGGCTGGTAAACACGTAAATGTTGTCTTTTTCTTGCTGAGTGCTGTTACATTTTTAGTCCTTCCCTTTGGCACTTGTGTTTACAGACTTCGTATGGCACCAGTATTTTAAACAATTTTAGATAATTTTAATGCCAATACAATATATCCTTTTGAGTCCTATAAATGTGTTCATTATTTGATACGTCTTCACTTAAAATGTTGTATACAATTGAGTGTCTGCTAGATGATTTGACCATACAGACATTCAACATCGAGGCAATTCACTTTGAGTATCATATTTGTATATTTTGATCATTTAAAGCATCAACAGAGTAGAGAATCCAAAATGTTGGAAGAAACATTGACAATATTTTCCTTACAATCGTAACTTTAATATTTCAAAATCAAAACAGTAATGTCCAAATCAATTAAAACTGAAAAAGCAGCCAACTACTTTTTAGTCTTTTATAAGATATCCATTAAAACCAAAGTCAGAACTGCTAAATCTTCAAGAAAATAGACATTACATGGAATGTTGATAGCAATTTAAATTGTAAAACTGTGACAATTTTTAGGAACATTAATCCGCCCCCCTCTCTGTTGCCCCTGTAAAGTTTGAATCAGTTAACACATTTTATAAACTGAACAAAAAACTAATGGTACATAATAAAATAGTTTTTGTTTCATTACATAGACACTATCCCATTGAAGTATCTTTTATAGTACCAGTAACTTCACTAAGTGGGTAACTATATCTCCAAACATTAAAGTCATCTACTTTACATTCTGAATCACTCAATAGCATGTCTATGTTTGGCATCATCTAATGCCCTCTTTGAGCAAGATGCGGTGATGTGCTACAGATCTGCAAAGAATGCAAAAAGATATTGACAAAATAAAATGTGTCTCAGTCAAGAACAAGTTCAAACTTCAAACCGATACAGAAGGTAAATAGCAAATCTCAAACATTATTTCATGTGAAGCAATATTGAATTTGAATATCCAATTGAATGACGAATGACACAAAAAATGTTTGCTCACAGAAAATTCAATCTGAACAATGCAGATTTACCAATCTCTTTCATCCACTTCCTTTTCAAATTTTTCCAGAATAATTTATCATTTATTATGTTTTTCAAAACTGTTGGTATTTAAATAGCACTGGTGGATCAAAGGGCCAATGGGGCCTCTTAGGATGGGGACAGAAAAGGATTTTTGGACCCTATAAATGTGTAGGGTCTCAATTAGTGGGACTTTTTGGACATTAATTGGCCTTTTGGGCCTTATTTTTTAATTTTAGACCAAATTATCAAAAATAGTCCTTTAATTTTCAAAAACTTTCTGACTTGGAATGTGTGCCCCCCTTGTTAGCTTCTAGATCCACCAGTGAATAGTATCTGTTAAATGTTCTATAGAGAGTTAAGTTGATGATTCCCAAAAAAATGAAAGGCAGAAGCAGGTTCAGTGAGCAACCTCTCAGAAATCATTTAAATTTTAGAATGTTTCGACTCACATCATTCCTAGATAACAGCGACGCCAAGGCGTAGCAAATCCCATCAAACAACCATAGTTGCAATGTGTGCAAATGGCCGTCTATTCACCAAATTGTCATTAGATTGTGTGAGATTATTTTAAGTAGAAAAAATGTAAAATTGCATACGTGAAAACACAATTTTGCACTTTGAATGTTTTACCTCACAATATGAAAAGATATCATAGATCTTTTGGAATATATTTGAGGTGGTAAGGAATACATGGTTAGCTGTTAAAGTCCCCATATAAAGTTTAAACCAGTTTGGCTTATATTGTAGTCTTACCCAATGTTACCAAAGTTTGATATGTGAAACCCTTTTTTTAAAAGTGTTTTTTCAAGGACTTTTTGTTAAAAAAAATCATTTATCATTTATTTAAAACTAATTTGTTTTAAACTTTTAGAGGTCACAGATATCTTTTAATAAGCAACAATTCATACCAATGCATAGCATTCATCCTCCCAACTTTTTTGCCCAAAAAATTAAGAAATTATTCATAAATAAGCGAGAAATGACCTCATCAGTGCATGAAAATGGTTCAGAGAAAAATGCATTTCAAAATTTTAGTTCTCATAGAAACCAATGATATCTAAAACATAATATATTCTTTATTTAAATCTGGTTAGACAATCAACATTAATTTATTATTGAAGTTTAGCATATTTAGAAAAGATTGACATTGAAAAAAAAATTCAATTTTTTCAAAAGGTTTTTGCCACCTGAGTTGAGTCATGATGACATC